CAGATGCAGATTATCTTTCTGACCCACATACAACCCGATCATAAACAGGGTACTTGTTTACTTGTGGTGATACTGCTATATCATGACGATTTATAAAACAGACCATGACTGCAACTTCCTCAAATCACTCTAAGATACTCGCAATTCATGAAGCAGGTAGAGAGTGTGTTTGGTTGAGATCTATTATACAACATATTCTAGAATCATATGGACTTTCCTCAACCAAAGATAGTCCAACAATATTATATGAAGATAATACAACATGTATTGCACAGGTAAGAGGAGGATACATAAAAAGTGACAGAACCAAGCACATTTCACCAAAATTCTTTTCCGCACACGAGCTCCAGAAGAGCCGTGATATTGATGTTCAGCAGATACGCTCGAGTGATAATCTAGCAGATTTATTCATTAAAGCGCTTCTAATTACAACATTCAAGAAGTTAGTGGACAACATTGGAATGCGTCAACTAAAGGATCTTCAGGGTTGAACTAATGAGGGGGAGCAAGTGATCGAAAATGTATTGGCATACTGTACTCTTTTTCTTTCATCCAGATTTTGTCCCATTGGATTTTTCTGGCAAGGTTTTAATGAGTTAGTTTTAATTTATGTAATATCATACACAAAAATACTGTACTCTTTTTCCTTCATTAGGGTGTTGATATTGAGTTTTCCTTAGTAAAGTTTTAATGAGGCATATTCTTAGTGTAATATTATGGACCCTAAGGAAGAGTGTTATAGAAGTGAGATCCACTAATGATCTTCCAAAGTAAGCTTTATATCTTGGGGTGAGAAGAAAGACTGCACTTTGAGCTTACATTAAAAGCTCTATTTATGCCCATAAATACTAGTATAACTATTGCTATGTAAGAGATAGTTCGCAAATTATAATAATAAAAGCTCCTTTATTTTCTCATCTATCTCTCTTAATATTACTCTATATATACGTATACATTTATTACAAAAAAATAATTAAATAATACTTACCCCTACTGGTCCCCTAGGCACAACACCCATGTCCCATGCTTCGTGGGTGCGGCAGTCCCCTAAAACCGTACTCTCTCTCTCTCTCTCCCGTAAAACCCTCCTCTCTCTCTCTCCCCGCTCAGTCCCCTAGAACCCTCATCACTCTCTGCCTCGCAGTCGAAGGACCCCAACCCTAAACCCAAATCTCTACTCTCTCATCTGAGTAAGAATGTCGACAGCCAAACCTGCAACGAAATCACACCCATCGTCATCAATCGAGGGAGAGAAGAAGCTCCTCTACACGGTTCTGCAACACAGACAACCCCCATATCTCTACGAACTCTACGCCTTCGAACTCACCGGCAATCAAGCTCCCGACCAACAACTTCCGGCGCCGGTACTCAAGCTGGACTTTTTAGAATACCCATATGGCATGGCCTTCTTCTCCTCCGGACCCAAAATCTACATGGTCGGAGGCTCATTTCTCAACAAGAAAAAGATCAATGGAAGAACCCAAATCGAAGGCGGGTCTAAAGACATGCACATCTACGATACCCTAACCGGTTCTCTCCGAATCGGACCTCCGATGCCAACCGGGAAGGGCGACGACACAATTGTTGTAACTCCACCTGTTGCTGGTAAGTATTATATTGTTGGATTTGAAAAATTCACTGGGCTTTCCATAGAGGCTTTCAATGTTGATTCAGAATCATGGTCTGGTCTTAGTCCTTGTCCTTTTTTCTCAACTGAACTGTTACAAGAATACCCGTGTGATTTTTCTATTGATGCTTATTCTGTTGTTGGCAACAAAGTTGTTTTGTCTGTGTTTCGGTGTTATTCACACAGTGATACGACTAGCAGGGGTGTGGTTATGTATATCATTGATGAGGATGTTTGGGAAATTGTGGTGGATGAATCTGTTGAATTGCCATTTCATGGCCCTGCTCTGTATGCAGAAAATGATGGATGGATTGGTTTATGTATTGGTAGAACTCGAGGACCTCGCAATCCGAGTGATGGATGGATTGATTTATTTAATGGTACAGTTCGTGGAACTCGTGGCAGCACTGATGTGTGTGGTTTCAAGGTTACAGATTGCTTCCGGTTTTCGCAGAGGCGAAGACTGCTTAATGTAGTTGACCCCAATGAGTTCAGTCACAGCAAGCAGCATTATTTGGTTAATATGGGGGACAAGAAGTTCTGTGTTGTTAGGACAGGGAATGTGGCTGGTTTTATGGGTCAAATCATGCCAGTGCCACTTAAATTCTGGACCAATATTGTGGTATTGGAAATCAGTACTCAACTCTCCTCATCATCCTCCTCCTCCTCTTCCTCGGGATGGAAGGCCACCAAGCAGCTCTCGAGCTCCTACTGGACCTACGGAGAGTGCGAAAACTTTGGCATGGTCATTGCAGCTTTCATGATATAATCAACTGGACTTGTATGCACTTCATGCTTGTTTTGTTTGAATTTCTAGTTTAGAGTTGTATATGCACATTCTGTTAATATTAGAACTTTTCTGGTTGGTGATTGGTTGTTATGTGATGATTTGTTTAAATTCCATCTAACAAATTGTTTGGATAGAGCATTATCAACAATCCAAGAACTAGCTATTGTATGCTTAAAGTCTTTAGTTCTTACATAAATCACTTGGGAGTTCAAAAAACAAAGGTGTTGTGACATTGAAATTTGTTGCACCTGCATATCCAATTAAGAAGAATTGGTTTCATTATATTCTCACGCATTTTTCAAGGATCCCATCACTGTTCATTATATACATAGATGCATATAATGTATACACATAAGCACACCAAGTGTAAACTCATAGGCTACAGCCATTAGAAGCAGCCTCCAAGAAAGTCATGCAGTTGTATTATATGGCTTTTTAGACATTTATTCTATCTACATAGAATTTCAGTACAACCAGTGTTCAATGGACAAATTATCAAGTATTTACCGGGATTTGAAGGTGAACTTTTCCCTTCAAGCTTGAATTTGGGTAAATGTTATTTTCTTGCTGATTTTCACTTGTAACGCCCATATGTCTATAATTTGCTATGTTGTTTGATTTGAATTGGGGATGTTGGTTCTTATGGATGGGGTTATTGTTTATACAGATGTATTAACGCTGGTGATTTTGAGACGTTCTATTACAGTATTTTATTGACTCACAAGGGACCCCTCAAGAGGACCCTCTTTTTCTTTGGTTCTCTTGGCTGCCCTGGCTGCTGTTCTTTCTATGAACTCATTCTATGCAATCGGTATTATTTCTCTCTTTTCACTTTCTTTTTTTATGCAATGTGATAAACAATGCTCTGTACTAAAAGATTGGACTTCGAGTTAACGTAGAATACTTAGCTCTGTTCCTGTGGTAGTGGTGCCTGTGCTGATGCCACCATTGATGAATATTTCTTAGTCATGCATAGTGACAATATTATTTTGATGTTACTCTAGATCATAGTTTTCGAATGAAGATGATCATAGTTTTGAATGATGATGGTCTTAGTTTTTGAAGAAGAATTTTTTACTTCTCGGAAGTTCAAGAAAACACACATCCACTACATATATATTATGCCATGAGAGCTTATACCATCTAGTCTAGTGTAAAAAAAGAAGAAGATTGTGTAATTTCTGACCGGTTAGTATAAATGATGGAACTGTAGCTGTATTGGCATGAAATGTTTGGCAGTGACTTGTTGATTATGAAAGATTCTTAGAAAATCAAGCTAAGATTAAAGATTGTTAATGGTCAGAGGAGGCTGGTTTAGTTCAATAAACCGCATGAAGAAATGTATTTTAGTTCAATTAACCACAAAAGGTGCTCCAAGTTAAAGAATGCCCATTGAAGTCGCTTAGACTCCAATGCAAACTGAATCTGAAAGCTCTTTGGGAAGCTTGAAGACCTGGCTAAATTAATAAGAATATTCTAACAGCCCTATCAATTTAACTTCAAATTTTCTGTGCAGGTCTAATGGAGTTTTGACATTGGAAATTACAATGTAGATTTATCAAAGTTGAAATATTATTTATTATATTGCTGATCTCTTCTGTATCTTTACTGACCTTTCATAGTTAATGTTGTTGAGACACAGAGAAGTAACAACCTTATCATGGGTAGTTGATGGTCGAATTCCAGGTTGTTAGATGGAATATATATGTATATATTAATTCAATTTTACCTAAGAGTCAGCTTTTGAACTTAAAGTATATCCTTGGGTGGTTTGCATTAGCACTAGATTAATAGTAGCATGGTGTTACTCGGATGTGTTTAGATTGAAAGAGTTGGAAGAATAAAAACTAAAGGAGATGAATGGAGAACCAATTTCTGTCTGCTTAAAAAATGTTATTGTGGGTGTAATGAGTTTTGATTTTTTGTTGCTGACAAAATAATGAAAATATGTTACCACTCTTGGAACGAGAAGGTAGAATTGTGATTTTCATTCTATTTTACATTATCTCTCATTTTCTTTATTTTTTTTTTCATTATTATACTATCTTTTAATTTCCTTTCTTCTTCTTTTTTTCTCTTATTTTTCCAAACACATTTTGATTTGAGGGAGTTGGAAAGAAAAATAAAGGGATAACTCATAACTTAACTTCTGTTTGGTTCAAACATGAGAAGGGAAAGGAAATCAAAATGAGGAAGAAGGAGAGTGGAATTACTCGGACAAAAAGGGTAAGAGAGCTCCTAATTAGTAATTATCAACTTCTCCCCATTTTATAGCGAGTCAATTCATATTTTACTCTTTTCTATTTAAGCGATTAGAGGTTTAATTTTTTTCTTCTTTTAACTATAAATTTCAAACAACATTCATAAATTTTTCTCAAAAACTTAAAAAAAATTAAATTCCACCCTAATGAGTCAGCCAATCACAAGACTCAAAAAGAGAGAAGAACTTTGAATCACAGCTGAACCTTTCCCACCATTATTTTCCCCAAATCAAAACCTTAATTTCATCATCACACATCACTCCAACAACCCACACACCAACCAACAAAAAGCCAAAACCACCACCATAAAAACCAACCAAATAGAGGATTAGATAGAAAGGAATAAATTAAAAAAAAAAAAAGGGAGAGAAAGAGAAGGAAAACCCACCTCCCATTTTCCTCTCTTCCCTCTCCACCCATCATCAATCCCTCCTCCTTCCTCCTCCTCCAATGGCCACCTTATCTCTCCTCTCTCCTCCTTCTCTCCACCACCCCACCACCACCGCCGCCGCCGCCGCCGCCACCCGCCTTATCCTCCGCACCCCCTCCCTTAACCTGCGCACCACCACCTACCGCAGACCCCTCTCTATCAAATCCCTCTCTTCCCCATCCCCCTCCCCTGTCCTCTCCCAAGATGACCTCAAGAAGCTCGCCGCCGATAAGGCAGTCGAGTACGTCCGCAGCGGCATGGTCCTCGGCCTCGGTACCGGCTCCACCGCCGCCTTTGTCGTCGCCAAGCTCGGCCAACTCCTCAGCTCCGGCCAATTGACCGACATTGTTGGCGTACCCACCTCAAAACGCACCCAAGAACAGGCCGCCTCTCTGGGTATCCCCCTCTCCGTCCTCGACGACCACCCAAAGCTCGATCTCGCCATTGACGGCGCTGACGAGGTCGACCCAGATCTCAATTTGGTCAAGGGCCGTGGCGGAGCTCTCCTCCGCGAGAAAATGGTGGAAGCTGCCTCCGATAAGTTCGTCGTGGTGGTGGATGACTCGAAATTGGTCACCGGACTTGGTGGAAGTGGGCTCGCTATGCCTGTAGAAGTGGTTCAGTTCTGTTGGAAATACAATCAGATAAGATTAGCTGAATTGTTCAAAGAGGAAGGGTGTGAGGCCAAGTTGAGAATGGATGGTGACAAGCCTTATGTGACTGACAATTCGAATTACATAGTGGACTTGTATTTCAAGACTCCGATCAAGGACTCCGGCGCCGCAGGGAAGGAGATTTCGGCATTGGAAGGGGTGGTAGAACATGGGTTGTTCCTCGATATGGCGACCGCGGTCATCATTGCCGGGAAGAGTGGAGTGAGTGTGAAAGCCAAGTGATGATGGTTCTGAGTGGTGGGGATGATGGTGAGAGTCTCATGGTTCTTCTGTTACTTGTTAAATTTTTAAATGCAGTATACTTGTTGTTCATTATTCTTGATAATTTTGGGCTCACTTGTTGTAACTCTTAGATGGTCATGTGGATATTTACTGAATTTTTGTATCATGGGTATTATTGAGGAATAATTTACATTTCTATGCTCTAATTGTGTCCTTTAACATGGTCTTTTAAGTAGAGAATTTCTTCTACTTATACTTTCCCTTGTTATCTAGTTTCTGGTTCTAATGTATAATTTCTAATTTTACTTGGTTATTCTGAGCACCTTTTTATGAAATTTTTTGGAATTTATTAAAACATGTGCTTTATACTATTTTTTATTTTATTAGGCTTCTGGAATTTGATTACTAGTAGAACAAGGTTTAATTTTGTGAAAGTTCAAATTTTTTGCCCAAGGGGATTGATAATATGCTTTGAAAATATGCGAATTGCTAATGATAGACTGCGAGTTGAAGGTGTACATAGGAAATAGGGAGCATTGATGTTGTTAAGCTTGTGATAGTGCCAATGCTAGGATAATTTCCTCTTAGATAGTTTCATAACTGGAACCTTTTCATTGTTCTAAGACCATGGATAGGCTCACTTTGATCATATTGTTGCATCTTGTTTGTGATGCAAGTATTATACTGACTAGGTAGATTAGATTACTCCAGGTTGTCAATCATTCAGAACAAAGAACTAAATACTTTGTTTTATAAGTAACTTAAAAGAGAACGAGATATGATAATTTACCAAATGAGACCAAAATTGATTCCGGCAAAATCCTGAAAATTTCCCCAATGTTTAGTTACAGATATTTAATATTTGATTCTGATTTTGAAATGACTTTAGTTGCATCTGAATCAGATGTGAAAAGGAGTTGGGTGAGTGTCAGGTAGACAACCAGTTGTAAAATGTATGATAAATTACTGATGGATTCTCACTTGAATAAAAAATACCACAAAAATAAGTCACAAAAAACTGAGATCCGGTGATATAACGCAGGTCTTCCAAGAGTGGAACAATTGTTAGAAGTGCGTTTGATTGATTCATTATTCATGAATCTATAAAAAGGGTTGAGGGTTGGAACAAACAAATTTGAAATTTTCTCCTACATAAACTTGAAACTAATTTTTGAGGCATCTCTGGTAAATCACTAGGTGATAGATATTCTGATTTGGGGTTCCTCTGAAGACAAGAGTTATTTAAAAAATTAGTGATCAAATCATATAGTCTAAAAATATAAGAAGCGGAGGTAAAAATTATCATAGTTTACAACAAAATAAACATAAAAATTGATAATGGGGGTAAAACATTTGGGGAAAAAAAAATCCAGTAGAGAGTAGTGAAAAGCTCACCTCAGGTACTATTTTACCATAAAGTTCCAAACTGAAGTCAAAGGATTCACCTTGCACACCCACGGCAGTGAAACTAAATAACCCCTAAGGCTCACATTTCACTAATTCATCCTTTGCATCAGGTAAAGCAAATCATTCAATTCCCATCATTCTTTTCAATTAAAGAGAACTCTAATACTTTTCAAATCATTCAATTTCCATCACAAACTCTTATACTTCTTCTATCTTTTTTCCCTGCTGTGTTTATTTCTTTCGACATCAGCACAAAAATGGTAACCATTCAAAGCTTAAAATGAACTGAAGAAAATATAGGAGAAATAAAAAATAAAAAATGAAGTGATATTCCATTTTTGATGTAGAGTACTAAATCTGTCAGAGAATGAGAAAAAATATATATATAAACGATAAGCTTTCCAATATGGCAGAACTATCAAAAGCTTTTCTGCTATCTTCTTCGTTTTCCTTCTACAGCCAGCAACTCTCTCCCCCCTCCTTTTCTTTCCCTTCTTCTGTGTGTGTGCGTGTGCGTGCTAAATGTAGTTCTGTTCAATTCTCTGGTGTAATTGTCTTTGTATTTATTGTTGGTATCGACACAACTTATTGGATTGATCCGAGATTTGAAATGTTTGTAAGTGAATGCTAAAATGGCTAATTTACCTTGTCTATTGACAGACTTAGCAGCAGTAGTGCAACACATAAATGCATATGGTATTACCTATATTGTACTATATGTCACATGTGCATAGGGTGATCACCTAGGCAACTCGCATATCATTGCCTAGCCGATTATGCAATCTTCAGACGAGAAGACACTGGGATTGATGAAGTTTTGAAATTTCTTTTTATGCTTGAACTGTTGGTATAAAATGCTGCAACAGTTGCGTGCAATTTAGTTTTTGTGGACGGTTTACTTGATGGAAGATTGTTGGTACTCTGTAGTGAGTCGTGGAAAACACGCAATGAGAATGCATCTCTTAATCCTAGCTCCTTATGTGAGTGTGGGTTTGTATAGTTGTGGGTAGGGGAGGGGGATTTTCTTGGGCAGTCAGTGCCCCATTACACTTCTTGAACTGTTGGTATAAAATGCTGCAACAGTTGCGTGCAATTTAGTTTTTGTGGAGGGTTTACTTGATGGAAGATTATTGGTACTCTGTAGTGAGTCGTAGAAAACACGCAATGATCGAGAATGTGTCTCTTAATCCTAGCTCCTTATGTGCGTGTGGGTGTGTATATTTGTGGGTAGGGGAGGCGGATTTTCTTGGGCAGTCAGTGCTCCATTACACCAAGATATTAGGTGCTTAATTGTTCGGTTAGACACTCAAAATTTGTAATTATTCTAATCTCACTGAACTTTTTTTTTTTTTGAAAGGTAATCTCATTGAACTTGGCTATTAAATCTAACATGTGTTGCAAACCTACGATTCGCCAATAGCTTGACGGAGTGTAGTTTCTGTCTGTCAATCATCATTTGATCCGAATGCAACTACATGCATTACATATTTAACTTTCCAATTGTGTGGGGTTATGGCTCTGCTTCAATTATTGATCTTTATGAAACCAACAAATGCTCATACTGCTACCATAGTTTCAAATTTGATTTTCTGGTGAAAATTGAAAATCTCACATGTTATATTAGATCCCCAACTTTATCCATGTAAGCCTGTCGTGAGTGAAGCCTTGAACTTCTTTGAGTCGAAGACTCAATGGCAAGGCATATTACTACTTGCATAAGCTTGATAAATTTTGATTAAAGAATTTTCACGGATCTAATGTATCTGCACCTTTAACTTGGAATGCTTGTTAAAGTTGAATGACTTAATTGTATCACAGTTTCCATATGTCTATTAACCATGCAATCGAGGTGTACTGATTTACTTCATCAATGGCAAAATCCTTTTTTTTTTTTTTTTTTCCCACCCAACCCCCCACTTTTGGGGGGAATGTTAGGTTTAAGGAGTGTGTGCACAGTGTGCATTAAGATGAGTTTAAATGAAGTTGTTTATCTACTTTATGTGGATGATATTCTGTGGAGATAGTGATGGGCTGATGATCCATGTATGAACAAATATTCTGCTATGGTTTTTTGGTAAAACACTCAGATTTATAAGATACCGGAGAGGCAAAGGATATACTGGGCACTCTTCTTATTTGGGATGGAAGGTCAAGAACTTTGGGCTTGTCTCAGTATGTCTGCATTTAGACATTTGTTAGATGGCACCTGTATTACAAGTAACAGGAGGTGATATCTAAATACACAATATGATGGAAATGAACAAGTGCCTTATCAAAAGAAGAACAAGAAGATCAGTCCATGAGCTGTGTGTTCTAGTAATAGAGTTCTCTTTTCCTTGGTTACATCTCCTGTTGATCCATTATTTTCTCCTCCTCTTCACGCCTGCATGAAGGCCTTTATTTATAGTCTCAGCCATTGGCTTGGCTCTCGAGGGTCAGACCCAAAGCTTGGGCCCACACTGCTAGGGTAGCCATCATGACCCTATTTGGTCTAAATGGGTCATTTTGGTCCTTTAGCTCGAGGGTGATCGCTGTTGCATTAAATGCACATCCTTTCGAAAGCTTCGGTAGCTGAAAACAATTAATGTGATTATCAGTGTTTCAATCGAGGCACGTGGTTTCATCATCTCTTTGACTAGGCCTATATGCTAGGTGAGCGTATGCAGTGATTCCCCTTTGGCCAATCTGTGATGCTCGTAGGAAACTCGAGCACCCTCGTGTGAGCGTTGTTGTCGAGACATTAGGTAGCACTCGAGCTTGACCTGTGTGAGGTATGCCATGTGGACCTTGGGGTCAAGATGGACTGTGAGCATCGCTGAGGGGCTCGAGCTTGACGGGAAGTCGGGAACCATGGAGGTGTACCACGTGGATCCATGGGCTACAGCTCGTTACATGAATGAATATTTGTTCTAAAAAGTTAGTGTCATAGGGTTCAAAGGAGAAAAAAAGGGCAAACCCAGTATACGAGGCTCTTGCCATTATGAGGTAGCCTTACCTCCTCTTGCAGAGAGGATGTTTCCGCGTTTTGAACCTGTGACCTCCGGCACAAACCCATTGCACGAGGCTCAAAGGAGATACACATTTGAAAAGGCAACTGTTGTTCATTTCTAGTTGGGAGTGTCATGCAAAGTGCAATGCATCTTGTCTACCATATGTTTTATGTTGGCATTGTAAGGCTTAAGCAAAATAGTTGTCTTTCTGGCTGAACCTCCCATGCACTAGCGGTAGGGAGTCTTTTATCTGCTAGAGAAACACAGACTGGTGTATATATATTTTCTGGGCACCAACTTCAGTTTTTGTGAAACTGCATATCATCAAGTGATTTACAGGTAAAAAAAAAAGGGGGGGGGGGGGGGGGGGGGGGGGGGGGGGTGGAGGGGAATTTACAGGTGCACCCATTTTGGTTTCTGGGAAATGTTTGGAACAATGTGAACAGGCCAGGGTTTAGACTTTAGAATTAAGGTTGAAAATGATTTTTAGCTGCAGTCATTTTGGTAAGGTTGTTTGTATGTGGTTTTGCTGAATTCGAATCAAAGCTTGAACTAGTCTCGGATTCGTCTTCTCTTTCCCCAAATTCTGAAACAAACGAAACATTAGAAATGTATGTAAATTCCAGGAAAGAAGAGAATCAAAATGATATATAGCATGTTCTTTCTTTCCCATCTTGTCATCATATTGTAATTACTATTGTTTCAAATTTTCAAATAGGCTAGGCAACAAAACGAAAGAATCCAAGTTGATGTAGGCAAAAATAAAAGCCACCACAATCTATCTTCAATGATATCAAAGACATCCACACAGGAATCAGAATTATACACTAGTTTGAAATTATATAATATAATTGACATCAGTTTGGGTTGTCTGCAATATTACCATCTTTCATCATCTTATCTTATGCTTTGCCTAAAAATGTACTACCCAGTGTCCCCTTCGCAGCAACACTGTATGAGCACTCAATGACTCCATGGATCCCATACTTCAATTTCGTCGCTGCTCAATGCACATGTCCGGGACCCAAGCAACAAGGATCAATATGTTATACCAAATCCATCTACCTACCTATATGTATACACACACACACTAGCTACTATTAAAAGTGTATAGAATTTTTAGTTTTTATATACACTTAAAAAACCTTTTTTATATATATTTTTATTATTTTTATTCTTTTGTTGATTAATATCATGACTCATCAAAACTTTAAGTGTTTCCAAAAGTCACATATTTAATTCTTTTGTTTATATATATATATATATATATATATATATATATATATATATATAATAATAGAACATTATAAAATAATAATAATAATAATAATAAACAAACAACAGCAAAGCTAGCTTTTGAAATCACTGTTACCTCAACTTATCTTCTCTTATTGTTAATATATATATATTTGTGCAAAAAAAAATCTATTTATTTTAATTATCTTATTTTTAATTTTTCTTTCCTATTTACTTTAGGTTTGAACTCTTGAACTCTTTGAATAAGGACCTGATATCACTAGTCCGCTATGAATTTTACTATTCTTATTAACACCAATAAATTATTGGCAATCGTTTATTTTGTGTTGATAGTCTCTTGTAAATATTTGAAATATTCTAAAATTGTAGCATTCTCTTGTTAACATGATTTGAAGTACTCTATAGATGTAGGGACTTGTAAAAATCTTAGGTATTTGAGCATTCTATAATCCAATTCTAGAATTCTACTAATGTTTTGTATAGATATTCATGTTTGTTATAAACATTGTTTGAAATAGTGTAAAATTATAATCTTGTATAAATATTTCAGATCATTTTAGAATCCGGTTATAGAATTCTCGTAATGATTTTGGATAAATGATACATGTTTGTTTATTGCAAGTCTCTTTATAAACAGAGATAGACAACTTATTTACTTGGCATGAACTCACCAACCTAACTCTTTTACTTTTCGATATGGCCACTAATGGATATTACCTTTAATTCATAATTACAAATTACTAGATTGCCCATTATTTTCTATACAGTGTTACCTATTTTATTTTTATTATATTCACGGGGAAGATTCTTATTTACAAAATAATTGTTGAATGTCAATAGGATAAAAATTGAAATACTTACTTGCGTTGTATCCTCATATTTCAAAAAGTTTGGTGAAATATTTGTCTCAATATTAAAATCAACAAATATCAATTGAGATAATAAAGTTTGAAATTAATGTACCGGGTATACTTAACTATTTTTACAAAATAAAGCACCAGACAATTCAGTTGACAGATGGCAAAACTCCAATAGTTTGATTAGCAGTCCCTATATAATTTTTGAGTGAATATGATCGAGTCCATAAGCATTATTTTATTTAATAATTTTATAGCGAGTGATTGCAAAGCTCATAGGTCTAATTCAGAAAATGAAGGTCTTTACATTTTGGAATAAGCACCAAAAGGGTTTAAAAGTCAGTTTCAGAAACATTGACATAGACCACCTAGTTGCAATTTTAATATCCAAGTGATCTTGATAATTCACAGCCTGTTGTGTATTATATAGGTACATTTCTTGGTGATGTTTGTCCTGTGCAATTGATCTTATGCAAGCCGCTCCCAGGTGACACTTTAGTCTTTCCAATAAAACAAAAAAATTGATTCGAGTTTGAAAACGTAACACGATTATTATCAGTTCCACGTAGATGTCGTCTCGAGAATACTCGTACAAATTTAATGTAGCAACTGCTTCTTATTCGTTGATGAGGTGGGATTGCAAAGGCTAAACGGCTGAAGAATCCGGCTAAGACGAGCTGAGAGTGAGAGACTGAAAAGGAACAAAGTATAAGTAATTGAGAAACCTCCAATATTCAGGTTGAGGCAATTGGCATAATTAGGGGGAGTCATTGCAGGCCTTGGCCTATAAACTATATCACAAGACCACAAAATTCCACTTGAAAGATAGTGTCATCCTAAGACTAATTAATATAAATATTCAGTGAATAAAATAGCCAAATAGAGTACAAATTTTCTATTAATAAGAAGATTGCCAAAGTCTTACACACACACTAACACACACACACAGGTCAAATAATAGAAACTACATATGCTTTTCTTTCATCTGTGGCATTAGATGGTGTGCCACAGATGGGGAAAGCAAGCAAATGGATTAGGAACTTCTTGATAGGAAAAAAAGATGAGAAAGAGAAGAAGAAAGAGAGTTGCTTTTCATTAGAAAGTTTTGCAACTCCTAAAGAGAAGCCTAGGTGGAGCTTTGTAAGATCTTCAAGCACAGACACCAACCCTTATAAGAGTACTAGATCATTTGATTCAATTGTCACTTGTCAGCTTGTAACACAGAACGCGCAGAATCGTGTCACGGCCATAGCCGTGGCAGCCAATGAAGCAACTGAAAGAGGTGTGGGAGCAAAACACGCAGTGTCTGAAAAGCCAGGACCAGTTGAAGATGCAGCTGCCACCAAAATACAAGCCGTGTTCCGGTCTTATTTGGTAGGCATTCGTGTCTTAGTATTGCAATTTGTTAGCCATATTTTCATCATTTAAGCATATATAAGATGAATGATACATAGAAGAGTTTAATGTCATTTCAGGCGAGGAAAGCGTTGTGTGCCTTGAGAGGACTGGTGAAGCTACAAGCATTGGCAAGGGGTCACCTGGTGAGAAAACAAACTACTGCTATGATGAGATGTATGCACTCATTAATGGCAATTCAAGTCCGAGCTCGTGTTCAGAGGATCCAAATGGCTGACGAAGCACAAGGCAATAGGAGAACAACGCGAACAACTAACAGAGAATTAGCTCAAGGCAGTCAGCTCAGCAGGACATATAGTGTAAGGCACATTTTTTTTTCCCTATGCAGCATTTTTTTCTCTCTCTCATATATTCAAACACAAAAAATGGTTTTAGGAAAGCATGAGAATTTGAGTTGAATTGTGAATGACCAACAATTTGGTTATTGTTTATGTAGGAAACAATGGATGCGAAAGTCAATGAAACACGACAAAGTTTGAAGAGCAAAAGTGAGCATATGAATTACTCAAAAATTGAAAGGACCCGTCTTCCAATCTCAAAACATGATCATCAACTTCAGATAAGCCCGAATCCATCAACACTTGCAGACAAGAGCTCAAGAATCTGCAACAAGCAATTTCAGGATAATTCTTCCACTAAATCACAGAGAAGTCCTCAATACTTTTCTACCATGTTCGACTCCAACCAAACAAGAGCTCCTTTTAGTACTCCGGTGCCAGATGATCATGACTACCAGTTCTCACCAAATTTCATGGCCAACACAGAATCTTCAAAGGCGAAAGCAAGGTCCCGGAGTGAACCTAAACAACGGCCAAAATGGAGGATGAAACAGAAGAGCACGAGAACTGCATCAACGGAAAAAATGGATGTCACACAAGAAATATTGATGCATAGCTCATTGTCACACTCAAAAACGACTGCCAAAAAGAACCAGTACCCCTGGTTAATGAAGCTCTATCGACAAACGAAGTCTATAAAGGACAGTGAATGTGATTCCACCAGCACAATGACTAATAATTCCAACTACTGCAACTCCTTAATTGTGTGTGAGGTAAGTTTTAACATAGTCTTCGATATATATATATATATATACACACACACACTTGTGTAACTTGTGTTTGACTTCACTTGCTACTTGCAGCCTTAATGCACTTTTATGCACTTCTAATTTCTGAAATTTGTTTGATTGCAGCCCCCTGTGAATCTGTACTAATTCTTCATACATTGCTACCATCATCAAAGGACTTTGAAGAATAAACTTAATTGCTACGCTGCTGACCAAGCTTAAACAGGGGATTTGAGTTTGCAATGACACAATGTAAGAAGGTGATGGACTTTACTGATCATACTTGATTCATACATCCCATGTAATGACTAAAAGGCAATCTATTGGGGAAAATATTGTAAGAATTTTAATAAAATATGTGGGCTGCACGGTCATTTTATTTTGATTTGCTAAAAAACGGATTGGTTGGTATACGTGAAGTCAGAGATAGTAGACTGCATAAGCTCATTATTAAGGATTGTGATCACTAAAGTCTATTGAGCTTGGTACACCTTACTAGGTTGGATTTAGGGCTGCAACTCAAGCGGCCCAATCCGAAATAACCCGAGCTCAGCTCAAAATTTTGTGGGCTTGAACAATATTTTTCTAATTTCGATTTGGGCTTGGGCTATATATTTTGAGTCCGAACCGTCTGGCCCGAAATAACCCGAGCCCAGCCCAAAATTTTGGGGTTTGGGGAGTGTTTTTCAAATTTCGGTTTGAGCCTATGCAATATATTTTGAGCCCGAATTCAATTCGGGCTGAGGTTGGGTTGATATGGAAGAAGTTCAAAGCCCAACCCGAGCCCGAAAATATTATATATATTTATAATTATATTTAAGTCACAAGAGTGTGATAGCCAAGTTGGTATTATGCTTGAAATTTATGTTTAAGGTCTCAGGTTCAAGTCATGGGTGCAAAAATCATTAATTGATTTATTTTTTACACACAAATTCTTCTGAGGTGGGCTTAGTACGGGCTCGGACTGGACAAATTATGTATGGGCAGCTTGGATCGGGCTTGGGCTGAAAATTTTCTATATAGGCCCAGCCCTAGATATTTTTGTAGCAATCCTTTATGGGTTAGGACGGCCTAACGGCGGCCTAACGGTACCAGGCTCTTACTTTCTAAAGGGAAGTCATGAATTCGAGCCTCCATAAAGGCATGTATGAGAGTACCCACTAGGGTTGCAAATTGAGCGGGTTGGGCAGGCTTGGCACTAGGGCTACAACTCAGACGGGCCCAACCTGAAATAACCTGAGCCCAGCCCAAAATTTTGTGGGCTTGGGCAATGTTTTTTTAATTTCGGTTTAGGTCTGGGCTATATATTTTGAGCTCAAATTCAATTCAGGCTAAGTTTGGGTTGATATGGATGAAGCTCGAAGCCCAACCCAAGCCCGAAAATATTATATATATTTATAATTATTACTTTAAATAAGAGTGTGACAGGTTTCAGGTTCAAGTCATAGGTGCATACATAATTTGTCTAGCCCGAGCCCATCTCAGAAGAATTTGTATGTAAAAAGTAAATCAATTAATGTTGCACCTATGACTTGAACTTTAAAGCTTAAACATAAATTTCAAACTCACTACCAACTTAACTACCACGCTTTTGTGACTTAAGTATAATTATAAATATATATAATATTTTTGAGTTCGAGTTGGACTTCGGCCTTAATCCATATCAACCCAAGCCCAGCCCGAATTAAATTCGGGCTCAAAATATATAGCCCATATATATATATATGGATTTAGTCCCCAATATCACATAATTAATTAGATAAAGTCTCCCCATTACACTTAGCAATGTAAGGTAGAGAGCAGAGAGTAAGTAAAAGTCCTCCTCCCACCAAGGCGAAGGACTTGAAGATCTGATTTACATATTCTATTATGTATGTAGACATATTCTTATGATTAGAGTAAGGTCTACATGAAATTAAATTTTACTATAACTAGTAAGTCTTTGAGCAATGGCTGAAGTTCGGGTTGACAAGTGTGAGGATGCATGGTTTAAATGTTAAGAGTAGTCACTTAGTGCAAAATAATATTAAATTTTACACCTGTATGCATAAATAGGACATACACACCACTAATATTGTGTTTGAGAGCTGAATTGAAATTTCGGATTTGAAGGTATTCCCAAATATAGCATAAGTAACGTTTAAAATGACATCAACTACTAGTGGTATACATAAACATAGCTGTCACATTACAAATTCCTGTACTATTGGAACATTGTATGTTGTTTCTTTAGGAGTTATTAATGGTCTTCTTCTAGTCCTTGCAATTACTTCAACTTGAATTAATCAACTCCTCACTGGCTCTGGAGAGTGACAAAAGATGCTAAAACCAAGCCATCTAGATCCATCAGAACTAAAAGACATCTTGTGTGCAAGGACTATTTTCCTAACTCAGTTTAGTTCTGAGATAATACTACAAAATCACAACAGATAGTAAAGAGAGACAAAGATCTGCACAGTAGGTGAGAGATCTTGGCTCCTAGTTATACCCCTGCACTGTGTAGAATGTGTGTGTGTGTGTGTGTGTATATCCTGACACTGTTCAGAATATATTCAAGAGGATGTCATATTGTCATGTGACCAGAAAGAAATATTTTGTAAGTGCTATTTGAAAATTTGCACAATCCTGTCATTAATTTTGGCCACCTTTGAGCATGGCATTCTAGAAAATACATTTCTTAGTAGCAATTTGATTATATAACATGGAGACATGGAACTTGTTTAACCTCCAAATTTGTATTATTAAGTATTCAAAGTATCATGAGGTTAAGTTGAAATAACAGCCTCGTTCCAATCACATAATGTTTTTGTTCGGTATAAATGATACAAGGAAAGAAATAATAATAGGAGGGATATGTCTTCCTTCATTCTTTTCAAATTTTCATGCGTCAAAAAATGAGCGGAAGAGAGGGGGAAGAAAAATAGAATATTATAGAAGTTTAAATTTAAATAATATCTTAAATTATACAAGTTTTAAATTACCGTACCATCCTCTATTAATTAAAATATTATAAATATTATTGAACATAATAATAAAAATAATTTAAAATTATATTTTTTCTTCTCTCGAATATAGTAAATTGTTAACTTATTTTCTTCTCTTTTATTGAACCGAACAAAAAGATCTAATTAAAAAAAAAAAAAAAAAACTTATAAAATTCAAAACATTAACAAACTTAATAATGCAAATGAAAGAAAACTAATTTGTATTGATGTGAAAATACTTATATGTCATTTCAAATTTCATTGTACTTCTTAGCCCAAAGAGTGGGCTACTCTTCATTATTTTTGAGAACTCGATTTCGAGCCTTCCTACTCATTCACCCCATTGTGCCATAAAATAAATAATAATAATAATAAATTAAAAAAAAAGGTCCATTGTATGGTCAATCTATTAATTACTAATTTTTATTTTTATTTTTATTTTTTATTGAAAAGGTACTAATTTTGACTTGTTTATGGCTTTGGGTTAAATTCATTGTACACAGTACACATAGAGAGATGTTCTACTGTGTGTCCCTCCACGAGCAGCAACCTAGGGATTATCATCATCATCATCCATTTGTCCCACTCTGTCCTTCAAAGGTCAACCAAAGTCAAACTTCATGATCATCAACGCAACAGCTTCTGATTCCTACACAGAGGATCAACACTCCAAAAAGTTGACTTTTTACCTATCCAATACGCACTTCATTGCCGTTAGATTGGTGGACCCCATGTTGATGAATGCCTAGCAATTTATGTGTTTATATACGTATAATTACGTAAGTGGGGACAGCAGAAGAGGTACAGAGTACAGAGACCATGGCATGTGAAGGTGATGTGTCGCAGTGAATCAGTGTGTATCTGCAAGAGTGGGACCCAACGGGGTCGTGGGGTGTTAAAGACAAGAAAACGGCTATTTACGTTTTTGGAGACATTCACCGTATACGTCTGTGTATCAGTCCATGTGGTGGGACCCATTTTTCCAACAGGAAAATCAGGTCGGTTCATTTGTGTTGTCTGTCTGGTAGATAGATAGATATACATATGCATATACATATGCTTCATATTTATAATTGCTACTTCCACTCCTAGGTATTCCTTTTTTGGATTTGTTTTGGTGGGTAATTAATTAGTTAATTTTTGAATAATAATAAACACAAGTGAAGTGACCACTTTAGAAAATTAAACCAACACCAAACTCCTTTTGTATTTAGTTTAAAAAGAGCCATTGTATTTTTAAAATTTTAACTTGATTTCACTTGTGATCTTATCTTCTTCTTCTTCTTCTTCTTCTTTTTAATTTTTTAATGTTAGGAATAAATTCACACAATTTATGAGAATTTAAACTCTCACAAAAATAGAGAATATACACCAAACTAAAGCGTAATGTTAATTCTACTTCTATGGTTGGTTTGCAACTCTACGTAATTATCCTAGAGTCAGGGATGGATTCAGAGCGGAATGTCTCTTACCCTTTTCAGAATTCTAAAAAGAAGAGATCTCCGCTAAAGATGGAGGAATGCCATTGAATTAATAAGAGGTTATACATATGAGCTAAGTAAAAATTTAAGATGGATAACACTATTGTTCTACTAGTATAAGTCTTATAATATAATTGAAATGCTATAAAGTGAAGCAAGATTAGTCATAATGCATAATTGAAAATGTCAAAATTAGGGTTCAAATGAAATGCAAGCGTGAGAGAGTTCAAGTACTCAATGGGTCAGTGTATACAAATTGCAAATATTATTTTATACTTGGTCTGTTCAATGTTCTTATTAATTGGATGAATACTGAGTTATTGTTTATATATATATATATATATGTTAGAATATATTGTAGAATATGTTATTACTATATTGTGGAATATAAGTTTATCATATAGGACTTAGGTTTCTTACTCTCCACACATCTTGTTACCTATATAAACTTCTATGTATCTTCATATCTTACACATCAATATAATATATAATTTCTTTTTTATATTTAACATGGTATCAGAGCCATCAATTCATTTTTTAATTTTGTTTTAATTTCTTGGTGGTGTTTCAATAAACCATCAAGAACACATAATCTGCCCAGCATCTAAAACAAATCCTATCTACAAGTCCTATCGTCATTCTGATTATATCAGACGATAGTACAGAGGTTCACTGTCTTGACACCACCAGAAAAGGCCGAAAGCAAGACAGCATGTGCCACCACAAGCTTCTGCCAGCCTTTTTGGTCGAACACGCGCCTCCACACGCCGAAACCTTCTCCCACGCGCCGAAGCACGTCAAATCCAACTTCCTCTGCATATCCACGCGCCTCCTGCACCACAGGGCCGTTTCTTTTGTTTTGGTTCCATGCCAACAAATTCGTTTTTTTTTTAGAAAAAAAAAAAAAAAAATCCGGTCAACCTTTGGCGATCAACCTTATTCAAACCCAATCAGCCTCCAAAACACAGTTAACAGCGGTGCCAGTAGTAGTGTCACGTCACCTGTCACGTTTGTTGCCATGTCAGACACTGTCAGCAGCGGTACCAGCCGTAGTGCCACGTCACCTGCCATGCCAACTGTTAATAGTATGTCCATCTTCATCATGGGTGAAAACCCATTTTCACCAAATCGCTTCCGCCATGCTGCTTTCAACATCTCATTTCCAAACTCAAGATGGTTTCATTCAAATCACCTTGATTTTGAAGGGGGTTGTTACAATATATTATAGAATATATTATTACTATATTGTAGAACATATTCTAACCATGTATAGGTTTACCATATAGGGTTTAAGTTTCTTACTCTCCACACATCTCATCACTTATATAAATTTCTATGTATCTTCATATCTTATACATCAATACAATATACAATTTCTCTTTTATATTTAATAATATACAAATTGAAAAAAGTATACGTGGGAATAAAGATCTTTAGGACTTTTAATTAAGAAGTACTATTTTTTGAGTGCAAACAATTCTTCAGAGTCACACTAGCGAGTGAAAGTCTGAGTCATTCGATCCATGTGGAGGGAGCTTTTGTACGATGATTTATGGATTAGTCGAGGCAAAGTTTCGAATAACCCGGTATTACCAAAACAATACCAAAACAAAAAAAAATTAGTACTTGCGTGAACAAGTCTCATTATTAGACTTTAATCTTAATTTTTTGATGAACTTAATTTGTAGCGTGAAAGATACGTATTTTTAGATGTCACGCCATATAGAGCATAGCGCGCATATATATATATATATATATATATATATGCTATGTGTATTTTTCGTGAATATAGCTTATATCACGCCATATAGAGCATTTAACCACAGAGATTTATCATATTGAATGGAGCCATTTAGGAAAGTAATTATTTTGAACATGGTGTAATAAGAAAGTTATGAATGAAGCTAGACCATGCATCAAAAATTGGTGGTGTCAAAGCATCCCACTCTTTGATGTGCCAATTCCAGAGAACAAATTTTCCCATCAAATCCTATGAAAACTAGTATTTCGCAACATATGGTAATTTTTTTTTTCTTTTTACACCTTTTTTTTTTCTTTGGCAAAAAAATCACATTACTTTTTCCCGAACTTCATCATCTTCTACCTTTAAAGAAGTATCACTAGATTACCGTTCATCCCTCTATATGAGTCGTGATGCATTTGATGACAACTAGCAAAAGTAGGCGGAACCCACAATATTGTGAGATACAGACTAGTCAAGTTTTGTATTTACCTTGTCATGTGTACTTCTACTAGTTTTAATGAATTGAAGGATTTGTAACCATGGGATGCATGCTCAAATGTTAGTCTCAAAATTGCTATAGAAATTTTTTTACAAAAATGATAAAGTATAATAGAGTAGAGGCCGGATCATAATTATGGGATATATACTTTATTTGTTAGATTCATAACTTTTTTTTTTTTTTTTTTTTTTTCTTTCTTTCAAGAATTGAAATAACTTCTGAGTCACATTTTTATTTATTTCAAGTCCACAGATACAATTTACTCATACATTTCTTGAAGAGTAAATTCAAGATACAAAATGTAAATTGAAATTATACTGCTTTGATCCATTGAAAAGAAATCAACTTATTTCAAAACCCTCCATTCTGATCAAGCCTAAATTTATTTTCCACCCCCTTTTTTTTGTATTTCATTCTGTGGAAAACTCTAATCAAGGAGCTAAAGAACAAGTACTATACCATCTGAGGGAATCACTAATTCTCTCCAAATAGCAAAAATAAGAGTAGAAATAGCATTCCCCGAATAGGATTCTACCTTGAACAAAGATTCTTATTCTCAGGTTTGTCGGTGACACTACATTATATATATATATATATATATATATATATATATAACTCCCCCAACAAAAACTAATGTCAGATAAGATACTAGTACTACTCAATTTCACCTAGGCAGAAAAAATAAAAAATAAAAACTCCGATTGAAAATCACACACAGAAGCAAAAAGAAAAAAAAAAGAAATCAAGGATGCTGGTACCTAAATTACATCCTTCCCACCTTCAGCAACATGCACATTTGCATCACTAGGACCACCTTGAGAAGATCCGGGGAGCTTTTCCGGCATTGCCGGGTGGTTTTTCGGCTGCACGGCCGAGCGGTTTTCCGGCCCGTCAAAGGGTGCCACAAGTATTCCTTGGCTGTACAAACTGCTCAATTGATGGAAATAAGGGCATGTCCTAGAGTCCATAGACCTCTTCTTGTTCACATCTTTTGTCTTCCTGAAGTACTTATTTATGTTCTCCCACTTCTCCTTACACCTCTTGGCACTCCTCTTGTACCCCAACTCCAACATCCCTTGTGAGATTCTCTCCCACAAAGGAGTACCCTTTGCTCCTTCCTTGTCTTCACTCCCACTAGTACTGTAGAGATTGCACCTCAGGTTTATCAGTGCCAACACTTCATCTCTAGGCCATCTCTTACCAATGTCATCTCTCTCCGACGGCGGCGTAGTAAAATCAGGGTTTTGGGGGGATTTAGGTGTTGAAGATGATGTGGGTGTTAATGGCTTGCTTTGGGTATTGATAGAATTAGGGTTTTGGGAAGTGGGGTTTTGAGGCACTAGGTTTTCATGTAATGAGGTGGATGTGTTTGGGATGTTGCTAGGGTTTTGGTGGGCAACAACTTGAAGGATGGATGATGTTTCTGCATCAACTTTGTTTTGGTTATAATTAGGGTTTAGAGGTGGGATTAGAGAAGGTGAAGTGTTGGGTGGCACTTCATTTCTAGTTCCAAAGCATGATTGGTTTTGGAGAGAAGAATTAGTACTTGATGATGAAGTGAATTTCTTCAAGAACTCAATGATTGTGGCTTGTCTCTCACCTGCAATGGCTTGTTCATGTGCCCTAATTTGAATCTCCTTGTCAATCCTCTCCATCTCTTGCTTCTTCCAAGCCTCTTCTCTTGCAATCTTCACCTCATCTCTCTTCACCATGTCTTCAATTAGCTTGTTGTGCAACTCCTCTTGTTGGGCCATCATCTTTTTGGCAATGTCCTCACAAAAACCCTTCAACATCTCAAACTTCTCTTTCCTTTTCCTCTTCTTGCTGTAATTACTGCTCTTCGATTTCCCCACCACTTTCTCGTGACGATCGTCTTCCTTATTGTAAGGTGGGTTCTCCACCATTTCAGTTCTTGAATCTTCAGCTTCCAAACTCTGCCCCATCTTGTCCTCTTCTTCAGCCTCATGATTTGGTTTTTCTGTGTTTTGGTGATTCTTTTGATCAGCTAGTACTTGAAGGTTCTCACCATGACAGAGCTCTTCAAGCTCACTGAAGAACCTGAAGTTCTTGTTGTAGCCCATGCTGTTGAAGTTTCTGCTTTCCTCTTCAAATTTCTCCTTGCACTTCTCAGCACTCCTCTTGAATCCAAGCTCTGCTAGCTTCCTGCTCCAAACCACAAATAAACAAAACGAAACACCACCTATACATAATAAGAATTCCATTTCATTATATATATGACCACTCTAAATAAATAAATAAATATATATGTGCAAAACATGGGTTGCTTCAATTTTCAATAATCTCTCTCTCTCTCTCTCTCAACAATAGAAGCTGAGCTGAAGTGGACTATCTCAGTGCCTGAGGCTCTCTAGAGAAGGTCAGATGTAGTGGACTATCTCAGTGTGCACGAGGCTCCCCTTATTATGAAATATAGAGAAGGTCAGATGTATGCAGCATCGTATATATATTAAGGACCCATTGATTTAATGTATCTATCTATAATAAAATCGATAACAAGTCCAAGATTCAAAAGTAAGTCTATATATATTAGCTATGAGTGTGTACTATGTTTTCAGTTTGGGAAATAAGTAGAAGAAACTAAAAGGAGAGGGAATTAAGAAGATTGAAGTGGAATTACTAAATGGGATTGTAAGTATATCTATATATATATATATACCTTGAAACATGTTCCCAAGTGAAATCTGGGAACCAATTCTCCATACTAGATCTGATCCTGAGCAAAGCAAGGACTTCATGATTCGACCACGGATCGATGAGCTCGGCTATGGATCTCTCTCTTTCAAGCTCCAGATTAGTAGAAAGCAAGCTGTTCTCTTCCTTGTCTGCTCCTTTGTTGGCGGTGGGTTGGTGGTGCAATTGGTGGTGGTGAAGAAGGTGGTGGTCATGGGGCGGTTGGAGTACTGTTTGGTGAGGAGGATAGGGATCAAAGGGAGGGAAAGGTTGGGACGAGCCATGGAGAGGGAAGGAGAGAGGGAGAGGAAGAGATGTTCTTGAGGCTATGAATTGGTGGAACTGGTCTGGGACTCCATCAAACATGTTTGTTGTTGTGTGTATGTGTGTGTGTGAATGTGAGTGTGAGTGTTCTTCTTTACCACTCCTCCTCAGCTCACTGTAAAATGGCAAAATGTTAACAAACAACACAACAAAAGTCTCTCTCTCCTTTCTTATTTTCTCTCTCTAAAGAGCTGTCTTTCTCTCTCCTCTCTCTCATATTCATCAAGGATTTTGTCTTCTATTGTAGTTAAGATGTGTTAGCCCCCACCCTTTTAAAATAGAGTGAAGGTACAGTCCAATCAGTGTACTGAGACCATTCAGCTTCAATGGTTGGGAGAGTGCACTGCACGTGGCTGTGGTACACGTGGGGTGTACAGTATATATAATAAATACTACATATGTATACATTCAGTATATAATATATATATATATATATATATATAATACGGAGTATTAAATATTTGAGACCCAAATCTTCTCCTACAATGATTTTGTGTACAATTAGCAATGTTCGTCACTTTTTATTGTGAATTTTATGAATAAATAAATATAAATAGACAAAATTTTACTATTATACATGAAATTCATATTGAAAGTGATGAATTTTGCCAATAATAGTGAAAAATCGTTATGTAATGATTATCATATTAATTAGTACTAAGTTTAAGTTTTTTTTTAATTATATATACATACTTATATGTACCGTGTATACAATATATATGTATGTTTGTATATATATGGAAAATGGGACTTACAAAATTTGATGGTTGCCTGCCTTAGAATCCTATGCAGTAGCTGATGCTCATGATGGAGTAATTAACGGCAACAGATAGCAGGACACGTGAATGCATGCAGAGACTGGGACCAATTATTTATGGAAGGGGAAGGGAATTATCAAGTAGTACAGGGGATACAGCAATAATTGTGCTCATTAATCAGTGCCGTTCCTTAGAGATACATGATCAAAAAAGTTTCAAAAACATGAGTGAACAAAAAAAGTTAGGGAAATGTTGATGATCATGTCGAGACCCTTCCTCAAGTAGGGTGGACTTCGAAATCTGAATAAACAGAAAATTTAGGGACAAGAAATAATAAATTGGTCTTAAAGGGAATTTTTTTGGTTGGGGAGTTTGTAAACTAAATTACATCGTTTTGGTGACAGTACGGAGCTGAATATGAACTCTGTTCAGGGACAAAGTGAGAAAATTGTGTGAGATCATGAGAGGGTGCAATAGTGTGATTTTTTAATAATTTTAGTTGAGAGGGTAGTATAATTTTGTAAGTATATATATCAAAAATATAAATTAAGAGTAAATTACTTTTAAAAAAAATTAAGTTGGGCAATTGCCCCACTGACCATTGAATGGCTCCGTCCTTGACTGTATTGTGTAGTGCACCAAAATTATATAATTTTGGTTCATAGGACCCCCTCCAAACAAGAGAGATCTTGATCTTTAAAATTATACATGTGTTGCACATTGTTTTGAAAACATAATACATTAGAAAGCTATGTTCCGAATTACCAATTTAGCACCTTTGAATTATTTTCTTCAATAATTTAAATTTCAAATGCACGTTTGAACAATCAACTTTTTAGAGAATTTTTTTTCTTTAATAAAATTAAAAGAGTGAGTAATAGTTGCTGAAAAGATGCATCATTTCATAATCATTCAAAATTTTCAACTTGATTACAACTTTTTCTTTTTCTTTTTTTTTCTTTTTTTTTTAATAAAGGCCATTTGGTCTATTCAATTATTCAAACTCCATAACAGACACTCTCACTCTCTATACAGTACTCCTTGATATTGAAATAACATACATTGTTTCATATCCTTCAAACATGGAGGCATGTGTTATGTCCTCTACTTTCACCGTCCATCTTTTTCCCCTCTCTCTCTCTCTCTCTCACACACACACACACACAGTGACACACACGACCTCTTGCATATATAAAACCAAAATTTCTGAGGAATCCAATTGGTTTGAGTTTTGAGAAAGACCAATTAGTGGTACTAAAAGTCCCACACTCAAAACACTTTTCCAAACTGTCACAATCTCTCTATAAATTCCACCAACAAACTCATTTAAATAGTTCAATTAAAACCATTATCCATTTATTTCCATCATTGTTTTCTCAGGATGATGAGATTTATGTATTAGAGTCCTATCAATATAGAACCCATGAACAACGGGCCCATTTATATTGGGGTTAAATTTGTGCTAGGTGTACCAAAAATAAATGATGCCATTTTCTTATCTTAGACGAAAAATGATTATTTGCTCGATTTTTCTAACTTATTTGTATAGTTGAACCGTTTTTATTCCTTTGATCGATGTAGTGGATAGGATTCACACTTGAACTTATCCACTATATTAAATAGATAAAAATTCATCTTTGACAAATATGCCTAAATGATAATTACACTTCTTAGAAATATAATGAACCACTATATATACATATTTGGCACCAACCACTATATTCACTTCTTGTAATGTGAATAGCAGCAGCTTAGTTTTTATAATGAGCAGCAATATACTTATCTAGCAGGTGGGCCAAATTGATGGAGCCACATTGGGCCCAGATGGGGCAACTCCTCCTAGCCCACTGTGGCTCCTCGTTTTAAAAAATATATACAGTATATATTGTATGTAATTTTTTTAAAAATTACGATATCCTAATGTTAATGTTACATTTGTTGTGTAGGAATGGAATGCTCATTCCAACCATTTTTTTTATTTGGTATGCAATTTAAAGTGAATATGGACATTCCATTGGAATTAAAATCCATTCTTGGTAATGAAAATTCATTCTTTTCTAAAAACTTCTCTAGCCCTTCCCTTCTTTTCTACTTTACTTTTTCAAATTTCTTTGATCCGTTTAAAAAAATTTGCATTCTTATTTTCAATCAAATCCTAATTTTTCTCATCTCTCAATTGGTTCCGTCACATTCATGTTTATTTTGGTGTAAAAATCATTTTCCACAATGAGGGTAACAACTTGTATAATATATAAATCTTTTTATTTACTCAATTTGTATTTTTATCAACACAATGTGTGTATGTGAAGGGTAAGACTGTTATTTTTTTGTACTAGGAATAGTATTGGAGCGCGAGTCAATTTTTATTTGGTCTGATTGGCGCCTCTGTTTTCATAGTAGTAGTTATTATAAAACAAGGAGGAAGGGTTGAATGGTCATTTCCTTGTACTAGGAATAGTTGTTAGTATAAATCCTAGGAGGAAGGATAGAAGGGTCATAAAATAATAAAGTTATGCAACTCATGTGAGTGCTTAAAAAAATAATAATAATAATAAATAAATAATAATTCAAAGACCTCTCTAAATTTAAGTTGTTGATCAAATGTATCATAAAGAACTCATTTTAATATAGCACCCATTTTAATATAGCACATTAGCACCTCTGTTTTCATACTCGGAGGCAATTTTTTCCAACATGTACCTGTTATGTGAGCGCACATGGGGCGGAGCCGGGATTTGAATTTAGGGAGTATAGTGAAATATTTTTATTTTTTTTAAAATAAGAATAAGAAGAAGAAAAAGGGAAAGAAAAATGAATTTTGAAGGAAACAAATTAGAGTATGATTAAATACGGGAAATATAACCTTTTTAACAAATTAATTAAAGAAATTTAAAGAGAAAAAGATTAAAAAAAAAAAAAAGTTTAAAAAAAATTTAGAAACTAATAATTTTAAGGGTCATAATATACAAAACCATATATATACATAGAGCGGGGCCGGCCAGGCCTTGTGTCCTTGTGCACAAGCTCTACCCCTGCACACACATATGTGTAGTAAAGTAAGGTACATTCACATATTTCTTGATATGGATAAATTGAGTTCAACCAAGTCGACCTCAATATCATTTGGGTAAATTACACCGTCTTCTTCTATGATTTAAAAAATTACTCAAATATCTCCTAAAAATGAATCTAATTTATACAAACCTTCTTTCTGTTATGGTTAACACAAGTTAGTGACGGATTTTATTGATGTCATGTAATGAATAAATTGAAATTCTCATATTACTCTTCGACCTCCTCTCTCACACATAGATGGATATTACAGTCATTTATCATAACAATTTGAGGGCATTTCAATAAATTAAACAAATCTTTTAGTACATTTGACAGTCCGTCACTAGGAAGGGAGGTTTGTGTAGGTTAGTTTCATTTTTAGAAGAAATTCAAATAATTTTTCAAACCACAAGAGAGGTCCCTGTAATTATGACAAAAGGTCCGTATAATTTACCCATATCATTTGAACACCGAGCTATATTTTCTAATTTCTAGTGAAAATAAAATGGTTAAAAGTTTAAAATTTTTTGGGGACAAATTGTAGAAAGTCCCCTTGAACTATCACACATCTGTAAAAAAAATAAAAAAAAATCTAAATTATTAATTTGTCAAGGGAACTCTAAATTTACCAAAATTTTTCCTTTTTTAAAAATGATGGATTTTTTATTACCACTCTACCTTTCACATAAATTTATTATTTTTATGACCATTCTACCCCTTCCTCCTAAATTATCTCGACTTTGCAAACGGCCCCTACTATCACATTCTACCGAAAGGGAACAATATGCATGTGCATAGCACATGACATATACGAAGCATTATTTGATAATTTTGCCCTTTTAAATATAATAGTTCATTTTTTCTCTATTCTCTCTCTGGCTTTGTGCTCGTTTCACCATGAACAAAGACAATTCATCAACCAGTATAAAACTCATTTCATGGCATTATTTGCAAATTTTTGATAGATTGGGAGGTTCTTTTATTATGTCTAAGGATTATTTGCAAAAGCATCACAATTTAAAAGGTTTTGTACAATTTGCATAAAAGGTTATTCTTAAGATACTCGTGAACTAAGTTCCATAAAACGGAAATAAGACCGAGAATGAATTCGAGAGCGGATGCGTAAGAGCAGCAGAATTAAGTCATAAATAGTAAAAATTTGAGTAAGAAAGTACGGAGCATGAGAGCGAGAGCATGCTCGGAGCGATACTTATTAAGAAGGATTGTGTGACTTAGTTCATAAATATAACCAATGACTAATGTTATATAAGTAAAGATTTTTATATAAGTAGAGATGGATGAACCAAAAAATTAACCATAACAAAATAATGATAAAATTTGGGAAATTAACTCTAATATGCATTTGGAGAAATCTGCTTTCATTTTTTATTATACTTATGTCCTTACCCTCATAATTGGGCCAATTCGGGTCAAAATTTTAAGCCCTTTATATGGTTGAACCGTCTTGAAGGAGAAGCCAAAAGCCAGAACCCTCTAGGTGACGACCTTAAACCCTACGCGGAGCAGAGAGGGTTTTTCTCTACAAGCCCTAAACCCCTCTTTTCTCGTCCGATTCACGAGCTGACAACCCTTTAAATCTTTCTCATCCTTCTTCAAACCGTCTTCGATTTTCATTTCAAATCTCAGTCGTCCTCAATCTTCAACAATGGCCTCTGATTCATCATCAGAAAAAAAGCCTAAATCATACCGTCAATACCACCCCTACCAAGACTTCAACGTCCCAATCCAAAACCTGTACAACCTCCCCTCCTCCCCCGAATACCTCTTCTCCGAAGAAGCCGCAGTGCAACGCCGCTCGTGGAGTGAAAACCTCACGTACTACACCGGTTCCGGCTACCTCGCCGGCGCGATCGTCGGCGCCGCCAAAGGGACCTTGCAGGGCTTCAAGGAGGCTGAGGCTGGTGAAACCCTCAAGCTCCGCGTCAATAGGGTGCTCAATACGGGCGGCTCGGCGGGCCGGAGGTTCGGGAACTCGCTTGGCATCTTGGGTTTGATATTCTCAGGGTTGGAGAGTGGGCTTGTGCACTTTAGCGGGACTGATGGCTTGTTGAACAGCGTGGTGGCTGGATTGGGGACGGGTGCTCTGTATCGGGCAGCGGCCGGGCCGAGGTCGGCGGCAATTGCTGGGGCGGTCGGAGGATTGGCTGCAGCTGCGGCGGTCGCGGGCAAGCAGGCGGTTCGGAGATACGTGCCCATATAGTGAGATTTCAGTGAATTTTTATTGAATATCGGGTTTATGACTTTTTGGGAGGTTGCTTAGTTTATGACTTTTTGGGAGGTTGCTTAGTTTTTTTATTTAATATTACTGTGTTTATGGGATTTGATATAATTTAGTTGTTTTTCTTTTTATAATTATCCAATCTGCCGACTTGTTTTTCTTGAGGATTTTTGAGCTTTGTTATTCTAGTTTGAATCATAATTGTAGTGTTATAATTCTGATCGACTCTGATGATCTTATTTAAATGATATCACAACTCTATGTGATGAAGTTGTGTGATGATTTAATCAGTAGTCATCGTGCTAGTTCTTTATGTGTTATGTTTTTATCTGTCTTCTTTCCTTTGGTTTTTATTAGCTTGACGGGATGGTGAGAAGTTCATAACTTGTCAATTTCTTATAGTCAGGAGTATTTTGGAGTAGTAAAATTAATAAGATATTTATATTGAATAAAGTTGTAAGATTGTGAATATAAATGCTAAATGCCTTTTAGAAAGAAGTTTTAAATGTATTCACCCTTAAATTTTTGTGCAAGTTTTGTAAAGTGCTTCTGAATTATTGACTTCTTTTCATGGTATTAACTTATTCTGTTTAGGATTTAAATTGGAATTGTTAACAGTACTACTAATATATAAAAAAAAGTGGTTAGTTACAGTTGCTACGCATAGTTGTGTATGTTATGCAGTCTGAAATGTGGTAATTTCCACTGCATGGAATCTGTGAATGCGTTTTATATGAGATAGAGAATTGATCATGTCATTTTTTTCTCCCACCAACACCATCTTTTTCCTCATCTCTTTTCATTCACCCTCAAGAGTCTCTAAATCTTTCAGGACAGAACCCAGCATATAGAGCCATTGATGGAAAGGGTTTCATGGAGAGAGGATGGAGATGTCTCATTGAGATGAACTTTGGTGGGTTCAAAATGTGTGTTGGAGTGTGCATCGGTGGTGGTTTGAGGTTTCGTGTGAATTATGAGACTTTATCCTTGAAAGGAAGGTTTGTTTCTGTTGGAGGGTGCAAATTATTGACCTTTTCAATTCAAAGTACTCTTGCCAAAAAGTCCCAAGTAATGGGGATGAATTTATTTAGCATTCATCAGTAACACTGGGAGATCAGTGTTTACTTTTTGAAACCTAAGGCGGCCGAGTCAAATAAGTTCAAACCTCGGGAAAGGTATACACGTACGGAAACAGTGGTCTTCCCATATTAGCACGGTGGTGACGGTCAGGAATCCTGTTTTTTCCCTGAGAGAACTTAAAACCTCAAAATTACTTGCATCTCTTGATAGTTGATATTTAGCATCTTCTAACTCGAATATCTTTTTTCTTTCTTGGTTCTCCTACATTCTTTTTGGATCTCAGTCTAAAATTTGAGTGTTGACCCTTTTATCAAGTTTCTGAACCTTGATTCATACTCGTGGTGGATCAACTGGTGGTTATAATTAAGCTGTGAATACGTCTGATGCTTGATGTTTACCTAGTGAACTTCATTCTGTGTTATTCATTTAAATATTCTTGTTGTTGAAAAAGATTCTGTAAACTTCCATTATGATTTAATCTCCTTTTAGTTTCTAAACTGTAATGGATACAATTTTCTAATCAATCTCACCCATTTATTTGATCTCTGAATCTCCTCCATCTGTTTTCATAGATATCATGTAACCTTAAATGGTAGTTCATTTGTGAAAAGTAACCTTATGCAATATGAGATTTTTGGTTTTTATTTTATTTTTTGTTATAGTATTTTAGTCATCTGTTATAATATCTATGTTGGCAGCATGATATCATGGTTTAGACCAGATGACCTCTTTGTGGTTGATCTAGTGAACTATTAACGAGTCCCTTTTGTAGGTTGGTGAATGGTCAGTCTCTGAAAACATTGTTCCAACTCAGATTTGCTTCTGATCTTCTTGTTAAGTGGATTTGCTACACCATTGTGAAATAGTAATGACTTTAGAAGTCTGATATAGTGTGTGTGTGTGTGTGTGTGTGTGTGTGTCTGTGTGTGAGAGAGAGAGAGAGAGGTTAACCTCCCACCCCAATAATTTATGACTCTTTTCTTTTCTTCTCTCTTTCTCTTGCTCCCTAATTAATAGGGCTAATTAAGAAATCCCTCTTCTATCAATTCCCTCTTTTCAGCATTCTGCAACTCTCTCTTCTCTCTCAATGTAAAGAAACCAAGGTATAAAAACGTCTGAAGTAAATATATATACATGTTATATATGTATATGTATATGTATGGTAGCGATCCATGTATAGTAGAAATCTACCTATATTCTTTCCTTTTAATACAAACCATTATTTCTAGTTTCTAAATTTAATATTTACCAATATCACTAATTGCAACAATAAAAAATAATTACCAAAAAAAAAAATAGAAACCTTTCATCCCTTGAATCACATATCTCTCTGACCAGAAAATTTTCTCCCCCCTCGTACAAACTGAATTTATAAGTTCTCTATCTCCTCGGTATACCTTTAAATCCTAAGCTCTGATTGTTACAAAAGTACACAAACCATTCACTAAGTTTAACAATATACATGTTTATTAATTTCATGACAAATTTTAGTCCTAATTATGCATTCATCAACATATTCACAACAGAAAAATTAAACTAATATACGTGTTTGGCAATTTCATGACAAATTATAGCCCTAATTATACATCCATCAACCTATTGACAGTAGGAAAATTGAACTAATGACATATCATGAAACATCGACTCAAAAAAATAAAAATAAAATTTCTTTTTTCTATATGCTTGATCAACTCAAGTAACTTGTGATTTGCACAACACTTTACCGGCATAAAATTTAATTGATTAATTTTTTTCTTTTTCTTTTATTTTTTCTGTCAAGTAACCTATGAGTTGACAACACCTCAACCGCATAAAATATTAAATTTAGGTGAGTAGATTTTTTTTTTTTTTTTTTTTTATTTAGGTAATTACCTTTTATCATTGTATTGGTAAATATTAAATTTAGAAATTAGAAATAGTAATAGTAATTTTGTATTAAAAGGAAAGAATATTAGTGGGTTTCTATTGTGATCTAATCTCAATAGAAAGTGCCAAAATTTTTCATACTCTACAAAAAAAAGAAGAGATCACTACTCTGTATATATATTCAAAAGAAAATAACTATTTAAGAAAAAAAATGCTACAAACTTTGGGGCCACAAATAATATATGTTATATAACACATGGTATGGTCAATAATTTTCTTTTACTTTTAATTTGTATTATATTTTTTATTTGCTTTTCTTTTTTCACATGTCATACATGTAGTATGAATTTTCAGTTATTTATGCTTAAATCTATCCAAGCATAATTATTAATTATTTATAATTATGACAGCGATTTAGAATTAATGAATAAATCATGTTAAATGGTCTTAAAAAATCAATTGAAATTATTAAAATTGACTACAAATTCATCTTTATTGAATTATATTGTATAGAGTTACAATGCATTTTGGACCCTGTGTAAGGTTTTAAAAAATTCACCGATAATTGATTTCATTATGTATCGCCTAAAACAGACCTCAAGCCTGATTCCATGACATCGTTGTGCACAATGTATGAGCACTTTATGCTTATATAGTTTCCTTAGCCCGGAAGATTCAAATATTACAAGTTTTGTTGATTCAAGCAAACCCCGGGGGGATGAAAAATTATGGTGAGTATGTGCCCGCTTTTGAACTGAAAAATAAATAAATAAATAAAAATTCATAGAAAATTTCGTGACACAAAGTGTAATTTTGACATTTTTCACTTCTTATTCAAATTCGATGTTTCATCGGAATTTGCATGCTGCTCGGGTCACCCTTTGTATTTGAGATGTTCACCAAAACTCCTTTAAGCTGTCGTTTAGAGTGATATGGAATCAGGTGTTGAGTTCTAGATTCTCGCGATGTGACCCAAATTTGAAAACTATAAAGTGATATGGTGATACTAATAGCTTAATTAATAATGTCATATACACTTATTTTATGTCCGGATGTGACGTGACAAGTCACAAAACCACCTCAGCTACCAACACAAAGCCACCTAAGCTACCATAACTTGGCATTACTCCTCCGTCCCAAAAATGTCCTTTCTGAAAATTGATTGTACAAATACTTATCTGCCTGAATTATCTTACACTATCCTTTGAATAAATAACTCGACAAGAGACATTAATTTGGGGACGATGAGGTATTTATTGTTGTCCAACTGATTTAGATGGTTGTGACTGGAAACAGATGAATTAAATCTCACATGAGCTGAGACTCATATCATGCTTCTAAATCTGGTTTTGGATGCATATCGGAGCTATAGAGATGTTGGATACAAAAAACTATCTTCGAAAGGATGAGAGTTTAGGTTCCCATAGAATCTACATGTATTATTTACTCAAAATATATTAAATAAAATAAATCCAATACCAAAAAATGAAATAGCATTAACTTTTTCCCAAAGAAAAGAATTTACTTATAAAATCCAATTCCCAAAAATTGGCAATCTTGTGCTTTTGCTTTTGTTTTGACCCAAAATAAAAACAGCATTTCTATTTTGGAGTGTATTCAATAGTAAGCATGTTTGGCAGCTAGTATTTGTCACAAAAATTTTGGAAGCAAAAACATATTTGGTAAAAAAATATTACAACTTTGAAAAATAAAATAATTAGTCAAATAGGTCATTTTTTTTTTTTTTTTTTTAACCTATACCATTGATCGGTGTGGTAACAACAATTCGGTGCTTCCAATTTTGGCCTAATTTTCGGATACACTTTGATAATATTCAAATCGCAACAATAGTTACCAAACAAGGTTCGTGCTTTTATTTCATTAGAGTACACTGTCCGAAGTAAAAAAAATATGAAACAAAAGCGGTTGCTGAGCCGGCCTTAGGAGGTCCCTACAGTCTATTCCTGTTCTTGAAAGCATTAAAGGCGAAAATAACCTGTGGATACGTACACATTGAATTCGTCTCTCATCTAAATTCTCTCCAAGGAAATGAAATAGTAAGTTTATACTATTGGTTGGAAAGTTTACCAAATTATACAAAATATAATAATAATAATAATAATAATAATAATAATATTTATTTTTTCTTTTTAAGCCCCACTTCTTTATGCCTTGTGGAGTTTATTTTTGAAACAGACCTGCCTTGGGTTCCATTAATAACTTAAAAAATAAAAAAATAAAAAGTACCATATCACCACACAAATGCGTCTAACAGGCTCCAGTGACACACAGGATAAAGAAGACTTCGTGAAGTAAAAAAAATTTCACTCAGTTGGGAACTAAAAACGTACTCATGCTCACTCAACTTTCACAAGAAGTCACAAAATTAAAAATAAAATTAATAGTAAATAATAAATAATTTTAAAAAAAAATGCAAGGCATCCTACTTCATTCTAGCTTATGAAAGATAACCAACCTCCTGACAAAAGGGCACGAATCGTCTCATATTTCTGAGCACCCTGCAGCTTGCACGCCTTACTCAAAACGCGGGCACTATGTTGAATAGTTGCCAATTGCATATGTTCATTAGTTCCCTCACTCACGTTAGCACAAACCAAATGGAACATAAGGAGTAATATTTAAACTAAAACCAAAAATCGTGCAGTCTGTGCACCATAGACTGTATGGAGTAAAACAAAGTCTATCTCACTGGGGATGTTTAGGCTTGTGTTACAGTTTCCAAATCAAAATGTATCAACATAATATTAGAATAATTTAGATCAAAAAAATATGTTATAATACAAAAGATTCCAACAGGGGAAGTATCAAGTGTGCTGGATAAGATATAACCTTGTTTGCCCAACTTCCCTTAATCCACAATTACCTTTTCCCTCGAAAAGGCACTTGCATGATGACGACTCCATTAATCTCCACGAAATGCAAAAAGCTCAGAAATTCAAAATTTTATGAAATGCACCTGCATATGTATCACACCCATGAACATAAATTTTATGTGAGTGCCTCTAATAATTGTTTACAACAAAAGAACTGTTATTTTTTCCTAATTTACCTATCAAGTTAAAGATGCAATATATTCAGACAAGGTAAATCCCAAGTGTTCAGGAGGATACAAAATCTTTTTTGCCCAATTGTTCAGTGATCTAACAAATCTGAAATGAACCTGCATCTGTATCAAATTCATAAACATGCATCCTACTGAATTGTCTTTAATTGTATATCAACAAAAATATATAAATAAAGAACTGTATTTTCTCAATTTATCTACTAATTGGAGATGCAATATATATAGAAAAGGTAAAATCCTGAGTGCTTGGGAGACTACTAACCTTATTTCCCCACTTTCCTTCTGAACTAACAAATGCTACTTCCTCCGAGAAAGATGGTGTCTGGGACTCAAATTTATCCAAGGACCGAGCTTAGCTGTTCAATGTTTTATGAAATGCAACCTGCATAGCATGAAATCACAAATTATGATATAAATATATGTGTGCTTCTCATAAAAATAAACACTGACAATTTCCTTTGTGACAAATGAGAACATGTAATTTAATTTGTCCAACCCTGGCGGATTCATTTAGGATTTCTACAATCAGGTTCATCTAGGGGTTTCAAAGAACTTGAATCAAGTTTGGGGTGACATAGGCTGCTGGTTTTTGTGCAAATATGCATATATCCCTTAGCTATATATGGAAAACATATTATATTTAGCATCCAGCATCAATCCACCTACTGGGATGGTGTTGGAACATATAGCGTCAGGCTTTGGTGGGTTTGCAAGAAGATTCTCAAATTGGTTAATCCCATCTTAAACCCATCCATTGCCATTCCCAAAAAAATAATGGCACTAGTGCATTAGTGCTCCATATTGGATACACATGCTTTCATGTGGACAGAAGATCCATTTTAGCAAAGCTTTTGGCATAGATCATCTTCCATGCGACTTTGGAAATAGACCCTTCTGTATTAAGTAGATTCTATAAAGTCCCTTCTATTATTTTTTGGCCGGCGCAATTGGAAAAGGATTTTTTTACATGAGTTAGGTTTTATCATGTTACATACAGAAGTTGATGTCTTCAGCAGCTCCCTTACGGCCATTGTTGCATAGCAAGAAGCTGGGAGAATAAAGCTTAATTTGAGAGCCATCTGGTCTTCCTGGGCATCTTTGTCTTCATTTCCATCTTTATCTTCATTTCCATTGGCCGAATCCTTTTCTCTGATCATATTTGCAGGTCTTGACTTGGAAATAATGTCCAAATCTGTCTCTGCCAGTGATACAGTTCCATCCGTATATTTGTGTAGTTCCCTGCAGCAAGAGAAAACACTTCTACAATTTATTTGAAATTTTACACTAACAGTGCCAAGTGGAGATTGTTAAAAAAGAAGTGCAGACATACCATTTAAAGTCCTTCAGTTTTTGAAATACTCGCCTATAACCTCCAGTCATATCAGTTATTGAGAACTCCCTGGCAAAAATCACATTTCAGTACCATTCAATTCTTCTGCTGTGTGGAGAAGCATGATTGCTGTTAGAGATTATATCAAGGTTAATTGCAGATATAAAATTGGTGATGGGCACATTATTAAAGTATTTTTGGATCCATGGTGTGAAGGAAAAATTTTAAAAGAAATTTTTAATTATATCTGAGTAGAGATAAGCTGATTTGTATGAAGGAATTCATTACAGGTGGGCAATGGGATGAAGACAAATTGAGTAATACTCTACAGGAACTGATGCAATTGTTTAAAAATCAAGTGATACAGGGTGGGGAAGACAAGTTACAGTGGAGTTCTACCTTCTGTTTTAAAGCAGCATGCGAAGCTGCTAGAGTGAAAATTGGAGAAGTGGATTGGGCTGGTTTATGTTGGAGTGGGGGGAGACCTAGGTGGTCAGTCCACTCAGTCTTAGTAATGCAGAAAGCAATTATTTCTCAGGTATTTTTGCAGAAGCGAGGTTTTGCATTGGCAGCAAGATGTTATTTATGTTATACAGAAATTGAAACTTTGGATCACCTGTTCTCTAGCTGTGTATACACTTGGAAAGTGTGGAGCTCCCTTTCAGATACCTGTGGTTGGAATTTACATACGTCCTTAGGAGTTCAAGATTTGGCAGATCAGTTTAATCAGAATTCTCTAAGAGATATCAAGAAGATGGCCAGAATCAGTTTCACTGCTACACTATATTTTCTATGGTGGGAGAGGAATAACAGATTGCATGATAACATTGCAAGAGAGGCAAAGGATCTAGCTAAATGTATTCTATGGGAGGTTTTAGATGTGTTAGGAGTTAATCTCCAAGACATTTTGTAACTTTCTATTGTGAGCTACTTAGGTTTTTTGAGTGTCCTTTTCTAGGGCTTGGTCTGTGTTGATGAGGGTATGCCCTCATTTGTTTCTTTGTACTATCTTGTTTGTATTCAATATACCCCTTTCATTTAGGAAAAAAAAAAAAGAACCCACCTCTGAGCCGATAGAGAGAGAAGAAGGGGAAGGGGGGAAGGGGCATGTCGTGTCCACTGCAGAAATATGTCTGATGTAAACCATGTTACAGAGAGAAGCCACACGAGGTGAACTGGCATGTTTTCTTTTTCTTTTTCACAAGGTCCCAACCATGACTTGTACAGCTGAACTCTACAATTGTTATCTAGAAGTGACAGGAGATACCACTCTAGCTAGCATCTACTGTTCTAGAGTGAGATGACTCTTGTACCCAAAAAAAAAAAGAAGATATCACCTGGGCCAGCTTCTCTATACAACACAGCTTATTTCATAATGATTACTACAAAAAATCCAGTCTAACAGAGAAGGGAAATGATTTAGTAAGAATTCAAGGAAATAACTCACTTGACACCATGTACACTCTCCGTCAAGCAGATAGAATCCTGGTGAGTTAAAAAGTAACATACTTTAGAGAGAGACTGAAAGATAAGAACATCAGAGACTATAGATAAAAATTAAAATATATATAGACACATATATTGCCCTCTGCCCAAGCTTAATATTCTTTTGAATAACAAATAACAGGCAAGTGGTTCATATTTCACAGTAGTCAGCAAGATGGACTAAAGCAGTGGCGTACAGTAGCATGCCAACAATATAAAAAGGTAAACTCGCATAAAATTTCAAAGACGACAAGAATTCATCAGATATTCCATGTTCTAAACGTCACCACAAAAGTGCTAACTTACCTTTCTCCCTAAAACTCAATAATTAACTGGAGGAATGGACTCGAAGTGTAGCATGAATCACTGAACTAAACCACTTCTGGGATATCGTATCAGTCTGCTTAAAACTATTATTCAGGTATAACATCTCATTGGATGTGATAATAGACCAGATATTACTTGTAAAAGTAGGACTACCGTAATGTTGCAGGAAGAGTTTCATAAATCATATTCCAGAAATGGATTTTTATTATTATTATTATTATTATTATTATTTTTTTTTTTTTTGGGGGGGGGGGGGTGGTTGGGGGAATTGTTCTCTGTTGACTGCCGAACATATTTTAACACAGAGGATGGTGTTATATTACTTGAGTAGACAAACATTCACGGATAGTCCAACCTACAAGCCCTCCACTTCAGTGCCCCACTCCAATATAAATGGGCAATTTCAATGTATCCCTCAGGCATGCTTATCCAATGTCAAGAAAAGGCTCACTCGTGGGTAAGTTTTGTGCGTCAAGATTTACAATTTATTCTAATCATACTTTTGTTACATCATGTTCGCGTAAAATTAATATTGTCAAACTTTATTTGCTCCTAAACCATCTTTCTACAGTTCTAATTTATAATGTACCCCTCTAACAAGCATCCAATTCATATTCAGGTTTGATCCTAGTCTAGATGCCAGAAATCAGGAGTCAGGACAAGCCAAACCTGAAATGCACAGCTAATATCCAGCATATTATCATGATTGAGCGTAATTAGTAATTGCATTCTCCCACGTCTAACCTATGTGGTGTTGAGAGCCAGCAAAATCTATAAATAAATGAGAACTAATTGGTATTGTTACATCAAATATCTCAGGACACAGAATTCAGTTTGCTTTATTTGTGACATCATTAGGGTCTGCTTCCTAAAATAGGAAGGTATTCTAGGAAATTGGGCTTTGTAAGAGTACCTTGCATACACTTTCTGAAGAAAACAAAATTTGATGAATGCATATTTCGAATGCACTTATGAAGATGATTGGAAAATTTTGGCATGCATGTGATAATTTGCAAAATTTCTCTCCCAAGTAACAACTATACAGTGAAAAACAGAAGATCATGACCCGACTGTAATGTTTTTCTTGTTGTTCAATAGCTGAGAGAGCGTAGAGAGCGTTCAAACAATTCAAATTTATAAGACTGGAGGACATGAAACAAAAAAAATACATTCCACGTAAGCAATTATCGACCAAATAAAGCAAACTCCAAAAATATTGAAGAACAAAAGAGTGAAGAGGGGAGGATGAGAAGAAAAGGGAGCAACTACTCATGAAGAAGGTTGCTTAGAGAAGAGGAAAAAAGGAAAGAAATACCGGACAGAGCAAGGGATGAGAAGAGAACCCGAGTAAATGTAAACAAGGGGAAGACAAGGAGGATGAGGATGAGGAACAACTGTCCTTTTTACCTTCTTGCTTTTTTTAAAAAAGAAATGGATTATGCCTTGTAGTTACAATATAGGACAGGTACAATGTGGTATTGACTATTGTTTCAGAGGGTATAATATGATTATGACTCTCTCACATTCTGCCTCCTTGGAAAACCACCTCTCTCATACTTCTACAGCATTAGCTTTTGTACAAACGGGCTTCTCCCAAAGCCCATCTGAGCAAGTTCACCAAACATCCTTCGTGCAAGTACATTGGATCCAGGACATACATCTCACCCTCAAATGTTATGAAAATTATTTGATATGGTTCTTGTATATCATCAGGGGCACACAAGGTGGGACTTGAGTCCTTATGAAAATTACACAGCCTGGCCCGCCTGGCCCACATCTTGCTTAAGTCACTTAGATTTCTAATACGCATGGTAATCCATTTCCAGGTTACATTGGGCCCATTTTAACATATTCTACATCTCCTCATGACGAGCAATGAAGAGGGAAAAAGTGACATGATAATACTAAGAGCTCAGTAATTTCATTTAGAAACAGCTTGCCTTCTTCGCCAGATCATGATAAACTTTGCCAATATCATTCAATGGATAAATTGCCCTCGAACTGCCATAACAACAGTGTTAGATATAAAAGCAAAACAAACTAGATCTCATAAATGATTAATCTAAATGATCAAAATCACAGAAATTGTTCTGGCTTCTCCCTTACCCAGGCAAAGGAAGAATAACATCATCAATTGTATAATCTCCAGAAACCAAATCTTCTTCGCTTACAGCCTGCCCAGAAGGTAAAATAAAAATAAAAAACGTTCAAAAATAAAAAATAATCAGACTAACAGAAAATCAAAATGAGCAGATGGCACTATAATCAAAGATGTCTCCTCAAACTAAAATTCTCAGAGTTAAACAGAAATATGAATATGTATGTATACAAACATATTGGATTCAGATGGAATGGGATGGGTCAGATGTGAATCTGATTCATAAAAATTATCTAAAACCTACCCAATTTGATACCTAGATTCAGTTAACCATATTCACTCAAAAATACATAAAATAGGAAGGAAATTGCCTATACAGCTTAGAATTTGCTAGGTATATTGTGTTCATTCTTTTATATGTGTAACCAGACCCCTTGGGACATCTGTGAGATCATTTTCATTGATGGTTCGGCGACTAATAAATTTATTTTTCTTAACTTGTGCAAGAAATGACAATGCATGGTTCATTAATTGTTTTAGATTTCTCCAGTAAAATCTTGATGCAGAATTGTAGCTTGAAATAGTTTTGTTGTATTCCTAGATAAGGAAGACGTGGATCAATTCAAATATGATGAACTTACAAAACCATACATCTAATATGAATGCAACATAGGCTGCTTAAAGAATTTCACCCAACATAATCCAAATGTAATGCTCTAGAAGGTGCACACTGTTTTTTTTTTTTTTTTCAGGTGCACACTGTTAGAAATTACCAATGATAAAGGGCTATTTATGTTAGTATTATTGGAAACTTTACCCAATTTAATAAGAATTTCACCCAATATTTTATGTTAGTATTATTGGAAATTTTAAATGAGATAATTCAAGCACCTGACCTTCACTGAATCACTTCTTTCTTCAGGAAGATCTGTTTCTGAAATTTCATCAAGTTGGACATCATTACAGTTACTGTCTTCACATTCAGAATTCGAGACCACTGTTACTTTTTCTGAACATGTTCTTTTACAGTATACCAAATCTCCCAACACAACTTGGTCAATTCCTGCCAGATGGTCAAAAAGAATACATTATAGCATTGTCTATCTTATATAGCTTAAGTAAGGATCAGATGATGACAACAGTGTACGCACTTTATGCATCATATAATATGAGCCAAAGAATGACTAATTAAAACCCTGAATACCACATACCATATTTTTTCACTCTCATACTTGCCGCATGGTTCCACAAGTAGCTTTGGTAACCATGTACATACCTGCAGATAAGAGAAGTGGCATCATAAAAATTGAAAACCAAAACCTTATCAAAGTTGCAAAGTCACATAATTCCTTTAGGGTCAAATCCAAGGTACGCTTTGATACAGAGGGAAACATTTGCAAGTATCTATTATATTTACTATGGAGATAGTGCTGATTTCAAACTCCTCCACTATTTAGATCGATTCAATTAGGTTCACAAGTAACGAGTAGTTGATGATCATTATAATCTTTTCATTCACCATAAAAACAAAAAGAAAATGAGAACTATTATTTATTTCTTTTGGTTGGGTTTGGAGGGGCGTGGGTAACATGATGTGGCAGATTCGAAGGAAAGTAAATTAGTTGAACTTGGAGCATCTTATTTATGTTTCATGATAAAGTTGAATTTTTGTCCACATAAAGCTAAGCATAATTTGTGAATAAAGGACTGATGCAGTTTCCACTATTCCACTCTCTAATAACATCCTAAAAATCACAATTAATGTGGTGACAAGCAACCTGGTGGATTAAGCAAATAAGGGATTGCTGACAGGACAAAAATCCAGATGAATCAAGACAATAATATGCAACAACGACCATAGTATGTAACAATATCAGAGAACTAGCACCAATGTACTTTTAACAGATGGCAAATCAAAATGGATTGCTAACTCCTAGCTGGGTAGAGACTGTTGGAATACAGAGTCATTTGGCAAGAGCCGCTGTCAACAAGGAGGGGGCATTAATTTGATTGTGAATGGTCCGTGTCTAGCTTACAGTCCAACCACAATTTTTTATTTTAACTTTTCTAATAAGAAATCTACAAGAGACAGTCCATGTGAAAATCAACATCTTCATGGAAATCCTATTATAGTGACTTCATTTATGGGTGAAATCCTCCGACAGGAAAATTATTCTCATTGCCCTTTTTTGGTTTGTCTGCACCTCTTTTTTATGTAGTATAATGGTTGGATGATGGGACCAAACAAAAGATACCACCAATGCCAAACCATAAATACAGAGAGAACAAAAAAGGCGAAAAAGTATATCGTCTGTGGTAAGTACAGTGCAAATAATTCAAGAGAAGAAAGAGCTAAAACTTTTATTTTAATTATTATTAAACAGCATAAAATGCAAATAAAACCACTAGTTAGGGGAAAAAAAAAACTATGCAGCCTCAACTAGAGAGAGAGACAGAGACAGAAAGCAATGCCATCGGACCTGTTCTCAATAAACCAGGTGATTATTGATTTCGCTGAAGATGATTCTCATATTCAAACAATAAAAATGTCACATTTGTCAAACTTCACACACTAGTTGGCAGAACCTAAGATGAATACCAGAAGACTATAGATAGCATAGTATTTACTGGTGAGATGGTTGAGGTCATTAAGAAAGATAAAAATGTGGCAGAGTTTAACTTAAAACAATTCCTAAATAAAACGGAATGACAAATCAAGATTCATGTCGCTGACTCCAAATACTTCAGCTCAATACACATTTCATATACATCACCATCCAGAACTTACGAGTGAAATATAAGGGGGCTCTTAGAGTTGCAACCTATTCATAAGTTAACGAGAACTGACTCATGGTAATGATGAAAAATTATATGCAACAGAGCCGCAATTCAATAACTATATTTTTAATTAATTTGATTATTTCTGCAGTGAATACTTACATCATTCTAAGAGTCCTAGGTATAGCTTTCAGAGCCTGTAAGTAATTCCCAGGACATTTCTTCAAACACTGGAGCTGGATAAGATCAAAAAGTCAACATAGTCGACAGTCACATTACCAATGTAAAACAAGAAAAAAATCTCATTTTATAAACTTTAAAAAGTATATATGAGCACTCAAATTAAAATGTAAAATTCTAACCAAACAAGGCCACAAAAGCATATAGTAGCAAACATTGAAGAGGACATTCTTCTCCAGAGACATCAGTAAGCATAAGACTGGGATGCTGATCTAGTAATCCCACTCCAGGAAATGTATATAGTCTAGAGAACAAACAAATTGAATGGGATATTTTTTTCGAGTCAAAATGTAGATAATGACCCTAAGGTGGCTATTACATTAGTTCTCCATAAAGTGGCTTTCTCATTGTGAAATGGTCTTAGAGACCTGCTAACCAGATCAAAGAGATTCAATATATTGTGACACGGGGTACAAAGGACTCCTGCATCATTACAAGATATCAAACTATTAGGCCAAAAGTGGGTGTGTGAATATTACCATAAGACAAAAAAATACGGTAACCTTTAAAAAAAATTATTTCCTCCGTTGTTGTTTTAGAGTTGTTTGCAAGTCCTATTGAAGTATCACCGGTTGTAAACTCACAATTAAGTAGAAGCCATGATCCAGTTGTCACTTGACAATTGCATAACTAATAATGTGAATATGCAATGGCGACTGTATTAGTGGAGTACATATTTATTTGTAGCAATGAGGTAATAGATAATGACAAATTACTTAGTTGAAAGCTTTGAAAATGTAGTCTTTTATGATAAACTCACAAGCATCAATGATCAAAAGGAGCCAAAAAAGAAAAATACATATATACAGAAAGTCCATATTTAGAGACTTACTATTGCCCTTTCAGCAACCAAATGGTAAGGCAACTGCCTCAGGGTCCCTTCAATATCATCACTTTCCTTGTAATATTCCCGTACCCTCCTAATGGCATCCTTTTGTGTTCCAAGCTCAATGTTAAGAAAAACAATAATTCATATTCTGATACATCAGAACTGCATGCAACAGCCTGTTCAAACTAGAAGTATAAAATATCAAAACAAATTCTCTTTGCAGATTGAATCAAAGGATATCTCCTTCTCTTGGATCCAAAATCATGCTCACAGCCGTTTTCCATTCTCCTCGAAGTAATGAAGCTCCAATTGAATGTGTTGGTACGGAACCGCTTCCAAATCGCTGATTCCATTTACATAAAATGAACAAGCTTATTTAGCAAATATAGAAAAACAGAGCTAATTGTATATCAATAGGCAGTTAATTTTCATTACCCATGAAAATAAATTCACATGATATTTAATTTAGTAACCACAATTACTCAGGAAAACAAACTTTTTTGTTTCAATTAAACATGGAAATTCTTTTGCGGCCTCAAAACCAACATCAAACCTTGTTGGATTGCAGAAAACAAAAGAGTTTCAATGTGTTTCAGAGAGAGAGGGTTATAAACAGGGTGTCAGAAATCAAACATGTAGTATTTTCCGTTGTCAAAAATTCAGGTTCTACATTCAACATGACAAGTGAAGTATTCAGACCAACAACATTCTCTAGCCTAGTTGGTATCAGTAGCCTATCTGCTCGAGGAATTCCAGTAATCAACTCCTCATAAAGATAGCCCACAGGTGGAGTGGGGTTTAACAGAAAATTGAACAAACCAAAAAGAAGATAATATTGACCAAGAAAGTACTTGTAAACCAAAGTAGTTGATAAATCCACGTCTTCCTAAGGCATCTGCAGATGCTTTTATTGTCTCTTCAGAATCTGCAATAACTCCTCTGCAAATATATGCTAGTCCAGTAAATACAAAGTACAAACCAATACCATGAGATATAAACAATGAAAGAAAAAAAATCATGAAGGTTGCATTAAGCAAGTATTGTTATCTTACCTTAGTGTAACAGTAAAACGATTTCCATAGAGTTGTCCAAGAAGAAGTCCTTCTTTGACATGGCTGAACAACAATGCAGAAATTACATTAACATGCATCATAATATTTGATGGCAGGTAAACTAATAAGTGCTATTCCATCTATCTTACCAAAAGTCACCAACTTTGATACCAATCAATCTTTCATTAAGAGCAGCTAATCTACTTGCATGCTGCTTAAAAACAGTTACCTGTAAAGTAAACAAAGAAAAAGTATACCCGAAGTCACCAACTTTGACACCAATCAATCTTTCCTGAAGAGCAGGAAATATAAATGCGTGCTGCTTGAGAAGAGTTACCAACAATGTGAACGTAAAAAAGACGTACTCTTCTGTGTAGTTCAAGGAAAATCAAGTATACCTACTATACCCGTTAACCAAACATTTCCTGACTTCATCAAGTGACCACTTGTAGTAAATATCCATACTAAAATCTAAATGCAACAATTTAAGTAACAAATCAACTTCTTGATGAATTAAACATCCTTCTCATTTGGAGAATGTATGTGGAGAGTCCCATCTTCCTTATTTAAAATTCTGATGATAATTTGTTTTAACCGAATGCCTAAAATCTGGCTTTTCCACCACCGCCTCAAATCTCTCCTCCAAACTGCACTGGACAGGTCGTTTATTTATTTATTTTTAAATTATTAGAGTAGCTCAATTGTTTAATATAGTTTATATTCATCACATCAACACAATTGTTTTACAAATTAATCAATTATGGCACAGTTTGGTGGAAAATAAAAGGTTAAATTATTATAAAAAGAAAAAATAGCCTTTTACAGGGATAAGCCATCATAAAAGTATCATTATTATGATACAATTGCTATGACTATTTTCAAATAGAGCAACTAGTTCAACTTTCAGTTTTAACTACAAGAACATCCGCTAATAAGGTGGCCCTTCATTATCTTGACAACAGTATGAAGAAAGGTTCCGCATCTTTTGGTTTAAGATAGCTCATACTGAAAACCATAAAGAAGATTTCAAACTTCCTAGAAGAGCAACTAATAATACGAAATTGAAGGATATAATCAGTGAAAAAGGCAAGAAGAATTTACCCTTTGAGTAGATACAGAGCGCTTATCTTTTGTACCCGCAAATCCAAATGACCTTGTCTGTCAGACATATATTATCAAAATAGTTTAACAACAACATGGTGCACAAGTACAACTTTGAAATATGGTTACAAACTATTCAATACTTTAATTCTACATATAATTAAAGCTGTCAAACAAAATAATAATAATAATAATAATAAAATAACTGTTATTATCAGTTTCAAGAAAGCAAGCAAAAAAAAAGAGAGAAATATAAGAACAAAAAGAGAAGGAAAAACTGAATCTTTCTTTCCATTCATTTGTCACATGAGGCAAAAGAACAAACCTAATATGTTCCTGGAAGGGGAAAATAAAAATAAAAATACCTGTAGGCCAAGCATCTTTCCAATCAGCCCTAATGCCTCCTGTGTATCCTTGTTCTCCTTGTAAAGATGAAACCTGAAATAAAATCGACAATGCCTTTACAGATGTATTACAATAGCAACTAACACCACTTTTTTTTTTTTTTTGATAAGTAATAGCAACTAACACCACTTGCACCAAAAAATAAGATTTGGAGGTCAGAGATATGAAAGCCTTTATGACCATATAAGAATTAGACCACCAGTTCCACAATTTCTACCAAAACTGTTTATATTGCATATCCTAGTTCTTTTGAGAGGTAGCAAGGACAAATTGAGCTTCTTTTAGCCCTATCCTAAGTGTGAGTGAATCTATTTATCTTTATCAAGGAGTAAGCTCCATAAAAAACTTCTGATCCTCGGTCCAGAACTTGGGACATTTTATTCGATTGGAATCCTCCACCTTTTTGGTAGTGTTTCATGTCCCACATATGATCTCTGTGCACCCATTTCTATTATGTATTTATCCCACATTGATCACTGAAGTGCATTTGATCATAAAAGTAGTGAGAGATAACCTTTAATGTTATCGGCTACTTAAAATTAAATACAACTTTCAGTATTAACATCAAAGCATTGGTATAAGTTCAAGAAATTTTTAAAATTCATTAAAAATACAATTTATGGGATTTTTGGACTAAAACGTGTATATTAGGATATTTAGCAGGAGATGAGAAGGAAATTATAATGGCTCTAGTAGTCGAATTTGTTACAATACATCTATTACACCCCATGTCCACAACACCACAACCATTACTGTTATGACTTAAAACCTTGCTTGATTCAACCTAAGCAAGATGCTCCGAGACATGCAAAGAATCCTCAAAAGAGAACTAAATAATTTAAGGGTTCGCTCCCCTTTGAGCGCCTTTGTTAATATATGCCTACTTATCAAAAAAAAAAGAGAGAGAGAGAGAACTAAATAATTTTAAACTCTAGTGCACATCTTTAGTTACCTCAATTTTATTTTTCTCCTAAACAGCCTTCTTCTTGTTGATCTAATGATACTCAATACAGGTGATACATGTATGTATATTATTGTAAATAAAATTCATTGGTTTCTTGATATCTTAAAGGCGTCAAGCCTATCTAAACTTTAGAAGTCCTTCATCAGTAATTGGACAAAATAAATCACAGAACAACCTTCCGTCGGCATAAAGGTGGTTAAAATAACACAATAAAAAAAATACCCTTCAACATAGAGAAAGATTGGCAAAAGACAGACAATGCAACCATTACCTAAGGAACTTGCCAAGATGCTCCGGCCAATTATCCCCTCTATTATCGTAAGGCTTATCACCCCTGTCTTTACGTTTCTTGGAGTTTCTTCCACTGCCACTATTCCCTCCTGAAGAATTTAGCCACACCCGGATGCATTTGGATGAGGCATCAGGTCCATCTACAGTGTCGGTAACAAGAAATTTTAATTTTTCCTTGAAAAAATTATGCATGGCCTGAAAAACATAAAAATAAAAAACAAATGAGCAACAGCACAGAGACCACACTTTAAAAAAGAAAATAAAAATAAAAAAAATTGAACAATTAGGTTAAACTCAAACTAACCGTCCGATGGGATTTATTAGAATTTGGGGAAAGAACGAGCGGTGAGACGCTATCTTTAACATCGGAACTAATTTGATCTATAAAAGCTTTGAGATGGTCAGCATCAGTGTCACCAGCAAGAGATCTAAATAATTCAAGTTCAGTATCATAACTCTTATTCAATTGATCAGATAAATCTGTTTTCTTTTCCTCCAAAACCTGAAAGGTAAAAATAAGAGTTACACTATCAATAAACATGCACAAACGTAAATAAAAAGTAAATAACATATTAATCACAGCACAAACTCAAAGTGAAATAAAATACCTCAGGAGGTGCATCTAATGAGGTCAAGTGAACAACATTTCCATCCAAATCTACTTCATTTACAATGAAATCAGAATACCTACGCAAAATCAAACAACTAAAAGATTATCTACAGTGGAAAGATCCGTATAATAATCAGTTTACACGCTTTGAATACAAATCATTGATGCAAAAAAAATTCAAAATTTTTTCTTTTAGAAAGTTCAAGCAAACATGCCACACCCACAATATTGCCCATAGCAGGGCTCAAACTCTCAAACTCCCCAAATCAAAATACCATCCGTGCTAATAACCGTCGGTAAAAAAGATCGAAATTCCATGGCAGCAATATAACATTCAACTAAGAATGTGTAATCTAAAAATATGGGATGATGATGATGCAATCTAAGAATCTAATACAATATAATTAATGTGTACTTGGAAATGAAATGGTACTAATACTATGAATTTTTTTTTTTTTTTTTTTTTTTTTTATCACTACTATGAAGTTAATCATGAAAGAACACCAAAACAAGAATTAGAGTAACACCATGTTTGGTTGCATAGAATACTTGAGCTAAAAAGAAAACACACTAAGATTAAATTTTGTGAAATGCTGTTCGATCACCCAATAGTTATATTCGGTTTGCTATAGTAGACCCTCCCAACCAAAACTATCAAAAGTGTTAAATTCGCAATGAAAACTTCTCTTGTTAAAAAATTTCCTCGTTTCAGACTTATTCTCAGCAACCAAACGGAGAATTATAGAAATGAATTTTGCATGAATTGGAACTACTAATTGAGTCATAAACTGCATTGAATACTACAATTAAACCCACAGTCCACACACACTACATGTATACATATACACATGCACACTCGAACAGGGAGATACATATATGTGTGTGAATGTGTGTTGAAGACCTTTGTTTCAGAACACCGCGAAAGCCGGGAAGCTGAGAAATGTAGCAGAAGATTCCGACGTCTGATTCGTCTACGGAGTTCATGATTTCTAGGGTTTCTGGCTCGGTGGTGACGGAGAGGTAGGGTTTTAGTAAGAGCTTGTAGGGTTGTGTTCGTCGAGACAGGTCATGTAACGGGGCTGAGATGCGTGGTGTGACTATTGGTGACATATTGGAGCAAATTATAGACATGTTTGGACCTGACTCGAACGAGGTTGAACTCCAGCAAATTGTACGCACAATTTCGAATTGCTAAGGTTATGAAGGTAAATTACACTAATCTAACGTGAAGTTTAGACAAATTATATACAAATGCGTCGTTCAATGATTATTATTTTTACAATTAAACAAAAAAAAAATTATAATATTATAAAATGTATTATAATTTATAAGTTATAATTATAATATAAGAACATTATTAACTTTTTACATTTATTTATAGACTACAAACAAACAATTTTTTAAAATATTAAGATAATATACAACGAAATCGACCCCAAATAAAGTAATAATAATATAAATAAATAAAAAAGGACTCAACTCAATTGTTGTGTAATTTTACAAATGCCTCGATAGCTTAGTGGGTTAGTACCTCCGGTAGATTTTGAAGTGCCAAGATTTGAACCTCTGCGTCTACTGATCTCATTTATAACAATTATTGCCTTGTAAAAAAAATAAAAATAAAAATAAAAAATTTTATTGTGTAATCTTTAAATGCATGGGTTTAACCCATGAAAACAAGCTCCTATAAGATATAGGGTAAAAAAAAAGATAAATAAATAAATAAAACCCCTCATAAACTAAGATTTTGTTGCATTTTACCGAAAAAGATAAAAGATAATTTCGCCCTTATTATGAAACTACGTAGTTTTGAATTTTTATATATTAGGGAAAAGTGCAAAAAAAAACCCCTAAACTATTGGCGAATTTGCAACAAACCCTCTAAACTATGAAAATTACAAATAACCCCCTAAACTATATATTTTTATTGCAAATCACTCCATCCGGCAATACGCCAGTCAAATATTACCGTTAAACCTTATATTGCCCTTATACATTTGAAAAGACAATATTGCCCTTTTAACAGTTAAAACCCCCAAACGCCACCCATCCAATTTCCCAAATTCACAAGACTTTGTGAGAGACAAAGCTCGTCAACGAACGCTTCGCCTTTCTGGACCTCAACAACGATGGTGTTTTGTCCTGATCGGAGCTCTGCAAGGCCTTTAAGTCGTTACAGCAAGTTGAGATCCACTTCAGTTTAGACATGCGCGACACCATAGGAGGAATTCGGCTGAAAACCCCAATTCGTGAGCCTGAGCCTGTGTCATAAATTATACCAACCCAACCAGAGCATTATTCTGCAATAACCCAGTTGCTTGTTTTACAAAGTCCAAATCTTCTTTGATCATGACTGTAACGAGCATGGTACACCGGTGGCGGCACTAAAAGAGGAAAATTGTCAGATTCCGCCTGAAGTAGGGTGGTGACAGTGGATTTTTGGGGTTTCATGGTGTGTGATTTTACTATGAGTTGTTTAATTTTTAAAGATAATAGAGAGAATGCGGAGTTATGGTTGGTGAGGTGGGTGATAGTGGTGGCGGGAGTGGGGTGGTGACAGTGGGGTTGTGTATGTGGTTCGATTTGGTTTGATAGTGTAGTTGGGGACGCCATCACCGCCGTTGGTTATATATGTTGCAGCTTTGACCGGCGAGGTTAATAGAGATGGACAGCGGGCAAAAATCGGGCGGCTATGGAGTGTTTAGCTGTTGGCTCGGCCGTGGAGAGCTTAGAGCAATGAGCAGCGGGCTGTGATGGTGAACTCACTGCGGCTAGCACGGCTTTGATGGTGTTGGCTGTGATGGAGGCAGCGGCAAGCTTGGAACGGGGAGGTCGACGAATGAGACGATTTTCGACGGTGAGCTTGCGGCAGTACTGAGAACATGGACGGCAGCGAATCAGCGACTAAAGAAGTCACAATTCCGGTTAGGGATGGCAACGGGGGCGGGTTTGGGCGGGTGTGCCCTCCCCCGCCCCCACAACTGTTTAAAAATCCCGCCCCCGTCCCCGCCCAGAACCACAAAACGGGGGTACTTTCCACCCCATCCCCGTAACCATTTAATATTTTTACCCCCGCGGGTACCCGCCCCGCCCCGTTTAAGACCATAATTTATTTATCGTTGAAATAGATTTGCTCTTTTTTTTTCCCCCTCATCTTCAATTATTCACTATTGCAAATTTCTTTTTAATCAAATTCATTTTTTACGTTAATATTGTTATATAGGGTACTAAATATATAGTTAGAAATATATATACTAATGAAATATGGGAACTTAAGTAATTTGTCTATCTAAACGGGGCGGGGCGGTGCAGGGCGACCTCCCCCCGCCCCCGTACCAAATCCGTGCGGGTTTTTATTACATCAAACCATTTCTGCCTAAATAAGTAAAACGGTCTCCCAAAACTGTCAAAAACGGTGCGGGGTGGGGAGGGTAATCGCGGGGGCGGGTCAAATTGCCATCCCTAATTCCGGTGATGGGCTGTTATGTTGAAGCTCGGCCGTGATTAGGTTTGATGCATGCTGGCGGAACTAAACGGTTGCGAGCTTGGATTCGGATGCTGGCGGTCGACTGTGGAGAGAACGGTGAAGTGAACTCAGCCGCGATAGGGCTTGGCGGTGGAGAGGACAGTTCGCGGCAGATAAGCCGTGAGCAAGAGGCAGAATCTATAAATAGGTTCTATCTCTGTTTCCTTTTGGGGGAGTGTTAGTGAGTCAAAACTACGTAGTTTATGTTTAGGGCAATTTTGTCTTTTCCATTTTTCTGTCATCCACAGGTGACCCATGTCCCTAATTGCAACAAATTGTTAGTTCAAGGGTTTTTTTTTTTTGTAGTTTAGGGGGTTTTTTGTAAAAGGACAATAGTTTAGGGGTTTTTTTTGCACTTTTCCCTATACATTATATATGTGTGTGTGTGTGTGTGTGTGTATTCCCAACCAAATAGAGGGATTGAAACACACCACCACTTCCCACTTCCATGGCTGTCAGTCGCCGGCCATCACCTCTCCATTCCCACCAACAATACCGTCTCTGCCCCTCGGCGTGAAACTTACGCCACCACACAAACCCACTGCCACTACCATCACCCACCATCGCCGACACTTCTCTCTAGAAACTCAAATAATTCAGTATGAACCGGCGAATCCCACCACCCAACTTATGCCACAACCATTGCCTCTACCTTACACATACATACACACAAACACACACATATATATTATGTTGTTGAACCCCAACCACCCTACTGCCTGTCCTCATTCATTGTTGCTGCCAGTATGTCTTTTATGCAAGATACATTCTTGATTTGGGGATTTAATTTTGGGATTTTGTCAAAATAGGTTAGGGTTCTATAGTCATGTCCCAAACACCACATCTCATAACTAAGAATTATAAACACCATATCAGCTTTAAATTCAGAGACCCGGCACATCGGTGAGACCACGGCGAACGTGAATCTTAAATCTACGCCACCTAAATCATAAATCAGAGCAAAAATGCACTAAATTCCTTTAATCTTGCCTTAAATATCTTCACTTTAATGGGGATATACATATATATATATATCGATTGTACGTTCCATTCCATTCCTTGACCAAGATCGCCCTCATTTGATATACTTTAATGGGTTGGATAAACCCTAAGCATGTAACCTAAACTTTCTCTCTTTTCACTTTTTGGGGATTTATTTGTGTAATTTTTGTATAACTTTGAAATATAAATTAATTCTTTCATTTGATTATCTATGTCAACTTCATATTGTCTTATATGTTTTTGATTGATAATTAATCTCTACACTTGATTTTTTTGTGAATTGAATCTTGTGATGGCTATGCATTGTTTTAATTAGATGTAATTGTGTTTTGATTTAATGGAATTTGCTTCTACTAGATGGATTGTACTACACAGTTAATTTAATTTGGTTAAATTCTTGTTGAATTTAGTTAATTTCAGGCTTAATTAGTTTAATTGCACTTTCATTCATAGGTAAGTAAACAATCCATGCTTGTGTTTGAAATCCATGGTTATTGTCACAATTGCATTATCCTCTAGATTAATGTGTGTTGAAATTGCAACTTGAAATGATAAATCATACTTTGAATTGGTGAATTGCACTACACTTAGTTTAATTGTCATTAAGTAGTTGATTCATACTTGAAATTGATGGTTTACACTTTTCATTGCAGTTGTTAGCCACATTTAGATTACACATTATTATTTCCCCAATTAGTTGAAAGTGAGTGAGTTAGGGAATGTGCTTAGTGATGAATCCTATACCCTAAGTCTCTTTCCAATCTTTTAAACTCCATTATTTTATTGCAATCATTTAACTTAAAATTAGTCTAATCACAAAACAGTAATACCCCTAATTTTAAAAGGATAGTCTCGGCATATTAAATTTTCTTTTATTACATTTTATTGGTTTATTTGTTAATTTTGTTTGTTTAAATGATTATTTGCCTTTTTATTATATGATATTGAATTAAATTGATTAATTTTTTTTTTTTATGTGAATTATTTGAATTATTGATAATTGGTTATTTATTATGAGCTATTTTTCTTTACTTGTTAATTTTAGTATTTTTATTGTTATTTGTAATTCATTGTTTTATTATAATTCTTGTAATGGTAAAGTTAGGTTATTAAACTTAAGTTATGTTCATGCAGCCACGTTTATTATAACCTAGATTACACGGTTGGGCCTACTAAGGTTTACATTAGGGCTCTATCTCTAATATTACAAGGATTAAGATTTTAGCATTATGCCTATAAATACAACCATTATTCTGTAGCCTAGGGTTTTACGATCACAACTCATAGCACAAAAACGTGAAGTTAATTCTGAAAAAACTGAGAGATACAGAGTGAGGTTTTGAGAGAACAAAATACGTTCGGTGTGGGATTCGACTGAGGCTTCAAGGTCGGACCTAGGAGAAGGGAAGAGCAGAAGTAAAAGGAGGATAGACAGTAATTCAGTGTCGCCAGAACAGCGGACGTGACACCGAAATTTCAAAACTGAAATCACAGACAAGTTATTTTCTTCCTCTTTTCCTCTGGCTTGTGTTCTGTGCACCTAGATAGTCTATAGGGTTTAATTAATCATTGACTGAGTTTTACATGTATATTAGATGCTATATTTATGATATATATATATATATATATATGTGTGTGTGTGTGTGTGTGTCAAAATCTGTTAAATTATGGTTCGTGCATGCCTGATTTCAGTTGTATTCTTAAAGCATGCTTAGTCTGTAGAACTTATAGCTTTTGTATTTAATTTCAACTGCTGTAAACACTCCATAGGGATTATACTGGACACAATTAAGACCTTTAGGAACAATTTAAAACCAAATAGACATGTTGGGAGCGACCGGAGACGAAATAGAAGGTCATAGAAGTTGCAGCGGTTGAAGACGGCTCTCAGAGGAGGTGAGAGCCGGCTCCATAGAAGTGGGAGCCGGCTCCCACACATGTAGAGCCAACTCCAAGGTCATTGGAGCCGGCTCCAGGCTGATTGGAGCCTGCTCCCAAAGTCTTGGAGCAGGCTCCCTCTCAAATTGCTTCCCAAATGTGTTTTTAACGCATTTTTTTAAGCTGTTGAGTGTCTGAACTGTTTTGAAAAATTATGGGACGCTTTAGCGTGATTAAGAAGTTAATTTTGGGTGTTAATAAGACTTTTAATTGATTAAATTTTACCTCTAAATTAATGAAATAAACCGTATAAAATTATGCACATTGTATACGGCTAATGGGTGGATGAAGACTTAATTGCTTAAGCTTATTTTTGGGCATTCCAGTGGGATCTAATATGTTTATAAAATTGTTTTAAATGCATAATAGGGTCAGGTATTTATTAGTTTTAACCTATGTATGTTTTGAACTTTGGTTGCTAAGCTACTGTTCATAATCCTGTAGTTTACTTGGTTTTCTTTAAACTGGATTATACTTTGGATTTAATTGCTATAATGTTACACACTACTTTGCAATTAACGGGACTTCGGATTTGGACTGGATAATGGTTTTGAAATTTAATTGTTGAGATATTAAAACTTATTTTGCAATTAACTGGAGTATGTTTTTAACTGCACTTGCTGAAATATTATACCATATTCTGCAATTACTTGAGTTATGGTTGGTAACTGGATTATGAATTTGGATTTAAGTTGCTGAACTGTTATCTTGGTTTTGTAATTTATATGGATATGGAGGATTGTATGCACCGGTATGAGATGGTGGCATTCTAGAGATGGTTTAGCTCAAAACGCTAAGACCTAACCTGTCAGATTAAAGGAATGGATTGTAAAATATTGAATCCTAAATTGTGTTAAGTCATATCAACTAAATAAGTTGAGTGACTAATTGGACTGTGTTTTGTATGTCACCTCAATGAATAATTGAATGACATACTCTGAATTTGGACGGACTTTAGATATATGGTTATGGTACCATGAGATGAACTTGAGTCTCAGGCTCGTTGGTTAGGGTGTGTATATACAGTGGATGCGCAACTGGATATAGTAGGTAGGTGTACCATGTTAGGTCTAGGTACTCATGCCCACCTTTGGGTGTGTTTCTTCCAGTTGTTTTTAATTCAGTTTAGATTATTATTAGGGCCCACCAGAGATTGATTCCCGAGTTGTTTAATCTTTTGGAGGTTTTGGATTATTGGGGTTTAAGGATTTATTTTAAAGGATTTTATTTTAGTTTCTTTCAGCTTTTAATATTTATTCTTATTTCATTTTGTTATCTGTATTCGTTTTAAAATATTAATTGTTTGATATTTCCTCGGGTTTGGGCCTGAGCCTGATCAACCCGTGTCTCGGATCCGAAGGGTATCTTAAAAACCAAACTTTTTTTAGCTATCACATAAGCACTAAAGTATAATTCAATTATGGAAAGCCTATAATTGTTTAGATCTCTTAGGACGATCCCTGCTCACTTCATATTCCATAGTATAAGTGTTTAGTGGTTTTATAAATTTTAAAATATGGTGCCCACTTGACATTATTTATAAACCTAAAGTGTTGTGCATTATTTTGTGCACACGCTCGGTCGCACCAAGAGTCTCACGTGACAAACATGTGCTATATTAATTACCGGACAGTGGCCGAATGGGGCAATCTGTAACAAATTTTAATAGTTCAGGGAGTTAATTGCAACTTTTAAAGTTTAAGGGGTTTTTTATATATTTACCATTAGTTCAGGGGTTTATTGCATATTACCCGTATATTTTTAAATTAGGGTAATGTACAGCAACACTCCTTGAGGTTTGATAAAATGACACTCAGATGAAACTTGGCCTGTTTTAGGACAATGACACCCCCGAATGATATTTGCAAACCAAACAGAACCTTAAAACATGTGAAAAGTCAACATTGCCCTTCACTATTTTATTAATTTTAATTATAAAATATTAAAATAATTAAAGACCAAATTACCCTCGACAAAAAACGGACCGTGAAATGAGACCCAATACATAGTAAGCATCGAGAATTGAGATTCAACAAAAATGGCAGCAACAATAACTTCGGGGGGAAAAAAAAAATGGCAGCAGCAACAATGGGTACTCTGCTACCAAACTACCAACAAAACAAAGCCCTAACTGTTTTATCACCGCCCTTGACCCCAAGTCTCTGATTCTCCCACAATTTTTCGATTATGAAAAACCCAATCTTCTGTAACTCAAAATAGAGAGCTTCGTCATGGAGAGAGGACCCAGATACAAAAGCGTACGCCGATTTGAGAGAATCGAAGCTTAGAATGAAGAACTTAAGACAACAACAGCCTCAGGAACAGGAATTCAATCTTTCACCACCAAAGAAATAGGTGAGATTTCAGAAGAATTTTTTGGCGACCCCGATTGGGCGAAAAGGGTCATATATTCTCACGCAATCGGTGCCCTAATTATGGTGATTCCGACGACGAACTACCAAAAATGGACTGGCGAAGAGAGACCCAGTTCGGTGAGCTTAACCAATGCCGGAGTACACAAGTCACTCGTTGGGCTTAACGACGGTGGTGGCAATAGTTATTCGACGAGGGTGGCGGTGAGTGCTCTCGCTGCTCGGTTGATTCTCTCTGTTTCCGGCAACGACATCAAGACGGCGCTCAAAATTGGAGCCATCAGTCCGACGAAGCTTCAAACTACAAAACCTAATTCTGTCCAGCGAGCCCCAAATTTGGTGAAGCCCAGTTCAGATCGACGGACCTCAAGCATGAACAGTTGCCGCGACCCAGAAGCTTACCCATCATCTACGGCGAAACTCATCTGTGTATACATATATGCTCACCAAAAGTTGAAAATAACAGTGCCTGCATGTTCTTTTCTATTTTTTATTTTCATACATGGTTACCTAATTTTTTATTTTCAAAACTCATTGATATCATTGATATGAGTGACGCACTTGTTCTACTTTGGAGGGTATCACAAACAGTTCACCATCACGGCATCGTCGACCGTATATATACATATATGTACATATATGTATTTGTGGGGATGGGTTTCTGAAGATAGAAATGTCATTTCAAGGTCAATATAAAAGTTAAAGGGTAAAAATATCAATTCATTATTATTGTATCAAACTTGAGAGGGTCTATTTGTCGCAAAATAATCTATATAGATGTATATATAGATGAATATGACAATGGCTACAAGATTGATTCGTTTTTCAGATTCGAATATAATTCAGATTAAACTGACGGGTGTAGAAACTGTGTGACCGGTTAAATAATGGGACAATATTTACTATTTTTTATTTTTTATTTTTTAAAAAAGAATATTCTAAACCTATTAGTAATTTCACAAAACTGTACGTTATTAATAAAAATCATCTTATGATTTATATTGGAGTCTCCGCTGGATCGCAGTGATCAGCCGACGAGAAGTGCCTTGCTAAGTCGATATCCTCTATCTCCTCCACAGATCCATACACACAGGCCACTAGAGAGAGAAAGCAAATATACGTAGTATTTGTAGGGAGAGAGTGGAATACTGTGAATCATTGAGAAGATGGTGAGTGAAACAGAGGAAGCACAGGTGAACAGGCTCGAGAACCAGGTGGACAATGGAGGAGGAGGGGCTTGGGAGTACCTGTCCCTCGTTCGGAAGCTCAAGCTTCGACGCTCTGACAAGGTTTTGAAGCATGGTTTGTCGATCTTGAACGACCCCAAGAAGCGATCTAGTCTCGGCCCTGACGGTACTCACACGTTGTTAATCTTTTTGCTTAATTCTTATACCTAGAAGATTGATTCGAATTTAGCCTGAAAAAGCTCAAAACTTGGATTATCGAATTGAGTGTGTTAGATCTTTGATTGAATTGTTGGGTTTTGTTTGCTATGCCTGCAGTATTTGTTTACTCTTGAATTACACGCCCAATTCGAGAGCATGGGTGCACAAAACTTGTGTTGGCTTCATACTTCAGTTCATTTCATATATATATATATATATATATTTTGAATACATAGAAGCTTGGTCTGAATTTAGCTTGAAAAAGCGCAAAACATTGGATTTTCGAATTGGATGTTTAGATCTTTGATTGAATTGTTGGGTTTTGTTTTCCATGTCCGAAATATTTGTTTACTCTTGAATTACACACCCAATTCCAGAGCATGGGTACACAGAAGTTGCGTTGGCTTCATACTTTAGTTCATGTTTTTTGTTTTGATACCTAGGAGCTTGGTCTGATCCGGGCCTGAAAAAGTACAAAACTTTGGATTCACGTTTTGGATGCGTCAATAATTTGATTGATTTGTTGGGTTTTGTTTACTGTGGCTGTAATATTTGTCTGCTCTCTAATTGCACACTCAATTCCAGAATCAGTTACAAATCTTGTTTTGGCTTTTTCACTTCAATTTTTATCTTTTTTGCTTAATTCTTTCATACTTATAAGATAGCTTTTGAATTTTAATGCAAGGTAAAAAAGTTTTTGTGAAATTGTGTGGCATGTTCTCAGGACTTTGTTGGTGAATGTTTTAGTTATCTGATGCTCTAGTCCAACCTTCTTCCCCTCCCACAACTTTTTAGTTGGCAATAATGATATAATATTTGACTAATGATCATGACATTAAAACCAACTACATTTCTTACATCATTGCATTAAATGGGCGAAGTTTAATGATGTTTTATTTAATTTAAAGTGTTTGGAAATATTATTGAGAAAAAAAAAGTGTCTAGGAATATCTAGACGGTCCATATTTTTAATGACGTTCTATAACTTTGTTTGAGGTGGTTTATGATGCACCATATTTTTCTCATTTTCCACGTGATTATAATTATAATAAAGTAGAATTCTAAGTGAACGATTGAAATTATAGTGCAGCAATTAGTGATCAATCCCTTGGCCTTCACCATTTCACACAATACTTTTTTTGGAAGTCACATATTTTCTTAATATATGACGATTGACGAACATTATTGTACAATTTAGGGCTGCCGTCCAGCCGGAGAAAGAAGTTTCTCCAAAGGTGACTAAGGTGATCTTATTTATTCTCACCCCTTGCAGTTAGGAAGCCTGCCAGACCAAATACAGTTCCGTAACTAGTTTGTCACTGAAAAAAGAAACTACTCTTTATCTATATAGTATGATTAAATGAGAAACCGTATAACAAGTCATCTTCTCGAAGGTTGCTTTTGAAGGTTTCATTTCAGAAGATCGTTTGATGACTTATTCAGCCATCTGGTTCTTGTCATGGGTTACCGTGTGCAATTCATGATACAAGTTGGAAAAACCCATTACCACTAGGGGCATACATAACATTGCCCAACTCAAAATGTAATATCTAGCGGCTCTAGCCCCACATTTGAGTTTACACCTCATAGTTGATACATTTCTAAGCAAGAAGCTTCTCTCAGAAGAACTTCCTCTAGATTGTGAGCCCATACTTGTTCATCTCACACTTGTAAGGTATGGTAAATACGCATGGTCTGATTGTACAACATTAAGTGCTAAGATTTTTAAAAACATTTTCCTGTTATGCTTGATGGAATCGCTATACTGTTTTGGTAGACGGCGACTCCAACCTCAACACTTATATTAAATTCTCATAACTATGATTCTACTTATATAAATTATAAATGAAATTGTTTCTCTGTCTACCTTGGCATGCCCTTAATTACCTGTCAGGTTGTCAATCACGCTAATAAGAGAATGAATGGATCTTATAGGATTTCCAAGAAATTCTTTGATTTTTCCCGGAAGCAGATAATAATTGTTTGCTTATTACGTTCCATGAATAGGCAGGACATTGAGGAATATACGGAAAAGATTTTCGAGTATCACTCTGATTTTATCTCTATTTGTTTCATTTAGCAAGGAAGGATTCCAAAGAATTGATCTTTCTTTTAGTCGCTGAGAGTCTCCTTTTTCGACCCCTGGAGTACTGAACAGAGACGAAATAAGTACTATACTGTTCAACAAACTCTTTATTATAGTTAACTTCTGTGACGGCCCGAATTACTAGAACCCGGTGCGTCAACGAGTAACCCGAAACCTGACTTGTTATTGAGTCCGAAATGCGGAATCGAAAACAATAGAAGAGTTCACTAGAGGCAAATGCCGAATTACTACAATGCAATACAATGCACCAATGTATGTACTCGACACTCACGTAGCACATACTCATATAGCATAACACATGACCCAAATAATACTCCATAAGTATGTCATATAGCCCACATAAGGCAACCAAATAGACCACATATCCCATCGGGATCTAAACAAACGAAAACATGCTACACATCAACAATGATACTAACACGATAAACAAATACAACATGTGAGAAATGCATCATTTCTATCATCACATAAACTAATACATAGTCACATATCTTAAACATGTTTCTAAGGCTTGCTCAAAAATAATAAAGCATATACACATGCAAGGGCGACTACATAGAACGATGTCACAAAATTACAAATAAAATGGAATGCCTCTCAAAAGGACTATCTCACAGAGACCATGCCCCAAAACGCAAATGAGTCGTACCTCTCACTGCAGAGAGAGAAATTATCTCCCAAAACGACCACTAAGGTCTCCGAAACATAGGGTCAACAAGCCCTTCCCAAACTAGCTTTTACTGAAGGTGAAACCTCTGCACCCGCATAAAAACAAGGCAACGAATGTAATGGATAGTTCCACACTAACCATCACAAGACATCAACAAGGAGGACATATCTCAAGATGCTAATGAGTCCGATGGGGACTCTATAGGATTATATTGGAACCCTAACACACAACCCTAAGCCTCCAACGTCAAGGAAGAGTAATTAATCAAACATCCCAACCGTAGCTCACAAGAGCTGTCCAAAGCAAAGGCAAGAAGAACCCTAGGTCAACACACCTATCAAGTCCCTAAACTATCACTCCAAGAAGACAAGACATGAGGATCTCGGCGTTGAGGCTCACAAAAACAAATCTCTCACCTTCCCCAAGGAAGAACCTAAGCCAGTCCTGACTCATCGTCCCGTGACGCTAGAAACAAGACCTCAAATGATATCCCCACATCAAGGTCACCACAAAGCCCCAAGAGGTGATACCAACACCTCTAACACGCCCACGACCTACGAAAGAAAATGAGATGAAATGGTGCCTCTATGGCCCACTTGTCATTCCGCCAAACAAAGACTACAACCTTATGCTCACATGAGCCTCACTCAAATCAACCGTCAATCCAAAGTCTCGAAACTACTAAGCCGTCAAAATAGACAAAAAGGCTCCCACCGCGGAGACCTTGCAAAACAAACCCCTCCTACCCGAGGAAGAAATCCTAAGTGGCTAAAAACTTATCTAAGGATATTATGGACTCTTAAAGACAATGCTCTAGCATCAATCTCACCCAACCAAGCATGGACAATGCACAAGCCAAGATGACATATCAATAAACATTTAGTACTCCGAGGTCATATGCATCATATAACAAAATCTCATGTAGTAAGTACGAAAAAAAATCGAAACGAGTAACAAACGGTAGCAAGTATGTTCATCACATAGCACAAAGCCAACATAAACACTTAACACATAATCATGCTAAACACACAGCATACATACAAACATGGCAACTAGCATGCTCCAAAGAAAAAATGTGCACTTAACAATGCATGAAACCCGAAGTGAGAAGCTCCTTGTCCCCTCAAACATCCTATTAGCCGTCATAAGTCCAAAACACGATGTGTGACGAAGAAGGATGGTTAATCACTTCCAAGCACTCGCGACAACATGCAATTCATCTAATGAATGCATAGAATAAAACACATCGTAGGATACAATAATACATGTGTCACATAAGAGATACTTTTTAAACACATAAGCACATAAATGCTATGAAGATGTGAAACATGAAGGAAACCCAAATATCAAAGATATTATCACAAGTGGACCCCGCCACCACCATCCTTTCTTCCTTATCATTTCCTTTATCCTTATCTTCCATCATCACAATTCCCTTTTTCATTACCCACTTCGGCTGACAGCTCCCTTCTTATCTCTATCTTCTCTTTTTATTTTTATTTCCTTCTTATCTCTATCCTTCCACTACATGCATCAGCACCAATTAAACATTACATATATATATATATATATATATATATAATATGTAACAAAAAACCACTTCCAACCCATTCCTCTCCTCGTGGGTCTCGCCAAATATCATTACCATTTCATTCTTTCCCTTTTCTTTCTAATTTCGGTACCTGCTCTCGTTTTTCATCAGACATAAACCTCACAACAGCTCTCCATACAGACAAATATCAAGTCAATGACAAACTATCACTAGTGGACCCCACCACCACCTTCTTTACTTTATCTTTTCCTTATCTTCTTCCATCATCACTAACACTACAATATCTATCCACAATAGTAGACACGTACATAGCCAAACACAAGGACTTTGGCAATATAATCACCTAGTGGGCCCCGCCAACATCCTTACCATCTTTCTTTTTTTTTTTTTTCTTCTTCTTCGTTTCTTTCCACTAAATTCGTCCACCTGCCCACTTTCCCTTTATCTCCATCTCACATTGCATATATATATGCAACGTCTGAAGGTTATGAGAAGGTGGTCAGCCGAATTGGGAAGAGAAATGGAATAAAAATTGTGATGATGTTTTGGCAGGTCCCACTAGGAGATGTTTAGTTGGTTTGATTTAGTTTTGTTACATTTATATATATGATATATATATATATATATATATATATATATATATATATATATATATATATATATGCAACATCTGAAGGTTATAAGAAGGTGGTCAACCGAATTGGGAAGAGAAATGGAATAAAAATTGTGATGATGTTTCGGCTGGTCCCTCTAGAAGATGTTTAGTGGGTTTGATTTAGTTTTCCACTATGAGATGTTTTGATGATGTTTCGGCAAGTCCCACTAGGAGATGTTTAGTGGTTTTGATTTAGTTTTGTTGTATTTGTATATATGATATATATATATATATATATCATATATACAAATGCAACAAAACTAAATCAAACCCACTATGAGATGTTTTGATGATGTTTCGGCAAGTCCCACTAGGAGATATCATATATACAAATGCAACAAAACTAAATCAAACCCACTATGAGATGTTTTGATGATGTTTCGGCAAGTCCCACTAGGAGATGTTTAGTTGGTTTGATTTAGTTTTGTTGCATTTGTATATATGATATATATATATATATATATATATATATATATATATATATATATATGCAATGTCAGATGGAGTTAAAGGGAAGGGCAGGTGGACGAATTTAGTGGAAAGAAAAGAGGGGAAAAAAAAAAAAAGAGATGGTAAGGATGTTGGTTGGGCCCACTAGGTGATTATATTGCCAAAGTCTTTGTGTTTGGCTATGCACGTGGCTGTTATTGTGGATAGATATTGTGGTGTTAGGTGATGATGGAAGAAGATAAGGAAAAGATAAAGTAAGGAAGGTGGTGGCGGGGTCCACTAGTGATATTTTGTCATTGTCTTGATATTTGTTTGTATGGTGAGCTGTTGTGAGATTTGTGTCTGATGGAAAAAGAGAGTAGGTGCCGAAATTAGAAAGAAAAAGGAAGGAATGAAATGGTAATGATATTTGGCGGGACCCACGAGGAGAGTAATGGGTTGGAAGTGATTTTTTGTTACATATCATATATATATATATATATATATATATATATATATGTAATGGTTAATTGGTGCTGATGCATGTAGTGGAAAGATAGAAATAGAGATAAGAAGGAGATAAAAATAAAAAGAGAAGATAGAGATAAGAAGGGAGCTGTCAGCTGAAGCGGGTAATGAAAAAGGGAATTGTGATGATGGAAGATAAGGATAAAGGAAATGATAAGAAAGAAAGGATGGTGGTGGCGGGGTCCACTTGTGATAATTACTTTGGTATTTGATATTTGTTGGTGAGCTGTTGTGAGTTAGAGTGTTAGTGCATTTTCCTATATAAATATTTGTCTTATGAGTTTAGTAAGGAAACAAATAAGGGAAATAGAGGAAATACAATGAGGAGGCCGAGATTGTAGGACAGAGGGGGTCGGACTTGTGGCTTTGATGATTCAGTGAGGATAATAGTTTTACAGTGTAGGGTTCTTTATACCTTGAATTGCTTGGGGTGATTTTATCTCAAATATTTTGTGACTGTTATTTTGCTAAATTGCATATATGTATTTTTGTCAAAAGCATATCTATATTTTGTGAAGCTAATTTTCATGAAACCTCCTTGAAATTCTTGTTATGGTTTTTCCTACTGGGACCTCCCGTCTCACTACCCTCCAGTTTCAGGTACTGAGGATGAACGTGGATTGCTAGTTTCGGGCTTAGGTGGAAGAGTTGGTGTTGCGGATTTATTTTAATTATTTGGAGATTCTTGTATATATATTTGAGGAAATTTAATTTTTGTATCAATAAAGGGTATTTCTTTTTATGATCCTGGGTGAATACTGATGTATTTGTAATTTGAAAGAATTGAGGAATTTTATTAGAATTTTCGGGTCGTTACAACTTCCCCACTTTATAGGTTTCATTTTCCCTAGGTCCCAGCCTGCCCTAAGACCCATTTCATCAATAGGACCTATTGCTAATTGAACAAAGAAATGCTTACTAAGTCCGCCGGGGGGGGGGGGGGGGGGGGAGGGGGGGGGGGACTTTAATTTGTGAAAAAATTAAAGCACCAAAACAACTAAAAGAGAAGCGTGGATGTCCAACTCATATGGACGTTGGCAAGATCAACACCTCCATTTTCTTTTGTTAAGTAATGTGAATACCTCCAAAATGAGGTATGCAAGACAACTTGAAAGGCCATCAAATTCTCGATGCAAGTTTCTACACTCTCTAATTGTTGACAGTCTCCGAAAGGTCCTTACATGTCTTCCCTTTTGAAAGGATTCGAATTATTGACAAGGGATTTATCCGGGTTGTGCAGTTGATGATCCCTTTTCCATTGGAATTTCAAATATCTACTATGGGAAAATGAAATAGCCGTAACCCAGCATGGGAGAAATTTACGAGACTGAAAGGATGCAAAAGTGAATATTGAGTTGTCAACTGACTCAACTGTACTTCCATTCATTTACAAGCCTGTGAATGTTAACTTCTTCCACCTAGAATGGTGTTGTCAGTGGCTTATTTGTTATTACTTATTTAATGTAGGGTGCTTATTTAATTTCTGAGACTTCGTAGTATAATGTGGTGGAAGGATGAACGTATTCTTTCAGTCTCTCTCTCTTTCCCCATCTCTCTCCCTCTTTTCTCTCCTCGTCTTCCTTCTCTTCTTCTTCATTTTCTTCTACTTTACTCTTGTTTTGATAATCTCTTAATGTCAACAAATGGTTCCTTTATACTGAAGGTGATGGTTATTTTTATATTTTTGTTATTTTTTAGTCTGTACAAGGTACAATTTTGTGATTTTGTGAATGAGAATTAGTACAAGCACTCTTTGAAATTTTGAAAGTGGGCTTTTTTAGTAAAAAAAAAACACCAACTACATTAAGTTTCATTATGTATGATGCTTATTAAAAAAACGTTTTGTTCATGTTTGATATTTGACAATTATGAATGCTAAAGTCAGTTGTGCATTTACTCTGGTTCTCCTTTTGTATACATTTTTTTTTTCCCTAACTGAATTGTATACATTTTATCTTGCTCGTGGTAGTAACTACAAGAGCTAATATTGCAAGCACTCCTTTATTTAAGACAGCATTAATCTATCTGTATCTCACATGTTTACCTGTATAAATTTTTTTAGTAAATATGCAAGTGTACTATGATGTTTATATTTACAACACCATATCCCCATGGAGGCCAATTTCATCAGCACCAATTACACCGGCAGATGAACTTCAGTTAACTGTATAATGAATTATATTGCTCCCTGGGTCAGTTTCCATTATTTTCATTGTTACTGGATGTGTCGAATAGTATTTTTGATGTTAGAATTTATTGGTTAATTTTTACACGTCTGTCGTTATTATATTTAGATGCTAAAAATTACTTCCTTCAAGTTGCACAGTCTAGCCCCACTTCTTCTATTGGCAGAGATTTAGACTAACTAGTATTTTTTTACTTAATTAATGTAGAATGGACTCTATATGAGCAGGTCGCAGTTGCAGCGATGGACTGCCAATGCCTTGATGTTGCAAAGGTAGAATTCTTTTCTTCTTGGTTACATCTTCTGGAACATTTAATATGTTTAAAATTTGTCACTCTAATATAGTGCAAGGATATGAACATCTTCATGGTTCTCACTTCTCAGATACTTAATCATTTAGCCCTGCAAAATATGCGATAATTTTCTGCGAGTGAAATCGTTATGCTGAAAAACTGTTATATTTTTTTAGGCTTGTACTGACTTTGTAGAAAAATGAGTGTTTGCTAGGTTATGTTATGGTATGTCTCAGAGCATTCCTTACCTCAAATGTGAGTTAACTCATTTGGTTACCCAGATAATGTTTGCTAACATAGTGAAGATAGAGATCAATGTGGTTACAACATACATCACATCTTTAGTAGCATTCTATTTGCCCCTACTTTTTTTCCACCCGTCAAAAATTTGTAAGCAAAAAGAGTACACCATGGGCTGCTTCGTATCAAAGGGGTTGAACATCCTTTCCGCTCAACTAAAGCCAAGGTTGTTAGAATCAGGATTCTATGTAGGATCGTTGGGGGTTTCGTAGAACCACAATCGTAGAAATGGATCGAGAATCATAAGATTCTACCAAACTAGTAAAAAACAATTCAGACTAACTTCTTAAACAATAATATCTGTAAAATATAGCAAGAAGTCCAAAACACAAAAAAAAAAAAAAGTATGAATTATTGAATTATGAAGTATGAACATAAACATTATGCACGGAGCAAAATTAACAAATTTATATTAGGAGACCCCAAAGCACCCAAAAAGCAAAATTTAGGAAATAGGAATTGTGTAGTGTGTACCACTGTACCTATTATTCAAATCAAGAACATATTTAAAAGTTACAAAACAAGAAGTAACAACTGAACAAGCCCAGAAAATAAAAAATTTAAAACCAAGAACATAAACAAAACAATGAGGAATAACTGAACAAGAAACAACCGAACAAGCCCGAAAAATTAAAATAGAGAGCCAAAAAGCAAAATATAGGAGTATTAGGAGTCAAAAACCAAGAAAAAAATCAATTAATAAAATACCCATGCATGATGCATATCAAAACTCTAATAAATCAATTAATCAAATACCCAAAAAGAAAAAAAAAAGAAGAAAAAAAGTTAATTAAAAAAATAATAATAATAATAAGTTGAGTGATGTGAGAACTGAGGAGTGAAGGATGTCGTGAGGAGTTTGGAGACTGTAGAGAGAAGCTGTTCGAGAAGTAAAAGAGAAGCTATCGAAGAAGGATTGATATTCGTGACTGTAAATTAGGGCTATGAAGGTTGTTGTGAGAAGCTGTCGAAGAGCCTGTTGTCTAATATCGAAGCTATTAAGAATGTTCAAGAAGTTGTCGAAGAGTGTTTGTCTGAATTTGGAGTCTATCGAAGCGGCTTGATGTTCGCAACTATGAATTAGGGCTATTTATCGAAGAGAAGTGGTCTGAATTAGGGCTTTAAGTTTTTTTTGCCCCTATTTTTCCATCTTTATATTTATGCTATGTTTGGTTGGAGGGGAGGATTGAGGAGGGATGGATAAGAGGGGGGCATAAACAAACTTTTTCGTGTTGGTTGGAGGGAAGGGAAAAGAGGAAGGAAGCATCCCTCCTTGCTTTGTATTTTTCTATCCGCCCAAAATTGGGAGGAAGAGGAGAGAGAAAAAGTAATAACTAACACAAATATGGATTTTTCATTTCTAACCTTCCTTAAAATTTGGGATAGATATAGAACTTTTTAAATTTTAAAATAATGAGGGCGTATTAGTAAAAAGAATAAAAAACCCTCTTTTCCTTCCTTCCAACCAAACAAAAAAAATGTGTCACCTCATCCATCCTTTCTACTATCTATTCCATTCAACCAAACAAAGAGTGAGAGAGGCACCTTCCCTTCCCTAGGGATGCCTCATCTATCCCTTCTCCTATCCATTCCATCTATTTTTCGATCCCTCCAACCAAACGGAGCATTAGTGTTTTGCGGCCCAAGACTGTTGGTCATTCTTATTAGGCCAACCCCTCAAAATTGTGTATCAGCCAAAAAAAAAAAAAAAAAAATAGAGTCAAACAAGGTGTACAATAGAATCGGTAGAATAAGTCACCAATTTTATCGATTCTACCCCGATTCCACCCAAAGGAACAATTTTCATGCGTTTCAATTCGTTTTGGGGGTTTAGGATCGTAGAATCGTGCAATTCTAAGAACTAGAATCCTGATTTTTACCTTGACTAAAGCATAATTAATCTGCCTTAGAAGAATACATAGACTCCTTGGATGACTATGCCCAGAAAGATTCTAGCCAATTGATGATAAATGAGAAATAAAACTTGGTAAATAAACCGAAATAGAGTAGATGAGAAGAATGAGAAATCCTTCTAGTTCAAGAAAGAGTGCTGAATAAGAGGCACTCAAACAAAAAGGAAGAGAGAATGTGCAGAGAGACAAAGTACATTTTAATTAAAGCTAGGGGGAAAAAAGGCAAATGTCTGTTCTCATAAAAATAAGGTTGAAAAAGGCAATGATCTGACAAACATTTTCCTGAAGCTACCCACCTACTTTATAGGGATATATACGTGTGTGCGTGTGCGTGCGCGCCTACACATGATTGGCCTTTTAAATGGAAAGAGATCACGTGTCTATAACTTTTTCATTTAATACGGTGACATGGCATGAGACAGACACACATTTATATATATTATTATCAAAAGTTGCCTCACTTCATCTTCACTAAAAAGATAAAAATAACTAAAAAGAGGAACCTATGCTACCCTTGGCCTCTTTGTATGCTATGAGTGTCCAGAAAAGGGTGTAAACAATGGCGCCCTCCGAGCTCTTTGAAAATGAACACTTCGAATTTTAAAGAGCTAGAATTAAATTTACCTGCTAATTAAATTAAACTTTTAACGACAGTGAACCACTTGACTGAGGTAAATGTAGTGACTGAAATTGTTTAACCTTAGTCATGTGTTAAAAAAAGTACATCAAACCATATATATATATGGAAAATGATTGAATGACTGACAACCGACATCCCAACTGTGAGAGGGAGAGGGTTGTGGGGTCCATTATACAATTAAAGTGAGTGGACCCCACAGCCCCTCCCTCTCACAGTCGGAGTGTCAGTTGTCGGGGTTTCTATCACTACTCTCTCTCTCTATATATATATATTATGTATATGGGTTTGGGTCTACCATGATTCGAAACACTGAAACACTGTTGACTTCAGACTACTGATGCAGTCACGTAGATCCAAAACCAAAGGCTAATGGCAGCAAGTGTTACCATCATTAGCAGCAAGTGTTCTCAACATTGGCATGGAGACCAAGGAGTGAGAAAACTTGAAAGGGACTGCCACTTCTCATATAACGTGTGGTTTCCTTTGGACCGATCAAACTAATTTACTAGGGATGCCAATAAGTTACGAGATGCTCACTATTGCATGTAACATATTGTGGTTGAAGTTGAGATATGTCCACACAGATTGACGCTCACCCCCCATTTTTTTACAAATTGGCGATTTGAAAATCTTGCTGCAGGTGATGGTGTTGGCCATCATTGGCGGTTGATCTCGAGGCAGGAGCAAAACATGAAAAGAAGGTCAATAAAGAGGTTGTCGATGGTCATTAGAAGTTTTGATCTACAAGAGATCGAGGATGGAGGCAACAATGACTAGAGTGCAAGGCACGATTCTAGGTCGTAGAATGACACGATTCTACGATCTTAGACCCTCGAAAGTAGAATCGATATAATCAGTGTCAGAATTATAAAATAGTACGGTTCTACCGATTCTATGCGATTCTACTGCATTTTTTGACCTTATTTTTTTTGTGCTGATACCTATGTTATATGGACTTGGGTACGGGTGTCGGACACGGGTATGTATCCATGTGTCGGGCATGTCAAATCTCCCAAAAGAAGGACACACGGACACGGCTAAATATTCATTTTATTAATTATTTTATTTTATTTTCTAGAGTAAAGTAATGTTTTTATCTAATATAATGTTCAATATAGGCATTTAACTCTTTTTAAAGTAATAATATAATGTAATTGAATGATTGGATATATTTTTTAAGTACATGTCTAACCAAAAGTGTCAGACACATATCCCATACCCATGTCCAAGGGATATGTGTCCGACACGGGTACTTCGCTACTTTTGAACAGAGACTGATACACCATTTTGAGGGGTTGGGCTCCTATAATAATAAAGCCCAAAGATTTGGGGCCCAAAACACTAAATATAAAGATGGGAAAAAAAGTCACAAAACACTTAAAGCCCTAATTTAGAGAACTTTTCTCCCTAATTCTTAGTCTCGACATCAAGCCTGCTCACGAACAACTTCCATAGACTCCAAATTGAGATAAACACTCTTCGACAACTACTTGGAAAGCGACGATGTTGTTTGCTTGACATCGGGTGAGTTCAACCTTGAGTTATCCAAGTCAACTTGCCTAGAATCGGGCGAGTCCCAAATCTTCTAGTCTTCTCGACTTGTGAAGGTGACAAGGGTTGTCTGAGCATTGCGCAATCACCTAGATTTTGACTCGTGAACTCTTAGCCTAACTACGGCTTTTATTTTGTGGGGGACTTTAGCTTTCCAAGTTATTTTAGGCACACAGAAGGGAGTAGACTCATCAGTATTCAAAAGAAAGGTGAGGAAAGATTTAGATAAGAAAGAGGAGAATAGAGGACAAATGTGAGCGTAAGAAGAAGAGAAACCAAATCTTCCTTCTCCTTATTCTTCTTCTAAAGAAATGGAATTGTATTAGGTTTGTTGGTCCAGTAGTCTAATTTCATTTGTACATGTTTCCTCAAAACAAGCGTGTTGAACCTTGAAAATATGTTCATTATTGTTGGATATGGTGCTGCAAAATCAACAGCTGAACTCTTGTTCTGGCCATAATTTTCTGCCATTGTTGAATCTGTTGTATGAATACTTGGCTTTTTTTCTTCGTTCCTTGAAATCTGAATGTCTGTTGCATCTGCTTGTGTATTTTGTGAATTTCTCATAAATAATTTGTTGAATTTGAATCAGTTTACTACGTTATCTTTTGCAGGACTGCACAAAGGTTTTACAAAAGAGATTTCCTGAGAGCAAAAGAGTTGGTGAGATTATACATGATTGTCTAAATTTGCATGTGTGTGTTTGTTTGTTTGTTTTTGTTTTTGTTTTTTCATGGGAAAAAGTAGTTTTCAAGCTTACTTGGGTTTGTTGTTGCTGAGTGACACCTGTAAATTAATGGCCCACCTTTAGAATGAAGGTACTGTAGCCATTGGAATCTCAGGCAAACAGTAAATAAATAAATTTCTGGCATTACTGCTACAAATCTGGCACTAACCCCACCCTCTGCACCCCCAATTCCTCTACTACCACTGCTGATGCTCCAGTGACCCCTGCAATGAACCAGCCACAGAAGGGCCATATCTGCGAAATTAATGGTTGGATCTTGGAGCTGAATATCTTGCTTGAAAGGTTGGAACAAATATGAGACGTGTCACTACACGTATCGCAGGGATGAATGGGACCAATATATTCATTTGAGATTTTTCAAATTTAGGATATCATAAAACCACTTGACATTCTTAAAACTGAGAGAGACAATTTATGACATCAATGCATGAACTGATATATAGGTGATGCATATTACACCCTATTTATAGGACTTCTGTATCTTAAGATTGATTTTAGTTTGCCCAGTACTGGAATTCAGATATCTTAGATAAACTTTTCATGTTAATATTTGGTTAAAGAAGATTGATAACTACTTCAGAAAAAGCCCATGTGTTTACCTTTATATGTATTTTATTAAGTTAACAAATTGAGTTTCTATCTTAGATATAGAGCATTTCCCATATCTAGAATTGAAGAATTCTAAATTTGAAACCTTATTTTATTGTAAATTTAAATGATGTTTTTCCCCTTGTTTTGGCTTGCATTGCAGGCAGACTAGAAGCCATGTTGCTTGAAGCAAAGGGATCGTGGGAAGAGGCAGAAAAAGCTTACTCAAGCCTTCTAGAGGATAATCAATTTGATCAAGTAAGTTCTGTAAAGGGTTCTTCATGAATTAAAGTAATCATGTTTTATTAGAATGAATCATGCTTCTCCTGCAACAAAATATAATTTGGAATAGAGAAAAAAAGGAGATTCAGAGGTCTTGACTTTTCTGTTCTTCTTCTTTTATTTTTGTCCCCCATTCAGGTAATACATAAAAGGAGAGCTGCTATGGCAAAGGCACAAGGCAATATTTCTGAGGCCATTGATAGGCTAAATAAATATCTTGAAACGTGAGGAAGATCTCAAACATTTGTAATATTCTTTATAATGTTCTGCAAAACTGACATGGTTGTTTCCTTTTTTCCCCAGATTTATGGCAGATCATGATGCCTGGAGAGAACTTGCTGAAATATACGTCTCCTTGCAAATGTGAGATATTAATAATTATTTTTTCTTCCAGAAAATATATATTAGATATTAAATTGTCTCTACTTGTTTTAAAAATTATACCCATAGCTTAAGGTACATGCCTTTGATTTTCCTTTTCAATTTCTGGTTTTAATTAGGTATAAGCAAGCGGCTTTTTGCTATGAGGAGCTAATCTTATCTCAACCAATGAATCCTCTGTTTCACCTAGCCTATGCTGATGTAAGTGGCTTTTTTACTTCTGATTGTTTTTTCTTTCAAATTTGTTTCACTTAGAAACAAATATATTGTGTGTATGCGCACGTATCTTATGGATATTGAGTTCTTGTCTGAGGGGAGGTAAAGCGTGGAAGTTCTCGATAAAAAACTCTTAGGACAGTGACTCCCGTGACATCAGTATACATAAAGTGTCCTTCACGCCGGGGGGGGGGGGGGGGGTCTGAATTTTCTTCAGCGATGAAAAAGGTGTTGAAGCGAATTTGTCACGTCAATGAGTGGTTGTGTGATCAAATTGTGATCACTAATCAAAACCAACGATGCAGCTTCGGAGTGTGATTCTACACAACCTGCCTGGGGGGGTCTGAATTTTCTTCAGCGATGAAAAAGGTGTTGAAGCGAATTTGTCACGTCAATGAGTGGTTGTGTGATCAAATTGTGATCACTAATCAAAACCAACGATGCAGCTTCGGAGTGTGATTCTACACAACCTGCCTGTAGGCCTTCCCTAAAAATGATATTGAACAGTTACCTGGCCTAGTAGGGTAGTCACAAATGTGGTTGGGAAAGTCCCCCAACCAGTCTATAAATGCTCCCCTGATTATGGTGGCCGCTCCCTCCATTCCTGAACTGTCCTATAAACTCATGTCATTATTAGTTTGATCCAATCTTCAGGCAAAAAAAGTCCGATTAATATACTTCTTTTTTGTTGGACTTAGACCTCTGCTTTCACATCCAAAAAGTCAAGATATTCACGGGGTTGTTTTGTCATTAGAAGAACTTGCTTTGAATTGGGGATATAAAGTGCATTTATTTTTCATAGCTACCTACCATAATACATGAAAATTTGGTGGACAATGTTCTGATTTAAACAATGCATCCTTGAGAATGTAATGATAATCTGTTCCAATCTAGTGGCAAAATGCTTGTACACTGGAAATATGCAGCTTGGATTACACAACCAGAATGAGGTGAACTTCCTGTCGAGAAGATTAGATTTGGTGATGTAAGTTATGTATTTTGAAAAAAATAGAAATCCTTTTCTTTTTATTGTTTGGTCAAAATTGGAACATGTAATTGAGAGAGAATAAATATTGTTTCAATTAATAGGAAAGGATGTAGAACACTGGGACCACATTAATAGGAGAATTGCCATGCCAAATCTATTGTAGTGTAACGTGTTTAGTGCTAGCATGGTTTTCAAGAGTGAGTGGTGCAATTGCCTTGATTTGAAAAATAATTATAATAGGGAACAGTGTTGTCAAAGGCGCGCCTACGTGCGCACCTGGGCTCCAGGCTCATACAGGCACAACACTTGCGCCTATTTTGGGCCCAGGTGCGCCTTTAATATGGAATATGAATATGCTTTAATAGTAATTTAATTTTTCAATTGTGCGCCTAGGCTGCAAAGGACCTCTAGACCTTGATAGGGCAATGTCATGATACAACCCGGGATCAACCCAAATTGGACATAGGTAACATTTTGATAATTCATAGTAAATTTGTATTCAAGAAGTTACAAAGATTTTGTGAAAACTAGTCCGTTTTAAAAAAATGATTGCTGGTTTTCTATATTGTTTTTTCAACTAATTTATCATGGTTAATTTAAATGGTCAAAGAAAGGTTTGTTGAATTCTTCTTCTCCTTATTCTTGTTTTCTTTGTTTTTTTTTTTTTTGTTTTTTTTTTTTTTTTGTTTTAAATTTTTTTTACTCTTCATGGGAAGTTCCGTAACTTTTGATTCTTTATGGATTTTTAGGACTTATATTGGCTTGTGCAAGTCAGCTAGGATTTCTTTTCATACTTTTGTATACCATGCTTATTTTTGTTGTGCACAATTGAGTTTCTTATAGGTAGTAACCTATCAAAGGGGGTAAAAAAAGAAAAAGAAAAGAGGGTGCATTAGTAAAAGCTAGAACACCTGAATAAGGCTGTCTTGATTGATTTGGTCCAAAATTCAGTTGTTCTTTCAGCCTTGAAGATATCAGTAACAGAAAGGGGAACAGTTAGTGTTTTCTTTAGGCATTCTCTTGGTAGTATTTCATTCAATGGCCCAAAATTCATTTGTTTATTCAGCTTTGAAGATGTCAGTAACAGGTTAGTAAGTTGGGGATATGGGAGAGCATATGGAATGGGAAAATTTGATTCGTGCCCCACCCTGAGGGGAAAAAAAAATAGCTTAGCAAGTTAGAATGATTGCTGATATGGCTGATTTAATAGTCTTAACCTAGTGAGCCTGAGATGTCATGCTATCCTGCTCTAAGGCCAGGGTTTGTTATTTCCTTGGGCTTCATACTACGTGAGATTAAAAAGGCAATTATGTGGAAAAGAAGCTGCCCTTCCCTCTTTCTATTTGGTTGAGGAGGAAGAAAATGGATTAATTAAAGGAGATTTGCTTGCTTTTATTGCTATACCCTCACGTATTAAAAGACTGATATTTTTATGGGCAAATCATAACAAAGAGGCTCCTTTACCTCTTCTGTTTGTGCACTTATGGTTGGAAAGAATTGGGGCAGGTTCACAGCTGTGCAATGTTGAGAAGGTCTACTGGGGGTTTCTTTGAATTGGTGCTTCGTTGCATCCATGCCTGCAAAGATCTACTCCTTGCTTCCTCTTTTTATTAATAAAAGATAGATTCTGGATTGAAGGACTATGATCTGATGTACAATCTTCTTGATATTTGAATATCCTCCTGGCTGTTTGGGGTGGATTGGGAAAAAATTGCTTACCATCTAATACCAAAAAAACGTAAAAGATTGGACAATGGGGGCCAGCTTTAGCTCTGCCCAATATTTCCGTTTTTGCATTTTATCTTTTAAAGCTATCATGAATAGAACTTTGTTATGGCATAATTTAAATATTAAAGCCATTGCAGTCTTTGTAAAACTAATTTGCGGGTACTGCTAACATACTAAATCCTTTTTTTATTTTTTTATTTTTATGGTGCCCGAACAGGTGCTTTACACACTTGGTGGACTAGAAAACCTTCAGATAGCTAAGAAATATTATGCATCTACCATAGGCTTGACTGGTGGCAAGAACACCAGAGCACTTTTTGGCGTTTGCTTGGTGAGTCTCTCTCTCTCTCTCTCTCTGTGTATGTGTGCGCGCGCGATGATTATTCTTATAAAATTTACATTTCTGCCATTCCGTTTGCACCACTATCTTTAAGTACAACTAAAAGAAAATTTAACTCTTCTTACTTGTCCATGGTTACCGAGTTGTACAACTAAAAGAAAATCTTATTACTGTTGTTCAGTGTACGTCGGCCATTGGGCAGCTGACAAAAGGGCGGAATAAGGAGGACAAAGAGAGCTCGGAGTTGCAATCTCTGGCAGCAACAGCCTTGGAGAAAGACTACAAGCAGAGAGCAGCCACCAAGCTCTCTCTTCTTAGTTCCACCTTAAAGAGCTTGAAACTTTAATCGCAACTGCTTTATTGTTGACTGAATTTAAAATTATTTCCTTCGTATCCCTAAATAGGAAAAGTAATTTAGTCATATGTTCACTTCAACTTCCTTGTTTTTTCTTGAGCTCTTAATAGGTGGATGTGACAAATTCTTCTTTGAATGATGAATTATGATGGTCATGTACTTGAAATTTTTTCCTCTTAACAGAATTCCAGATAAACCTTATTTGATATTGTGGGATTTATTTTTAAATAGCCATCTTATTCAAAGATTATTGCTTTCTTTGAATGTACTCTTCATCTTTGGATTTGTGATTTTTTGAAATAAAAATAAATGATATTTCTCTCCACCTTATTTAACCTCTATTGTATTATATACAAACAATGGCCTTGCCGGGACGTATAATGGAATTCTGTTCAAAGTGGATGTTCTACGTGCCCGAGTAATTATATTCTAACCGATTATCCAAATTGATAGTCCCTTCAATGTGGTGAATGGGATCTACACTTGAATTTATTTACTGCATCAAATGGAAAAAATAGGTGGTTTTTAGGATTTTTCTCAACTGAGGCCCATCTGAGTCTGACTGATGACTCAGTATTTTGGAATATGACTTTATAATCCAAATTCTCTTTTTTCTATTGCTCTTTTCCTTTCCTTTGAGGTGTAACAGACTGCAGATCACAGGGTAAACTTAAAAGCTAGACCATGTTACAGCTGACTTTAAGAAAGTTAAATATAATTAATTTATAGTGACATTAAAGTAACCAAAAAAAAAAAAAAAAAAATTGGACAACCATCAATCTTAAAACTTAGTTGCTCAATAATGACTATTCGAAAATAATTTTGTCTAATACAATACTTGTAAAAAAAAAAAAAAAAAATGGGTAAATTAATTTATTGGACCATCTTTTGCTTCATAGTAAAAGCTACTCCAATAATCTCTGTGGAAACTGACATTTATTCTTCTCCCACTCTTCTCCCAAGTAGGTAGGATGGCAGGGGGAATGGACACTTTTTGTTTGGTTAAATGAAATTGGGATTAAAATCTTCTCGTGTGTTAAAGTCTATTGTCTCGGTCAGTGAGGAAAATTAGTGATACACTGACATTTGGTATTGCATCCCAACATTTTTCGAACATGCTCGTCACCGGCTGGGATAGATACTGTAACACAAGCGGATTTTGTTTTCGACCAATATATCCTAATTATACAAACTAATGCAAAGTGGGCTTTATGCAATTGCTTAATTTAGTAAATAATTGTAGGGAAAAAATGGTCTTCCATATTCATGGAATGGTTTTTATTTCGTTCCCTCCTCTCTTCCGCCAATTTTGAAGGAACGAAAAAACATTGGCGAGGAAAAGGATGGAAGCTGTTTCTATCCTTTTAGGTCCACGATGATATAGTGGTATGTATATATATATATATTATAATTAATATAGTGGTATGTATTATTTGAATATATTATAATTGATGATTCAATTTTGGAATGTGAAGAGGTATTACTGGACTACAGCCTTTAGTATTTTATTTATTATTTTGTACCTTTTGATTTATGATGAATGTTTTTAGTTTTGTACGTATTGGTTTATGATGAGTTTTTTTTAGTAAAGATCAATTTTATTTTCGTTGGGGAATTATTTTATTTAAGTTTTAGATTTTTACCCGTTTGCAATGCTCGTGCACATAAATTACAAATTCAATATGAATGTTTGTTGCTTACCATAGTTAGTAAAATATGGTAGGAAAATACTATTTTATTTTGCTTTTCTTGTTTGAAAACCAATGAAAAAATCGGCATAAGAAATAAAAATAGAAAAATACGAATAATGTTCAAGTATAATATATATTTTTTGTATTAAAAATTCAATCACACATATACCATTTTTTTTTCTCTTACACTAGAAATAACAAAGAATATTCTTGAGAATTGTAGAATTCTATAACATTCTAAAGTTTATAGAAATTAATAAATGGGGGAAGATTCAAGAATAGTATAAAATTTATAAATATGTATATATATATTTAGGTAAATAGTTCTAGTAACTGAATCTTAACCATACAATCTAATGCATCTTAAACGCACATCAATGTATATATAGGTATTAAAGAGTGTGAGAGATTTCACGGGTGGGTAAGATGTGTAAATTTGTACCTGAATAATTCAATATATATATATATATATAATCCATCATATATGCGTAACTGAAACTCATGACATATATATATATATATATATATATAATCCATCCTATCCAAAAATAAAATAAATATCCAGTCATCATTCAGTTGAAGTTAGTGTAGGACTGTCAATGATAAATTCATCGTCAAATGTTGCAGTGGTTTCAAGCACTTGAACGTTGGAGTTATGACCAAGTAAAAGAATTAATTACACGACGTCTTCTATGGTTTGCAGTGGTTTCAAGCACTTGAACGTTGGAGTTATGACCAAGTAAAAGAATTAATTACACGACGTCTTCTATGGTTTGTTATAATTAAAGGGACTTTTCTTCTGATTTGAGAAATTACTCCGAGTTTGAAGTCCTATTTTCTATTTTTTTTTTTTCCTAACAAAAGTAATTTTGAATTCATATTAAACTTTTATTACTCACTCTCTATAATCGATTGTACAACAGTAACTATGCATATGGAAGAACATTACAAAAATTGGCCTTAAAAAAAAAAAAAAAAAATTCAACAATACAAAAATTAATACAAGAGTCGTTGTTTCATAATTTCCAGTAATGAAAAAAGACTGGAATAAATTGGGAAAAAATTTGGATGATAAAACTATTGGAATAATACAATTGTCAATTATTTCGAACATATTTACGTACTAGTTTGACAATGTATAGTATAAGAAGCAAAATCTATTCCAAAGCTTTCTTTTCTAAAGTTGGTACATACAATTTTTACGTGCACGAACCCTCTCATCTTCAGCTTGGCTAGAGGACCGTGGGTAATTTCAAAGTTCTTTTCTTTTTCTTTCAGTTTAAGTCATTGAACGTGTCAATTATATAAATTATGGAATAACTGCTAAGGTAGTTTAGCGGCAAGGCCTGTATTGTTTGGGACCTCTTGCTAAGCACGGACCTAGCATAGGACCAGTGGGGTGGATGTTCCTATTGAATTTTTTATATTTCTATTGAATTCTTTTTTATATATATTTTATAATTTAAATTTTTGAAAATTTATGAAAATGCCTCCATTAAAATTACAATTTGCCCTATTGAATTATTATTTTTTTTTTGCATTTTATACTTTTAAAAAATTTATGAAGAAAACCTCATTGAAATTACAAAAAATGAACCCACTATATAAGTTTACCCCACAAATTAAAAGGCCGCGACCCCCTCACAAAATTTTATGGGTCCGTCACTGCCTTTGGCCCTTGTAGGAAAAAAAAATAAAAAATTTCCACTAAGCTCCTTATCCCAAATAAATCCAATAAATTTTTTTATAAACCAATAACTCTTACTTTTAAATTTATTTTCCATTTAAGCTCTAAATCACTCAACTTTTCATTCATACACTTATCAAATTAAATTTAAAATTATATAATTATAATTTAAATACTATTTAAACATGTCTAAAAATTTTATATTTGCAATTGAATCTCTTTTATTTTTATATTTTCAATTTCAAAATATTTACTCTATTTTTCAAAAGGATATATTTTATTCAAATTGTTTCAATAAAAAAATTATAATGTTTTATTTACTTCTTTTAGTAGGATTATATTTCTGTATATAGAAATGATTGTCATAAAATCTACAAAAGATTTTTGCTATTGAATATAAATTCAATAATTAAATAAAACATAGGGAAAAAAGTATTAGTGTATTACGTATCAATTTTAATATAAATTGAAATTGTAAAATTTTACTTTTATTTAGTAAGGGTATAAATAAAAAATTAAGTGGTGCATGAATTAAATGAAAAAGAATTTTAAAAGTAGAACTTATTAGTCCTATGAAAAAATCATGGGAGTTATTTGTTTTTTAGAGAAAAATGTAAGACTTATTAAAATGGTAATTTATTATTATTATTATTATTTTTATATATATTTTTTGGAAGGTCGTATTGGTCATTTACTACTAGGCATTTTCGAATTAGAATAGGTCATATTGGTCATTTCGTTCCAGGCATATGTTGCGCATCTAACTATATATATGCAACTAGGGTTTTTATCGCCCCCACTGTCGAGAGCTCTGCTTCTGAAGGAAACCGTCAGCAGCCTCTTCACCAGCAACAATGGCCGTAGGGTATTTTTCTTCTCTCTCTACATTCTCTATATACTCTCTCTCTCTACAGCTTAATCGATAATCGTATCCTTTGCTTTTCCTGTTTTTCGCAGAAAAAATAAGCGGATTTCAAAGGGGAAGAAGGGTGGAAAGAAGAAGGCGTGAGTGACTTTCAAACCCTAATTTTAGTTCTTATATATACACATATATGTATTATATCTTCGTATTGTATAGACATATACACATCATATGATTCGAGTGGTTAAGATTTGATATTGTTGCAGGGCTGATCCGTTTGCCAAGAAGGATTGGTATGACATCAAGGCACCTTCACTCTTCAATATCAGAAATGTTGGCAAAACCCTAGTTAGTAGAACTCAGGGGACTAAGGTTTGTCTCTGCTTCTCTCTCTAATTGTAGTTTTCTGTGTCTTGCTGCTATAATTTGATGGTTTTTTGCGTAATGATTACTACCTATAGATCGATTACCCAGATTCATGCGATGGTATAATGGATCTGTTTCAATTGATTGTAATTTGTATAGTTGAATGGTCAGATTATATATAGACAATATTCTGTGTTGTTGAGTGGTTGGATTATTTACAAGTGCTATTGTTTTTGCATTTTTGCCATGGGTTATTGCTGAGAATTCAGGTATCAAAATTGTTAAGTTTTCACTTCGAGAGGCACGTATCACTAGTTTCTTTGAAGGATTTAGCTAGCTGCTAGTAAATGAGCGTTCAAGCTCTGCTTTTGGTTTCGGTTAGCTGTTATGCTGATTTGGATTGAAAGCCTGTAGCCGCTTTGAGCACACTTGATGTCTAATTCTGCTAGCTTCACTAAATTGAAGAACAATCAAAATTTGGCCTCCAGTGTAGAGGAATTTATATTGTGTTTAGTTGCTGTAAGAATGCATGAAAATGGAAGGAAAATGATATGTTGAATTCAAAATGCTTTGTAAGCCTAGCGTAGAAAAGTTAAACCTCCATGAGCATGATGGCTTTATTTGGCTTTGAGGCAAGTTTGTTGTTATTTGTTGTTAAGTATGGCATGAACTGTAAGAAAAAACTTCATCCTTTTATTTTTTTCACTATTATTGGTCTCCTTTGCGAGTAAATTGCTCTACTTTAGGAGTGCTTATGAGAACAAAGGAATGGAATTTGTTTTGGGTAGTAGGAGAAAATAGGAACCAGAATGGAGGATTGGTTAAGAGTTGTATTTTACAGAAGATGAATTTTGATCTAGAACCTGTATTATATCTTTTATTCACCCTGATTTATTGATGAATAAAGCATTAATTGGTTTTCATGCCCTGTACAATACTATAATGATTTTTTTTAACTGAAAAGTTCTTATTATGTGCATTTGAACCGTGTGATGTCTCACAAAGTCCACAACAGGACATGATATCAATTTTTTTGTCTATTGAGATTTGAGTCGGAACATTTTTTATTATTTATTTTTCAACCCGTGGATCGTATTATTTTGAATGACTTGTTTTTTATATTGTACCATCCACACTAATGGTTGTACATTGTACCAAATATATTATATGAGATTGCTGTATACAGTGTTTGATATGACCTTTTGTACTTCCTATTTTGGATAGACGCCACTTTTTTGATTTCATGTGTTAATTGTATAGTTGTTGTTCCTCCTTAGTTGAGATTGAACTCTTCGAGTATTGATTGTTTCTTGCAATTGTATAACCACATTATTCATAGTACATTTTTTATCTTCCATGGACCATGTTTTTTTTATGATCTTTGCTACATCTGTTATATGGTGAGAAAGGGATATTTTGTTGATATGCAGTTGTGTGTTTAATCATGACAAGTGGATGGTGATTTCTGTAGTATCACTTATTGATATGTAATTATGACGCAATTACCATGAAACTAGGTGTTCGTAACTCTCTGATCATGATCTTGCAGATTGCTTCTGAAGGACTCAAACATCGTGTTTTTGAGGTTAGTCTTGCTGATCTTCAGAAGGATGAGGATCAGGCCTATAGGAAGATCCGACTGAGGGCAGAGGATGTGCAGGGGAAGAATGTGCTCACAAACTTCTGGGTATGATGGACATTTTAATCAATCTTTTTAAAGGAACTTTAAGAGATCAAATAAAGCTTTTTTTGGCCAATAATGCATTAATTAAATGTAAATTTGAAACTAAGATTTGTCACGGGATAATTTCAGGGAATGGATTTTACTACAGACAAGTTGAGGTCCCTTGCTCGCAAGTGGCAGACATTGATTGAGGCTCATGTGGATGTGAAGACAACAGACAACTACACCCTTAGGATGTTCTGCATTGCATTCACAAAGAAGCGTCAGAATCAGCAGAAGCGAACTTGTTATGCTCAGTCCAGCCAGATCCGTCAGGTTTGGTTAAAATATCTTCTCTTGTGGTCACTTTGTTGTTTTATTATGTTGGTTGCAAAATTTAAGTTAAAGTTGTTTTTTATTTTCTTACTTTTGAATTTGTTCCCTTTTTTGTTAGATTCGCCGTAAGATGGTAGAGATTATGAGAAACCAGGCAAGCTCCTGCGATCTGAAGGAGTTGGTGGCGAAGTTCATCCCAGAGTCGATCGGAAGAGAGATTGAGAAGTCAACTTCAAGCATCTTTCCATTGCAGAATGTTTTCATTCGAAAAGTCAAGATCCTGAAGGCTCCTAAATTTGATCTTGGCAAGTTGATGGAGGCAAGTTTCTCGCCCTTTTTAACTAACATTTTCTCACTTGTATTAGGACTAAGAAAACCACATTAAATCTGTTATTTTCACACTACGTATAATTACTTTTGAAGTATCATATAATTTGTTGAAGGTGGAACTTGGTAAGTGTATTTTTGTTTTGATAATGCTAGATGATGTCTCAACTTGTTTTTTCTTTTTACTTTGTGTAGGTTCACGGTGACTATTCGGAAGATGTTGGTGTGAAGGTGGACAGACCAGTTGAGGAAACACCGGTAGAGGAGACTCCTCTTGTTGGAGCTTGAAAAGATAGATTTGCTTTATCAGTTCAAGACCACATGCATTAATCTTTAGACTTTTGAGTTTGGATGATCTGATTAGAAGTTCATCTAGATAAGACATTGCTTTCTTGAGGACGTGTTCAGGACAATGACCTCTATAAATTTTGAATGTTGTTTTATGCTTTAATTCGGTATATCTGTGTTTTCGTCGACTCCATTTATGTTCTCTTTTTTAATGATCATTATGAATTATTTGGCTAGTAAAGTTGTCCTATCATTTGTTTTCTTGGCGAACGTTTCACCATGAATTGTCATTTATTAGACTAGAATTGAGTCGAGTAGGACTTGAAGATTGCTTTGTTAGAAAAATCACACAGTAGAGACTATGAATATGAACCTGGATCCTCTCCTGTGCTGGGAGGGGAGAAATCACCTCATATGAGGTGGTGATTGACGCTATTTATATGGAATGATCCACCATTGCTGTCTTCATAGAGTGTAGAACTCGAGTCACACTGGTCATCCTATTGGTGACGAGATAGTCCCATATGACTTGTACTCCGAGGACTTGCACGCCTCCTTGAGTCTTTCGCTACTGCTTTGAGTTTTTCGTGACTCACTACACTGCACTACACTTACCTGTGCACAAGAAGACCATGTTTGCTATCTGAAACCTGTCTTCTCAAAAGCTAAGTTTAACATGGAACAAAAAACCCTAGTTTTTAAAGATAACTAACAAAAGTTGGAAGCCTTATTTCCTAACAATGGAGGTAATTTTGAATTCCTAATAAGCTTTTCTTTTCACAAATGTAAAGATTGAATCTTTGAATGGTATTTATTAAGTCACTAGACATTTTTAATAAGTTGTTATGTGACCTTTTTAATCAGTTGTCATAGCTTAGAGAGTTGTTTTTAAAATTCCTTTACACCATTCTCTCAGTTATTTATTTGATCTTCATGAGTTATTTTATAATTGGGTAGTAAAATTTTACCCTCGTATTTTTCCACATAATACAACAAGGGTGAGGTGTAGAACATATTGGAATGATCTTCATTTTCATTAATAAAAAAGGGAGTAGAACAGATTGGAATAAATTTTGGACAATAAAAACAGTCTGAATAAAACAATTCACAACTCTTTTTGTGTTATTTTCACAAAATATAGTTTATGAATTACTCCGTATAACACAATTTCTAGACTCCAAAGTCCAAACTCATTTCATTTCACCACAGACGGACATTTTGTTTAGTTTCTGTTGTGAGGATTTAGCTCGATTTGAGAACGTTCAAACTTTGCTTTTGCTTTTGCTTTATGTTCCATTTTTTATTTATTTATTTATTTATTTATTCCTGGAGATGATTTTCTTCGTGATTGTTGTAGAACGATGACAAACAGAATTCATTTGCAACCTCATCTAAACCTCTCGATTAGTGATAGTGTTTTGCTTGTTAGATTTTGAGCTTTATTTGATTTAAGTAATTCCTCTTAAGTTTTGAGTGAAATTTTTCTATCTTCCTTTATCAGGTGTTATCAAAAGTTAAAAACGTTAACATTCATGTATTTTTACATGTTGATATCATGTACTCCTTGTCTAGGTGGGTTGATTACAGCACAAATGTATACTGACTGAGCTCTATGATGAAACATCATGTCTCAGGCTAGAAAGCACCGACACTTTATCTAGGGTTGTTGCAGCGTTGTCGGATACTTGGACACACGGAGACAGCTCAAACACATATCGAATATGGCTAGAGGTTGACGTTTGGGCATGGATAAAAAAAGTACGTGAGTAATTATCTGATAAAGAAAGATAGCAAAATTTAAGAAATAACTTTTCAAGAAAATGCTTTTAATACCCAAGACAAAGATTTAAGAAATGACTACTAGTTGTGAGGAATTTGCATTACTAGTTATCATTCTCTCCCAACCTTTTTCAAAGGGCTTCTAGCCCAATGGAATATAATCTTCCATTCTCAAAGAGAAGGGCAGGGTTTAAGTCTAAGCATAGACAAAAAAATACGACACTTCTGGTACATTTGTCAGACACTTATTGTACGTGTCTCATAATTGAAATTTAAAATTTATTATTTGGATACTTAACTGATACTTTGAGAGACTTCTCCAATATTTTCCAAACACTTGGCCGATACTTTCCAATATTTCTAGCACAAATATTATATACACAAACACACGTAAAGTAGTCATACTCGATAATCTTTAAAATAATATGAACCAATTTTTTTCTTTTAAAAAAATTGACATTATATATTTAGTCACAAGCAAACCATAAAATGATACTTGCTCATTTAAAACAAAAACTTATAATGACAAAGTAGTGGAATAACGTTATATATGTGTGTATATATATATATGAATATAAAAATTATTACAACATTGACATAACTTCATTTTCTAAATCAGGTCAAAACAACTCTTCATATAAAAATTAGAAATGAATTAAAATTCTATAATACTTATACTCAATGTTGTACTTGTGTCTTACTTCTGTAGAATTTAGCGTATTAACTCATTCGTGTGTCTTTACCTTGACCTAATGAAAGTAAATAAATAACAGCTGTAAAATGCAAATATTGCTATCGTGGCTTTAATAACGGTCGAAGCGTGGAATTACTGGAGCTTGGCTTCTTTAGGCTAGTATAAAAATGGAATGAAGTGAGCTTATTGTCACGGGCCTAGAGATTTGGCGCAGCGGCACGGCCCGTGTGGCACCAAAGCGTTACTTCAGCTTGCGCAAGCGCCCTGATCAGCCACCACGACCTGCCCTCCGAATGATACATGCTGACTGATTTCAGCCTGCCTTGGCCTCGTCAGGGGAACGACTCCAGCTCCCGACCAGTTTGTGCAGGGATGGCCAACTCCCTTCTTCATAGTCAAGTCCATGACTAGCGACAAGTACCTCGAACTGAACCGAGTCGACCTACCTGAACTCTGAAGAGGTACCATCCTGTGGTCCTGCACGCCCCTTCCCTGGAACCATTCCCAGTCAATGAATGTTCTTAGCCAACCAGCATGTGTGTCTTCTATGCTCATGGCGTCGTTAGAAATCGGAACATGACATTCTCCCCCACCCAAATCCTGCGACGCCCTCGTCGCAGTGCGGCGCTGATTCCGCTGCGTCCAACATTCCAAAGTCTCTCTCCTCCAAGTGGAATGCTCGCCTGCCCACCATCACTTCCTTGTACAACCCCTGGCTACACTCGCCCAATGATAGGGTTTCGGGCTAAAGGGACGCCTACTTCTTCGGGATGCAACCCCACGTTATGCCGCCTCCGTGACACCCCGAGCAAACAAGGTCCCTCCAGCTGACTTGATACTCGCCCTTCACAACGGTTTGCATGCCTCTTGAATTTGCAAGAACTTTGGTGTGCGCGGCCCTCCGGCTTCAAAGGACGCCTCTTCATGGGGAGATGGAGGCTCTCCTCCAACGGCATTGATTGCCCATCGACGCTTTAGTGCACCCACTTCACTCTCAAGACCATCCTGTGGTCCTGCACGCCCTTTCCCTGGAACCATTCCCAGTCAATGAATGTTCTTAGCCAACCAGTATGCGTGTCTTCTATGCTCATGGCGTCGTTAGGAATTGGAACGTGACATTACTGAGTGACTTCATTCCTTTTTACTAGATGAATAGTTAACTTTCAAGCAGTTAATTATAAGGAAAAATAAAACAAAAATTAAATTATTCTTTCAATTCACCATTAGAATTGTTGGTGACAAAGGAATTTCACTTAGCATTTTTCATTAGCTAGAACATGACAAATGTAAGAATATTATTAGAATTTCTTCAATAACTGTATTCGTATTTTTATATCTTTCTTAAAATCCTAGTAATAAATAATAAAGTAAATTTTTTCAAATACTATTTGATAAAAATAAAAATTAAGTATTCAAAATTTAAATAGCACAATTTTAAGTACTGAAATTTAAGCGGCAATTGTAAATTGAGATTTTTCTAAATGTTATTTTTTAAATTTTAAATGTCTTGCATTCATTGATAAGTTAAGTACAAGTAATTTCTGCCAAGCCTTTATCTTCTTTTTCTTTTTCTTTTTTTAAATCCCTTTTTTAGGTTCATTATGATTCTTATTTGTTGGAATTTCCAATTATCTTGTAGAAATTTTATATCTTTATTTTGTCACTTAGAATTTTACCTCATTTTAAGTTATGTTTATTTTTTTATGTTGTTAAATCCACTTGATTTCTCAACATCATTAATTGAGGATGAAAACTATGCAATAGAAGAAGATGCAAAATGATGAAAAGTTTTATACAATGTTACGATGCTACTCTTGGTGTACATCTTTGAAAGAAATAAGTTTGTGTTTGAAAGCACCAAATCAATACTTTAGATTTAAAATTTTGAAATTAAAAATTTAGTTTAATTTCAAAATTTAACTCCCCTCCAAAAATAAATGTATTACATTTGTATTGCATCCTTGATTTGGAAGTCCACTAAGCCATCTAGGGCACCATGGTTCACATCTTCTGTCGTTCCACCTGCCCTTGGGGACTCATTTTCGCCACAAGAGGTGATGCTACGCATATTTTGTCTCATCTAGAAATAACTCATTTTCGCCACATCAGTTCACATTGGTATAGTCACCCAATAAAATGTATGTGAATTTAGTCACATTTATTTATAAATGACTTTCAATAAACTAATATGATGCATTTTCTTTGAACGGAAATACCAATATGTAGTACGCCGGTTCACCCTAATGGTTTTTAAAAAAAATTCTGAATTTTTCATTAGGGTGTATTTTGTTGCATAAATTTGGAGCCTTAAAACTGAAATCGGTAGAATTAGAGAAAATTTTAGTTCAATTTTCTAAATTGTTTTTTACAACACCAATTTTAATTCCAATTCCAATTCTAATTTTAAGACTCCAATTTCATACAACCGAACACACCATTAGTATGAATTTCTCTCTCCCAAAGCTACCTACATTCACTATCACATTTATGTCACCTTATCTCCAGCAGCAAATCTAGACACCCACACCACTCACCAACCATGTGCAGTTCATTTCATGAGATACAGAAATAAGCATAACATTATTTGTATTACGGTTATTTGTTTTAGGGTTTTTAATGTAATATAGTTAGCACATAGAACATTCATATCATCCATGCCCAAGAGAATAGTCCTAGAGGCATCAAGTGTACTTCGGATGTGAAGACATGGCTGTTTCAGAGTTGCATCATCATGGGAATATAAAAATAAGAAATAGTATTAAATTAAAGACTTGAAAATATAATAAAACTATTAATTGCACAGAGAGAGTTTCCAAGTACATGCTATGAAAAAAAATACAACACTACTACACAAATTTCTCAAACTTAAGCTACTTGTACAACAACAGAACAAATGTAAAAGATCTAATAGATGTTCTAAGAAAACTGGGAATGCTTTAACTATAAAATTTACACTGGCACATAGGCAATGAACTAATTATACAACTAGATAACATACCTTAACAGCTTGATGAAAATCTGGGAGCACTTCAACCGGGTGGCTTTCCGGATGAATCACTGTTTCCATGGTGGGGGACCAGAGATGGGAATGACGGGATAGATCTCAAAATCAACTTCCGGCCACTTCTCCAAGCAGGAGATGATCCCAACTTGCGATGAGGAGGTGACACCCTCTTACAATTTGGAGAGGCAGACTTGACACCCCTAGTAGGAGAGTAGTTTCCTTGCAGAATCTCGGGGGTTTCATCTTCCGGGATCATCTGAAGACGCTTTTCAAACTTGGGCAGATGGCCGAAAGAATCTGATTTTTCATGATTTTGGGTGGTGCACAACTGAGGACATGGACCAGCAGCAATTCGAGAAGATTGCTGGCGCTTGTGACTAAAGGAAAATGGCAATTGAACCAGAGATCTGAGAAACAAAATAGCATTTATTTAGAAACATGCCGGGATTAGTAGGATCACTTTATTTTACCAACAGCTGGTCAAAGAAAAAAACCTGGCAGTCTCAGATGAAGGGGTTATTGGAAGAACATGATCTAAATGCTCTTCTTCACCTTCCAGGACTACATTATTCTGTGAACTTGTTTCTAATGCATTCTCATGGGCTTCTGTTTCTTCCCCTTCGAGTTCAATTTCTTCCGTCCCTGAAAGAGCAGAAGAAAGCAACATAACTAGAAGAATAACTGAATGCACTAATAAATTAGATAGACAGAAAAAGAACTTGGAACAAGAAAGTTCTGTTCTGAAAGATGTTGGAAAAGTTTGTCCATTTAAGCACTGAAAAAATAAATAAATAAATAAGAGACTCACATAGGACGAGAAAATTATAGTATTTTGCATGTTTAAGACCCAAAATTATAGATTCTATTTTCTCATTATGGCTTAAAAGAACAACTAATCATGACAAGGTAAATGAAATGTTGGCAGTACTGTCAAGAGAGCATAATTTGAAACAGCTACAGAGCAACCAACGAAAAAAAGATCCATAGTTGATGATGAGAATATATATTGCAGAATGCACAAAATCTCCAAAGATCACTAACACCCAGTAAACACTCACCATCCTTTCGACCAAAAGTATTTTTACATCCTTCACATCTGCAGCTGATAGAGCATCCAACTCCACCCTTTATACACAAATGACCATTTCCATATCAGTTAATAAAAACCATAAATTAATACAGAAGGAGACAAGGGGGAAAAAAAACCTGAAAGCATTCACAGTATTTCTTTTGGCAACTTGACTTTTTGCAGTTGCATCCTCTTTTATGCCGGGCAGAAGCTGGAGTATTGTTAGAATCATCCTGCACGAAAAACAATTTGAGCATGACTATTTTTTTTGGGCAGAAATGTGATACCATAAGGGTAATAAAAATTCTCTAGTCTTGGATCAGGATAAGTTCTTACCCTAGATTCGGGAACAGTTATGGAACTCCTAATCACTTTAGGAGCAAATGCAAGTGGATTGCGAGATTCAATCTGTTTGCGGGTTTCCAGAACAGTGTCTTCGTGAATTGGCTTGTTAAAGCAATCTTGGCATGAACAAGGCTCAACGCAGTAGAGACCCGCAGCAAAGCATTCACAGTAACTGTACTAGAAAATGTGACTAGTTAAAAAACCAAAAGGGAAACAAAAAATGAAGCATAATACTGAAAAGGAAATGAACCAAACTACCAGGAATACAGTTGTAATCCACAAAATTGAAAATCAGCCCACAAAAATAGAAAATCAACATTACAACTCCAACTATAACCTGATGAAGAACTGACAACAGAAAATCAAATGATTAATTAATGTATGGGCCAGGACGGTGTGTGACACCTTAGTCTAACAGGGATTCGAATACTTGTCAATTTTCATTATGCAAATTTGAATTATGGCACATCATTAATCTGTGTCTAATCACTGAGAATAAAAGAAACCACAAATGGGTGACACCTTAGTCTATCTGTACAAAAAAATATGAATCAAAGCTTAAATGTATATATAACTTGTACTACAAAAAAAAATGTAATATTTGCTTTTGAAAAGAAATAAAAGAATGTAATATTTAAAAGAATAACCATATTGATTGATGCAATAGATAAATATATATGTGTGTGTGTGTTAACTGTCCAAATCTAATATGCATTATTCAGTTCAACAAACAAATGGAGCTAACTATTTAACTGTAAGTGATACACTGGAACTGGTAATGGTAACGTAACGAAACGATCCCAGCTTGTTATTTATCATTTCTCCCGATGAAGTCCCAACAAAATTCAACTGTTTTCCATGCTCATGAAAATTCGACCATAATTATTGATCCAGACTGTCCTAACTAGAGAAGTAAGATAAATTTTTGACTCTGCCATAAGCATAAGGTGTATTCTACGCATCAGCTTGAGCTTATATATCTCCAAACTTCCAGGAAAAAATAATAATAAAGTAACTAAAAAACATTTATTTGGAAACCCAATCCAAAAAACATTGCAATATTTTAGCAAACTGTGGAGAAATGCAAACATAATGGATGAAATAAATGTCCTTTGCCATTGAATGTGACAAGAAGCTGAGGAGTTAATACATGCATGCATTCACACACACACACACACACACACACACACATATATCACAAGTCAATCTCTCTGATATCCTTGAGGAACTCAAAAAAGTACTATTTTCCTCAGTTTTTGTGTGTGCGTGTGTATGTGTTTCTGAATCTGTATGTGTATACCCTTGGGCATTATATCGTCACGTCTGGTAAACACTGGGGGGAACTTTTTTAGGCCTTTTCCAATGCCCTGCAAATTTAGAGTGTTTTCATCTACTATGTCAGCTATAACAATTTTCCAAATAAGATTCTCTGACCTACGAACATTCACAGTATAAACTGTAGCTAGCCTTAGACATCCTCATACAGGATGTTTCAAAACTATACAATACCTCGGCAAATGTTGAAGGGATCTGAGACTGTGTGTCCAATATGTAGATTCTTCTATGATTTCTACTTGTACTTTTGGTGGAATAGAAGTCCATCATTTCATGCTACTGTCATGTGCATGAGGGATCCGATATTTGAGCCCCAAGCCTAAAATTCTACAAACTTACACTTCACACATAAGGTACATAATTTCTAAGCCGGATGCCTCTTGCTTTATAATTTAAAACACCATGAACATATTCAATTCTAAGGAATAAAGTGATTTGCTGATTATAGACCAAGATTTAGAATCATTTAATACGAAATTTGAGAACATATGCTTGTATTAGAAATGCAACATCAAGTACACCCGTGGATTGGTGGACCACCTCAGTAAATATTCTAAAATTATTTATAATTTTTATTGTTTTTTTTCAATAAATCCGAATTCCAATTCAAGAAACATAAAGAACAATTTTATATCTTATCCATTAGCATTTGCAAAATAAAATGTAGTTAGTACCTGAGATCCTGAACATTAATAAAACATAAATTTGAAATATAAATTGAGCAAGTGAAATTAACTTACAGCTTCAAGCATTTTGACTTCTTGCAGTTACAGCGCTTGCAAAACTCACTTTCTCTACCAGACCTGCGCCTGCACATTATGACAAGTCAAAATTATAGTGGGAAATATAAATGGATTTAGCTGAAAAGAAGCAATTTACCAACAACAGCGGGAATACATGCCTCTTCTTCTCGGGACTATTCTGGTTAAACTCTTCACCAACTCCAAAAGAGAACGAAGCATCTTCCATCACCTGAACTTCATTGTCACAGGACCCCGAATCTCGTTCTACAGAGTTCCCAATCAAGCTTATATTTAGAGGTTTCTGACCAGATACTAAAGGATCAAAAGAGGAGTCGGACCTTGGCATACTCAGTTGCTTATTAGAGGCTTGCCTATCATTCTTAAATTGACTAACAGTATTTGAAGTAGATGCAAGTGCATTCAAGTGCAAACCAATTCCAGGTAGCACAGAAGATGAACAACCATTTTCAGGCTTAATTGAGACCACCGGCTTTTTGTTAAGCACAGCGTCACACTCAGATTGTAATGGATTTGAAGATCCACCACTGTTATCGTATATTGATCTCTTTTTATGCACTCCCGACATCTCAAAAACTAGTCTTCGTATGCTACGTTGCTGCTTGAAACCAGCCTAAACACAATAAATTTAAGGAGAGAAACGTTAATAAAGGTGTAAATTTCAATATGCTCTAGAAGAAAAAAAAAATAAAAAAAAAAACTCATATATTACTTGAATAATTAAATAATATCTTCAACAATAGCATGCGCATAAACATCCATGTGAATGTGCACATATGCAGGCATACAGGAGAAAAATAACAATAAACTTGCAAATAACTGTTGATTAATATAGTAAAAACCAAAAATAAAAAATTGCAACACACTAATAGAAAGCTCCCTGTCCATGGTAAATTGAGTAGAAACCGCATAATTTCAAGTAAGATGTAGCAAAAATTATTATAGTTAAGAAGCATCAATACTTTGAGCTCTAAAATCATCATAAGTATCAGGAAGAATTGTTAGTTGCAATCAAAATCAGGAAATCATGCAAAAGGTGACTAACGATTTGCTTCCCTACTTGATCTGAACTACAGTTGTACATTATGAAGCAGTCATTCAAAGTTTCAAACTTTACACAATTCATGGTGTCAAAAATCTGTTCCAGATCTAAATAAACTCAACTGAATGTTATACAAAGTGCAAGCATTGATCCATTTACTGTTCCAGGTACTGGAAGTTTTATGGTGATGTTGACCTAATAAAAAATTCAAATAAGCACACTGGAGCATACAGATTGCAATGTGCTGAAGCAAAATCAATTGTGTAGCTTTCCTATAGGCAAAGTTCTTTGGTAGTCAAACAAGAATAGGATAGGTAGAAGATTAATGTTTTGGAGTGTGACTATGAAATGTGTTTTCTCTTTCCAATTTAGGTTCACAGTATGCCTCCATCTAATGCCACTGTTAATACTACTATTTGTTTTCTTCAAAATCGCCATCCTCATTTTAAGGGATGGCACCAAGGTGGGTTTGGGGCAGACCACCCCAATCCCTAATAACCTATATCCAAACTCGCAGACAATCCTGTCTTGTGTATTTTTTTAAAAATGACTTAACCGAAATAAATTCGTTTTTTTAATCAAACAAGCACTTTATACTTATTTGGATAAGTTTCTGAATTTTGGAAATAGAAATCTAAAAGATCATAAAAGAGAATGAAAAAGAAAAAAAAAAAAAAAAAAAAAAAGTTGATTGATGATTGAAATATATTTTTAACTAATTGAAGTGGGTCCAGGGCAGGGCAATAATAAACCCTCCTCTCCAAACCTGCCCTTAGCCTGATTAGAACACACTCAAAACCAAATTAGTAGGGCTGGTGCATGTGTAATGCCCGTCAGGACAGGTAAAATTGTCGTCCAACTCATTTGGCATGTAACAAAGTTGTTTTGTTTTCTTTTAGTTATTTCTTCTCTTAATCTTAAAACAAAACAACTTTGTTACATGTCAAATGAATGTGCAGGCCATGTATCCAATATTAAGTCTATGGAAGCATCTCAACTCTCAAGTATGTTTGACTAATATCCTGGCATGTTGGAGGATTATATTGTCTGAAACAATGTACACTGTCAAAAGTTCTTCTTTAGAAGTACATATGCTAGACATATATCATCTACCTGGACCATTATAACTGACTACTTAGAATAAATGCAAAATGAACCTTCCGAGCAGAAACAAAATTTTGAGGTAATAGTAAAAAAATCTAGACAAAGAAGCACCATCTTATATAACTAACATAACGGGGTCCAAGTAATTACTACCGCAAAATACATTGGGAAAGCTTCCTATATATTACAAACAAATTAATACTAAGAAGTTTTACCTTGCTGTTAGAGTGAATGCACTTCGCTTCCCTCTCATCCACTTCAGCAATTGATTTGCCATCAACTTCCACAATTTCATCACTGGTGATTTGCTCTTCCAGAAGAGTGCTAGAAAGAATTTCTGGTGCTTGATCTGTTTTCCTCGGCTTTGCAACTCTTCCTGATTGTGTTCTGTGCACTTCATCATGTTGTTCAAGTGAACTAGCAGGATCAACAAATTCTGTTCTTTGCAAGTCATTGATAGTATTACGCGAGTGTTGCAATATAGTTGAAATACAATTGGTCGTATGCGTATCTACTGATATGTAATCTTGCCCCTCGGAGCTCTCTTGAAGAATTGTTAAATCAAATATTAACAGATCAGAAGCATCTGAAAAATGCTCCCAGTCGCATCCTGCTGCTTCTTCAGTTTGCTCCACCTGAAAATTTTGACCCAATTCTGTATCACTTTGTAATGAACAGTGTCTCTCTTGTGAGCAATCCCTATCAATTTGAACAAGTGATGCCGGTGTTCCTGCCGTTTCACATGCAGTATCTGTTTTAATAACATCACAAGGCAATGATATACTGTCAGTATCTGTTTCAATACCATTGTGAGACGTGAAATTGTCATGGTGACCACAACCATATTTCAGCGGTTTTGGAAATTCTAGAGCTAATTCCGAGTGCTCATTACATGTCTCCAAGGTAATTTCTCTAGTTGGATTCCCAGGACTAAGACATCCCAGTTGCTCGGTGCACAATTCAGATGGTTGAACAGCATCTGGAATGCCTTCACTTGTACTGCCTTCAGTTCCAAAGTCAGAGAACTCAGGTTTGGACAGATCTGTAAAGTGATTCCTGACAACAGAAAATTCAAAGATGAAACATTTGATAATTGAAAAACTGGTACAGTTTTCATCTTGATTCAACACAGCAAATTGAGACGAATAACTTTACCTTTTGAAGAATCTAGTTTCCTTGTGAGAATTGATACATGGTGAAGTAAACACCGATGGAGGGGATGCAAAACTGAGGGAGTTGAAAGTCTGGGTGGTGGGTATGGACTTGACTGGCTTAATAGGAGAAAGACTGTTGAGATAATTAAAGACTGGCGAATCCTGCATATGAAAATTGTTTACACGGAATCAAACTAAATAAATAAATAATTGTTGTGACATAAGACACAAGCACAAGAAGGGATCTCAATTACAAAAGCAAAACCCTAGTGAGAAATTCAGGAAAATTAAAGCATGCCGAAAGGGTAAATATCAAAAGAGTTTCAGAAATTGAAAGTTTGTCATAAAATTGAGTGGAAGATAAGGAAATTGAGACGATTAAGGTTCGAGACAAGTAGGCATTTGGGGAAATTTGTAGAAGAAGATAAGAGAGGAGCACAATCCGGTACCTCAATTACAAAAGAAAAGCCCTAGTGTGAAATTCATGAAATTGAAACATAGTGAAAGGGTGAATATAAAAAATGGCTTCAAAAAATGGAAATTTGGGATAGAATTGTGTGAAAGATAAGTAATTGAGACAATTCAGGTTAGAGACAAGTAAGAATTTAGGAAAATTTGTACAAGAAGATAAGGGACAAGCACAATAAGGTACTTCAATCACATAAACAAACCCTAATGACAAATTCTGGAGAATTGAAGCACATCGAAAGAGTAAAGATAAAATAAATAAAAAAAGCTTCAGAAAATGGAAAATTGTGAAATATTGTGTGAAAGATAAGGAAATTGATACTACAGTTAAGGTCAGAGAGATCAAATCACCTCGAAATTAGAAATTGGAGTGCCTATAGTGGTCTTCACTGGTGTATCCATCTCGGCCAGAGAAGCTCGAACGAGAAGAGCTCAGAGAGCTCTTCCACATCTCTCTCTCTCCCCCTCTCTCTCAGTTTCAGGGTACTACATACAAGTGCTCTCTCTCTCTCTCTCTCTCTCTCTCTCTCTCTCTCTTATTTTCTCTCTCTAGGATTTCAATCTGTACAACATTCACCTACTGTCTTCACTCTCTCTCTCTCTTCTTTTCTCTCTCTAGGATTTCAATTGAGGAGGCGGGAGGGCGGGAAGTGAGAAAATTTTGGTGTGGTGTGGTGTGGTGTGGTAAACGATACTCTGCAAAAAGCCAAAAAAGTCCATTTGTCCGAAGAGTCTCGCTATCGTCACCTTCGAGCATGAAACGAATGGTCACAGTTATTGTGGACCGTCGGAGTTTTGGGTCCCAGTTAATCCGACGGTGATTACGCGAGTTGGAGTGGTGACTTGGATCAATTACAAAAGGGGTGTCATGGCAACAGCTAATCAACTTTAATGAAAGTTAAATGATATTTTACGAAATAAGGAGCGTTAGGTAATGTTCGGACAACGACATTATTATGTACACAGAATAAAATGGTTCAGTTACCTGTAATTCAATTAAATGTTTTTCCATGTTTATTTAGGTGTTAAATACTTAAATGTCAATTTGTTATTGCACGGAATGAAAAATGTTTCAGTTACATGTAATCCAATTAAATGTTTTTTCATGTTTATTTAGGTGTTAAAATACTTAAATATCAATTTGTGATTGATTTGAAATTATAATTTGAGACCATACAATAATTTTTTCTTTATAAGCTTTTTTTCTGGACTCAATCAGAAATGATAATGAAATATGGTTTGAACACGTCTTAAATATTATTATAATAATATTATGTTTGGTATCCTGAAATAAAATAAAATGTCTATTCTAACGATTCTTTTGTTTAGTATGTAATTTAAAGTGAAAATGGCCATAGAATGAAAATATATTTCATAACTAAACCACCATTCCATTCCCAAGTAATTTTTTTTAAAAAAATCTAACTTCCCAAAAAACTTGCAAGTCCAAAAACCACCACTATCTTCCATCATAACCACATCTGCCTTTCCACCACTACCACCCACCACTACCACCGCCTTCCAACACCACCGACTTTCATTACTGCCCACCGCTTTCCATCACCTTCAACCACCACCGCCGCCACCGCTATCAGCTTCCATTACCATCATCGCCACCGCCTTCCACCACCACAGTCACCTTCATTGACTTTCGTCACCACTACCTACACCACTATATCCTTCTACCACCACCACAACACTATTGCCACAGCCTTCCAACACCACCACCTACACACCACTACCGCTTTTCACCTTCACCACCATCCACCACTGCCACGACCACCATTTATTTTTGAAAAATTATACAATAATATCATTTTGTTAATTTAATTTATTTGTTACTAAGAGGGATATTTTGAAAATTTTAATTTGAAATTTATTTCGTTCTAAATTTTAAGACCAAACACTATAATGATTATTATCATTCCATTCCTACACATTTCATATCTACAATCAAACAATAGAATAAAAATGGTCATTCAATTCCATTCCATTTCAGCACTCCAAACGCAACATAAGTGTTCTAAATATATTTTAATTTTAAAGAGATATGTTTGAGACAGTTGACACGATGGAGTGGTTTTGTAATATATATATATATATATATATATATATATATATATATATATATATATATAATAGAGTAAATGAAATTTAATGCAATTTAAAATAGAGTAGTAATGTTTGACTTACAATTTTGGATGGGTCTAACGAATCACTTTAATTGCTTGAAATTATGTTAGAGCATCTCCACGGTTCTCCAAAGTTGCCACATCATCATTTTTTAATAGTTACGTCAATGTTTAGGGCTCTTCAAATTTTGGCTAGCGAGTGTGCCACTGTATGCTTTTGCTCTCCAAAAATAATATTTTTTATTTTTTAATGTTTATTTTTTTACTCCATATTTTTTTGTTTTTTACTTTTTTCCAACATCTATGTCTGCAGCGGTTATATTTTTCATCTTATATAAACACTCATTTGCTTACCTAATAATATCACTACATTTAGCAAATTATCATTTTTCAACTCATTCAATCTCAAAATTCCAATGGCATTATAATCATGATCTTTTTCTTTGTTCTTCATCTTTTTTGTCATCCTCCTCATCAGATGACCTATTACCGCGTTGATTCAAACAAAATTAAGACGCTTACAATTTGGTTTTGAATTCAATGAGTCAGAGATAGTAGAGCAAGTCTTTCAACCGTGCAAGAGGTGGTACATTCATCTGACCAAGAAGGAAGCCACCCTCAGCTAATGAAAGACTATTTTGACGAGAATTGTACATATCCACCAAAGTACTTTCAAAGGTGATTCAGGATGCGACGAGAATTATTTCTTCGTATCATAGATAATGTTAAAGCTTATGATGACTACGTAGTCCAAAAATGGATGCGATAAGTAATTTGGGGTTATATTTTACATGACAATTGTAATACGTATACTCGCATATGGTTGTATAGTCGATCACTATAACAAATATATTAAAATTGGCAAGGGCACTGCTGTTGAAATCATGGTGGCATTTTGTAATGTTGTTGTTTTGGGTGGGGAGGAGTACGTGCACCCACCTAATGAAGCCAACATAGCACCTTCAAGAAGGGGAGGAGAAAAGATTCTCGGGCATGCTTGGTTTTATAGACTGCATGCATTGGGAGGAAGAATTGCCCAGTGGCATGTCATGGCATGCACAATGGACTCCCATAAACCTACTTTTATATTGGAGGCAATAACCTCACAATATTTATGGATTTGGTATGAATTCTTTAGAAAGTCAGGTTCACACAATAATGTGAATGTGTTAGATCATTCCCCGATATTCAACAATATCGTCATTGTTCGACTGCTTTCGGTTAATTTTTTTGGTGAATGAGAATCACCATAAAATGGGGTATTACCTATCTGATGGTATATACTCTAAGTGAATGACTTTGATGCAGACCATCCCACACCCAACTACTGAAAAATAATAAAAAAATTTGCTCAAGACAAGATGCCTACAGGAAAGATGTGGAACCAACTTTGGGATCATGTAGATAAGTGGACAATAAATCAGTGACCAATACGCTTTTGGGAGAAAGGGAACTTGTGTCTCGTAATGAAAACGTCCTTCACAACATGATAATTGAAGATGAGCACCACGCCAATATTGGAAGATAGATACCACCATTGGAGGAGACAATCCTAATTCACACTTTATGTCAAGACCCATCAGTTTTAGCAGCACATGTATACTCTTGTCAAGTCCAGATTCACAATATAAAGACAAATACATGGTTGATAAAAGATTTGATAAAAAAAAATTGTGAAACCGCTTTGGTGATGAAAACGTTTAATTTATGTTGCATTTTTATGCTTTTAATATGTTATTAAATTTTACGTAATAGAATCTTTACTATGTTATGGTTTTTTTTTGGATTATAAATGATGAAATTATTTTTTTGTACTATTTCCTAACAACAATATTCTTCAACCAAACCGATATATTTGCAAATAATTCAAATTTGTAAATTAATTTTAAAATGAAATTAAACAATATAATATTCATTATGGATTAAGAAATTAAATATCCTAATGATTAAAAATCCTATGAAAAGCTTGAGCTATAATGTTAATGCATACATTCTAATAATTCCTTTTGTCATTCCATAAGCTATGTTTTCCCTGCTAGTGTTGGCATCGATTGTGGATCTCTCTGTACAATCTCCATCTTTTCAACTATATATTTATTTTTAAGTTCCATTCGTCTGGTCTTCTATTTCTCTGCCAAGCGTGTTTCTCGTGTTATTTGACCGGCCGCAAGATTTTGAGATTGAGACTAATAAGGAGATTTTGCATAATCAAAACTACTAATGAATAAATTTTATAATTGGCCCATATATTTATTTCTATTTCGGCTTTGCTATGCCACTTTTCGTCCGTGTGGTCGCTGTAATGGTTGAGATTCTTCAACACTGGGTAAATCATCTTCGCCGATGTGTACCAATTCTTCAATTGAAGTTCATGCCGTCACTGTATTACTTGATGGAGTAGGATGAGTTTGAGTAACCAAAAGGCTCATTAACATAAATGTCGATACCACTCATCTTCTTGAGTTGTTGTTTCTTTTTGTTTCTCCGTTGTTGATCGACACAATGTGAATGCCATTTGTTGTGCCTCAAAATTTCCAACAGCTATGTAACTTAAATTCCATGTTTGCTTGCCTAGCGTAGAGATGCTTAGTTGTTATCATCTAAACGAAAAAAATAACAATAATTATAAGTTGAATTTTTTAAATATTTACGATTTAAATTTAATAGAGTAAAGAACTTACTGTATTATCATTGTTGTAGTCACTGGTCGGGTTCATTTCAATCTGGGCCACACATCCAAAAAAATTGATAATTTTTTGTTAGATGATAAACTAACAATTCAACAAAGCGTTGCTATTTTGGGTAAAATGGAATACCAAGATGTTGTGCATTTTTGTGTGAATTCAGTTTATAACTTCGACATCTGTTGGTCCGAACCGATTACCAAATTAAAGCTAAAGATCAAACATGCAGAACATAAAGGCTCATCTTTGGCCATGGACTAATTAGAATTTCCGGTAACCTTTGACTTTCTGGAAGGTTGGGAGTATCAATGTTGAAAAATTGGGGATGGTTGGGAGTTATTGGGGCAAACACACCCTTAAGTCTGTTGCCTAGTTTAAAATTTTGGACCTTTGAAAAAAAAAAGGCTTGCGCGATCGCGACCCTACTCTTTAAAAACCAAGATCCATCTCATGACCCTAATTTTCGGGACTACTTTTTGCAAACCCAATGAAAATGCTCTTACGAGTTACTTAAAAAATTAAGGGTAAAGTACACTAACACTCCTTCAGGTTTGCCAAAAGGACACACATATGAAACTTAGCTTATTTTAGGACAAAGACACCCCCTTGTCATATTTGACAGCCAAACAGAGCCTAAAAATGTGTGAAAAGTCTAATTTACCCTACATTATTTGATTAATTTTAATAGTAAAATATCAAAAATAATTAAATGACCTAATTGCCCTTCTCCTTTCTCTCTCTATACACCGATATAGCAAATATATATATATACTCGTAATCGTGAAATTGTCCGGCAGGGCTCTACTAAGCGGTGATGAACCCACCCATGGTGGAGCCGTGGAGGTGATCT